AACTTATCATCTTTTGTTATATAGCTGGAAATTGTTTGCCAACAGCCCGCGGTCTCATTGGTTACTTCGAGGTCACATGACATCTAACAATGAAACTGCTTCCTACCAAAATCTCTGAGCGGGGAAAATTGCAAAATCTATGATGTCACAGGGTAACAGTGTGCTGTTACCCGCGAAAGTAATGACCGACAACCGCTGTCAGCTTCAAAATTTCCAGCTACATAACAAGCCACTTAAAAGACTGGTCTCCTCTCGGAAACAGTTAATTTGGTTTCCCAGTGCTCAATGTTTCCCTCACCAGATTCTCAGGAAACAACATTTACTGTTTCCCTCAGGACCAGTCTCACATTAAGTGTTTAATGTCATTGTAATATCATAAACTGTGACATCATGACTGAGATATAATATAGCCAAATTCGTTGTATCGCACCGCGCCTTTTGGAACCTTCAAAGGAATTTTTGGTTTTTCTGTTTTGTCAATTATCTTAGCGAACCTCTTAGAAAACACATGTTTACTTGTGATTGGGGCATTTCGATCCACTTTGTTTTTTTCTATGACTGTTTCAAGGTTCGCTGCTTGTGATCGCCCTGTTTCAGGCAATGATCAACTAGTTTTCTTCAAAGCTTTTTACGATCTTTCTTATTCTTGTCTCTTGCAAGAATATAGCAATGTCTGCCTCCTCCCCTCGACAAAAATTCCACTCATCATTGCAATTTCCTTTGAGGGGTACTGGAATACCTTACCACAAAGACATAATTGCAATCACCACGATACTTTGTCAAAAGTAATTCAGACACAAAAAATTGGTGTATATACTACATGATTTGATAACGCAAGACCAAAATACATGCACACTGAAGGTATAACCTCCTGTAATTTTTATAGAGCCAATAGTTCTGGAAAATCAGGAACAGAAATATAATAGCTAGACAGTTGAAAATTATTAGCTCCATGATAAGCAGGTTCATCATAAACTAACGTGATCTTAAACGGAAACATCACTTTATTGTGAAAAAAAATACGTGATGTGAGCAGCATCACTGGTCCACAATCAGTCACCATCTACAATCTTGGACTGTATTTTCCGATATCACATTTTTAAAATGAGGCCAAACAAAAAGTGTATTAACCTGGGGCTAGGAGATTCTCTTTAATCTTCTACTTAATGTAGATCAACCATAAGATGGGTCCTAGATATCTAATTGTGTGTTTGCCATACTGCATATCAGAAAAACTACCTTCAAAGCCAGTGTGTAGAATCTTATGGACAAAAAGGATGGGAACTTTATCAAGTACAAGACCATTCTTGACCTTATACATCAGTAATTATGTCTTGCAGACATCTTTTATACAGAATAGGCAGATTGTCTGATGTTCTAATAGGTTTTCGTAAGTGTATAATTGCAGAGCCAGATCTGTATATTACTCTTAGTGCTCATTCTTGAAATCACCACTTAGTATTTTTGTACAAGTTTCAGTTGCCTTACTAAGACAGTCAAGGTAAAAAAGGATGAAAAAGTTAACCGGTTTTCCTGAAACACTTCATTTGAAACTGAACTTAGCAACGTTGTTACAAACACCACTTTTTTAAACAAACTTTTTTAACCTCAATAAACAGATGCTAGGCACAACATACATCTTCAATACTTAATGGGAATCTAAATGACAAAAGTTTTAAGTATAATCCTGAAGAGTGTTTTAAGTGTAAGGGGCGAGCGATAAAAGTCTTAACACGCTTACAACGCCGATAACATTGCAAGGGATAAAACCCACCACAAATCCTCAGTTATTTCCGTCAATGGCATCAAAATCTAAACCGACCATGATGAGGTATAGAAAAAGTGTTAAGACATTGATCACAGATAACATTTGAATCACCAAAATTTGTTTAGCCCGTGAAGCTCATCATAGGTTGATTGACTTTGTGGTTCTAGAAATAATTTTTGGTGGAAAACAAGATTTATCTACGTAGTTATTTTAATTTACACAAGAGTAAACTCTTCCATGTTGATATATAGAACACAGTATCTCACGAAATAAAAGGTTAATTTTGACATAACATTAGCGCAGTTTTTTTTTAGAAAATGTGTTAGCTGTATCTGAGGATATATATTAGCATCTCCGAAATGGAAATTTTTTGATTCAAAGTCATTCAAAGTTAACTCAGATCTTCCATTGCGGTCAATGAAATTGATCGAGGTCAAGTGTTAAATCAAACCACACAGTATGAATGTGTATGGCAGGAATTTGGCTAAAAATGAATATGGCCATTTAAGGGGATGTGTCTTGATGTAGGGATGTCTTCATGTATATCCAGAGGGAAAAAGCAATAATAGTTTATTGACCATTGGTTTTTCAATTGCAACTAATACTGCTCACATCAAGGTTTTATCAAATACCACACAGTGGTCATAACATGTCTTTTCACATAGACATCTTGCTTCACCACATAGGTGTACTCCCAGCAAAAATTAAAAGAACTATTTCTTCTATCGATCAATATTGTGTTACAATTCCCCCACCTCAAAAGGAGAAACAATGTCAATAAAAAGACTCTCTGAATTCTAACTGATAAAAAAAATTAGCTCCAGTCTAAATGTACATGACAGAATTCACATCGTAACTAAAAATACCACATTTTTTTCTTCATTCAAACAAAAACACAAAAGGAATTAATTGAAACTTCAGCTGCGACCCACTGCCCTTAGTGTATGTAAATATGTTTATGTCTGGCATGAGCTGAGGACAGTGGCATAAAATCAGAGACTTTTTCGGCTTTTATATGTGCCAAGCGCTTGCCACAAAATAAGGCTCGTTAGTTTCCTATAAAAGTTTTGAACAAAGTGAGTCAGAATGAGTAAAATTAAGAATATGGCTTTAAAACGTGCGCGGAGATTAGGCTTAGCAGACTCTGGCAGACTTGGATGGATTTTTTTTAATATCAAAAGCTCCTACGTCTCACGCTGACACGTTATGTCTGGAAAGCATTTTATTTTATTTTCAAATTTTGGAACATGGTCAAAAACATGCGGCAGAGTACAAGCCAATGACTGGGTGTTTCATGACTTTAGGCAAAAAGATATATACGTGACTTTGCATGAAAATGACAGGCAATGGTCACATTTAAGGTTATAAAATTTTGTCGTCTCTTCGTGTCAGTATTAACGACAGTTCCCTCGGGTAAGATGAAAATTTCGATTTTCGACACAGCACATCGCAGAATAGCTGCAACCACACCGTAAAACGAAAATATAATAAGCTTACTAACGTTCCCTGACGAAACTTATACCCTGTAAGATTCAATCGAAAATGTAAGCTGAAATTTTGAGTAACCATAACATTTGCCAACAGAATTTTGTATGCTGTCCGTGTTTTGCACGACTGACTAAACTTCTGACACGGAATGACTATCTATTAATTGGTGTTCAGAATCTAAGTGTGAAATGATTGCGAGAACTGCTAAACTCGTGGTAAACTCACCGACATAACAGATGAATATTTCCAGGCAATGATCCCAACACCACCGCTGCAAAATACCTATTGAAAAATAGCACAAACCCGACAACTTTGTCGTTTAAAATCACGCCAACTAGTAATCACTACACGCAGATTTGAAAACACAGTCAAAGGAAAAATAAAATTACTTACCGTAAAGCCAGCCCAGTATGGACAGGCATTTCGGATTCTTTCCGAAGACGTAAATACGAAGGCTGTGAACGATAGCGTAGTTAGTGAAAGACCTAGAAGGATTTGAACTACACCAAACGCAAGTGTAGTCCGTCGGATCTTCCATAGTTGTTGATTTCGGGTTTCCTGAGCGCTCATTTCACCAATATGATAGCTTCAACGTGTCAGGAAAACGATTGAGCGAGCATAGCACGAAGTAAGAACGATAATGGACAGCCTGAGGGCTAGAATACCGTGGATCTTTGAAAATTTAACTTTACCATCTTCAGTTCCAGACGATATAACCGGAAGCCTCATTCTGATGCCCCGTCTGGTATGAAATCTTTTCTTCCTATCCCGGGGCAGGTAGTCGACTAAAAATAATTTCCTTCCATTCATGAAACCAGGGCAAGAAAAGTGGACACAAACACCTCTTTTCGCTCGTTTTCCTTGTGTTCCTTTAATCTAGGTCTAAAATAGTAATATAGAAGGCAAAAGATAGGTAAATTTCGTCATTTTTGAGTTATTACCAAGTTCAATCGCCACCCCACCCTACTTAGGCTCAGAATATTTTTTTTGCGGTTTTTGTTCCAGACAAATGTCAAAAGAAACTGAATTTCTCTGCGGCTAAATTTGTTAAATTTCACGGGTGCAAATTTTTATTATCGCCAGTCGTGGTATCCTCAGCCCTTGACATTTTGCGACAGATACGCGGAAACGCAATTTTTTTTAAAGAATCGAAAAGGTGCATTGAATTTCTGTGCGTGTAACTGTTGTATGACCCAATGTTTACTTTACGAGTAACCAACTGAGTTAGACTAAACAGCGGCGCATATCAAAGCAGCTTAATAAATTATTCACGACCTTTCAGAGTCTGTTAATTCTTTTTTTCCGGTGAGCGAAGATATTAGCATAAAGTTATCAACTTGATCAGAATACTCGTTAAGTTTCGATCTGACAAAGCGCCCGATAGAAATATGCTTTTCGCATAGGGTTTGAGCAAGATTATTGGTGTGCTCGTTCCTGAACCCCATACGGGGCTCTATTTAGTGCTTTTCAGTTTGCGTGCTAATTATATTCGCCACATACTGCCCCTTGTTTACCAAACATTAAAACAATTTCATTATATATTCGAACAAGTTGAAATTCACTTAGAGCGATGTTTTCATAGCTTGTCGTCGAAAACATCGTTTCTTGAATCATTGCCGGTGGGGATGGGGTATAATACTCTCCTAGTGACTACCAGAGGTGCCTAAATCTCAGTTTTGTAGAGAGCCATACCGTGACCTGCCCCCCAAGATTCAATGCACCAGGCAGTCACGTACTTATAGCGGGGTTAGTCCACAATTGGGAGACGCGTATAATCTTCAAACTGTCTTTGTAGCTCAATATCAAACCTAAACTAAGTCTTTTTTGTCGATAAAAAAGGGAAACATAAGTGGAAAAAGCAGAAGTTTTCTTTAGGCGCAACACCTTTTTTAAAATCGCCACAGTTGTTTCGAGTGACTGGAAACTGAAAGAAAAGACTGAGGTAGTTGGAGATAAAAGAATTAGTCTGCCACCCAATGTTTTCAACGAAAAAAAGGAAAACAATGTCCGACAGACGCAGCTGTGTTTGGAAATGTTTTAAAATTTGCCGTGACATGTGCCTATGTATTTTCCTTTCGAAAATGTACAAGGCGCGTGTGTAGAACTAATAATCGGACATTGCATGGTCGAAAAGTGAGAAAATTTAATGAGGTTCTGTTTTTCACTTCACATTGACTCTCTAAAAATGAGATAATATTAAATCTCAGCGTGTTCTCGCATTAAGAACGCCATTCGTCTATGAATAATGACAATAAGTAGCCACTGGCCAATTAATCATCTACTCACAGCAGTCGTCTACGACCTCTCTTTCAATTTCATCTAATTTCCCTCACCCCGAAACTAACCAAGCAAGAAGTTTTTTTAGGACATAGGAGTTCGCCAGTTTTCTAATTTATCATTAGACCTTGGACTTATCCGGAGAAACGGAAGGAGTCAAATGAGTGAGGCCTTATCACAATGGAGCGACGGAGCGGAGTGTTCAATGAAGACGAATAGGACGGCCGGAGTTGTATGAACTACTTCGGACCGACGTTTCGTCTGTTTTCTGTAGTGAGTCGTATCGCTAGCTTACGCCCAAACGGAAATAAACTTAGATAAATACGTCTGCAAGCAGCCTACGCATTATTAACAGAGTTCTTCATAGTTTTCATGCTGATCATGTGTAAAAATATTTCACAACCGTTTAGGCGGTGACCCACAGCAACCAAGCATTTTCAATTTTCAGTTTATCGTTTGAGACTCAGTATTAAAAATGGAAATGGGGAACAACAAAAAAAGAAAAAAAATCCCTTGATTTTCAAGGACACGTAAGAAATTCGTTAATTTTTGGCGGTCTACTTTTGTTCCGGTTCAGTATTGTTAATGGGTACTGCGAGAAGTAGTTTCTCCAGGCCGGACGCCATAGTTAGATACGTGATGTCCGGCCTGAAGAAACCACTGTGTTAAGGGTGCAAGATGGTGTCTGAATAGCCCAATTTACAGCTTTCTTCCCCTGTTAGCTTGTCCTGCCTGTGTTTCGACTCGTCTAGCAATCAGTTAAGAAGCGTCATTCCTAAAAGGGCCATTGTTTAAATCAGAATAATTTTGAATCTCAATATTGGCCAAATTTCAAACAATCAGTCAACACTAGCGTAGAGGAACTTTTAAAAGCTCTTACGAGACACAACAGGAAAATGCTTACAGACGTGTTTGTGGTGGTTATCAATTGACCTGTCTCCAATTCTTCAGTGTTTTGACTTTCTCATTCTAACTCTTCGTCTTTTGTACAAGCAGTCTCGAGAGTGAGTTAACCCTCAGATGTTTTTTTTTTCTAGAGACGTCCTTTATGACTCCAGTAAAAAAGCTGAACCGGTTCGTAACTGTACTAGCATTGTCGGAGTTATTTTATCTGATGTTTCAGAGCCATTAAGCCGTAAAAAGCGATACTCTTACGTATAAAGCGATACTCTTTTTTTCAACTTTTGACATTGTCAAAATAGAGGGAAGCGAATCCGTCAACACCAATGGAAAGAACACCTTGGAATTAGTCAAAAAAAGCGAAGATATAGTTTCGCAAAGTTAAGAAAATTTACAGACGTTTGTTTGGTGGGGAGCAAATTTGTGCCCCCCTCCCCCCTCCATAAAAACGTCTGCGACTTTAAAGGGGTTAGTTTTAATTTTCTACGAATCAACTTCAAACTTGACAATTTTGCTAATTTGTAAAGTTGCTCTGTACAGTGGAGTCGACGGATTTTTCCTAAATTGTCCATGTTAGAGGTTAAAAAAAAAAACGGTGGAAAGGTCTATAGAGTATAAAACACTGTAGCCGTATCTTCATCATATTGTGTTTGTACTGCAATACATATCGAGTAAACACAAAATTACAAATGTGAAACAAAACTTTTGTTTTATTATAAAGTTTCCGTAAAGCCGAAAACGTCTTAAAAAACAAACCATTACACTATTTACCAGATCGCTCCATAACTAAAGTGGTTGGGTAAAAATTTTAAAAAAACTCTAGCGTCAAATACTGTATTTTAGAAAACTGTTTATAATACCGTATGTCCAACAGACGCAGGTGTGTAAATAGCACGCTTTGCCGTGACACTGGCCTGGCTGTTTCTGTTTTTTTCCTCAAAGTAGCCGCATACCTGGAGGCTAACGCCAATCGAACTGGGGGACAGAAAGTAAATAATGCCCACTGTAATATTCAGTTTTTGTCCGTCTTTGTCTCTTTTGGCTGGAATAAAGTAAATTTCTGCGTGTTCCTCTCCGCACGGATCGCCATCTGAACTCCATGGGTGGGTCGTTATTGATAGCGGGGAAGACTGCCTGTTGGTATAAAACTCTACTACAATGAAGCTAGTTATAAACTCGCCCAGAATTAACAAATAGTCCAATATTAACGCGCAAGTGAACTAACCGGTAATCTACATTTATTACGAGACGCCCTGGTTCTCGAATAAACAAAGTTAGAACTGAATAAGAAAACTAATAAATAAATGTTTCGTCCGTGGGTTGAAAGGAAGGTGTTTCGTGTCGCGATAAATCGCCTGGGTAATGAGTTGTCCTAGTTCTACGCCGGGTTAACTTCAGCTAAGAGGGTAAACGCGCCAAAACTGAACTCCGACTCAAGCTGAGCGTTTACAGAGTAGTTTCCAAAACATACTTTTTTTTTTATCTCGGTTTGCATGTTCCAAATGACTTTCAAACAACAACGACGAAACGTTATTTATCTATTCTATTGTAGTTTAAAGTCTTTCTCCGGGTTTAATGGAACACGATAACAGATAAACGCCTTTCTTCTACTGAACTGGGCCCTAGGCGATGAAGTTATTAGCGATTTTCAACGATGGCTGGGCGCGACCAAGAAATGGCTCCGCATCCCTTTTGTAAAATTGTTGTAAATGCAGTGTTTTTAAAATATGAAAAAATCACAAAAGCAAGTAATTTTCTCGACTTTTCACAACCAAGAAATCGTTCTGTTAGTCCTTTACGTTTTACAGACCGAAATGACAGATCTCCCTATCCTTTCATACACTTCAACTTGTAAAATCCCTAACCTTTCATATACCTGATGCCTGAAAGAGGTACCCCTTTCAGGCGGAGCCTTTCCGTATTGGCCATCATTATAGGGAGTCCCCCCAGGCACAAAATAGATAAAAACACATTGTAGTCGCATCTTCATCATAGTAAGGACCTTAAGCAAGGACGACAACAACAACGTCAAAAAGCAATTGGTTTTATGAGCAAAACAACTGCTTGGCACGTGCATCACGTCTAGGCCTTTTACTTATTAAATTTCGAAATAATTTCAGATATAAGCAAGTTCTAAGGTCTTGTAATGTCTAGAAAAAGTGTCTTGAGGACATGGGAACTAGTTTTTCAGTTTGGAGATTTTTCAGGAGCCAGGAGTCCATGAAGATCAGCTGAAATACTAAAAAAAAGCAAGATTTGAAATGCCTTGAACCTTTTTGACGGTTAATATCAATCTGTATTTTTGACTGTTGACAGTAAAAATGTTACCTTTTTTGACGGTTTACGGTTAAAGTTTAGGCTGTTTGACGGCTGACGGTTGACCTCATTGAGACACTCTAAGAAAGTTTACCGCCAGCCTTAAAAAAAGGAAACAATGTCCAATGTCCAAACAGACGTAAGTGTGTAAAATACATCTTAAAGAAATAAAAGCACGTCCTGCCATGCAAGAAGCCTAAGAAAACCTTAACCGCATGCCTAGAGGCTAATAAATCGAACTGGGGGTCGAAAAGCAAATATAGCCCATTAGTAATTTAAAAGTTTTCGTCTCCTGCTTTGTTTCTTTGACTAGTATGAAAGAAATGCTACACCACCGGTTTTGCCCACACGGATCGTCATTATTTGGCAAAATATAGACAGGAGCTGTAGCCCACCTGCTAGTGAGATGTTTCCATTCCCGGGGGACTCCCAAAGTGACGGTGATGCTTGTCGTCTCTCTTAGAGTATTGGGACGGAAAGTCGCTTAGGGTTATGCAAAAACAAATTTAGTTACAAAAAATGCCATTACACTGACCACACAGAAATTTAAAGTTTAAAAAACAACACGAGATCCCAGGCACTTATTTAGATCCCTAGCTTTTATTTAGATGCCTGTTTTAGTATGGTCTTCCTTAGGGAGGGGTCAGTTGAAGCTTGAGCCACCCCATTATGTGTTTAATTTTAATTTCCCGAGGAGCATCTCTGTCATTTTTATGTGGGATTCCCCCTGGGGTTTCTATTCCTGGGGGTTCTACCTTAATTACCCACAACGAAACTAAGCTAAAACAAAATAAAGCTACCACTAAATAAGCCTAATCTATCATAAGACTTTCTGCTCTCCCAAGAAGAAAGTAATGAATAAATAAGAAACGCTGAAAAAAAAAACATAAAATAAATTAACAATGTTAATTTGTAACATTAGGAAGCTCTCCATCTTATTTTACTCACTAAACAAGTATCCCCCACCGATCAGCTTTTCAGGCAAGCATTGAATTATTCAAATTACATGTTGTAATTGCTACTACTGGTACGCCATCGCCTCGGTGTGGTTAACAAAGAACGGCTAAGGTAGCCCGAAATAATTCTTGTAAATTTTTCTTTGGATGAATGGTATATAATTCGAGGCTGTCAAATATTCATACAATTGATCTTCATTAGATTAAATTTTTCCAAGAAAAACTAATCTAAATGGGATGTCAAGTTAGCCTCCTCTTCTTTTCTTTCCACCTTGTTAAGAAAATTCCCGAAAAATGACCTCTATGATGACTCGTTTTTGGGCTACCTGTGGTTTTGTCTAAAAAACAACGGAAAAACAATCAAAGAGCCAACAGGCAACTTAACCGTTTGGAGAATTTCAAACCCCGATATTGAGCTTACTGCTAACATTCGCCTCACCTGTATTGAAAACCTTTTAAAGCTGTCAGGAGATTATTCAAAATATACCTTCTGGCCAGAAGACCAATACATTTCTCATTGTAATTAAGAATCCTACGCTATATACGCCTCATGGCTTTGTTGGGCTTCCTCGCCATTTTCCTTTTATTGGTCCTCTGTTACGTTCTTAACAATTCGGCAATTTTATTTTGTGGCGCCGATACAAAACACACAAATTCACCGTAAACATAGACTTTAACATAAACTCAGGAGCCCAAACTTCTCTTTCTGTAAAATTACATTGCAAAATATCGCTATAGAGCTATAGTGATGTTTCATATTTTTGAATTGTGACGATTTAATACCTGAAAATATACCTGTTTGCTAGATTACTTTAATAAATGGTAACGAGTTTTTCTTAGTCGGCCTAGCTGTACACTCTGTTGTGCTTCTCACACTAAATATCTAACCCCGTTTCTCGGAAAGAAAAAGGCCCCATTGGGGCGCTAATTGATTTTATTTAAAATTTCTACAATAAAACGTGCATCATCAACACCAAAATCACTATGGTCCCGATTATTGTCACCATCATAATCAACATTTTTCTTAATGACATCGTAATCACCACTTATTATACAAACACCAGTGAAATACCAGGTGAGCTTTCGCGCGAAAACTTGATATCTTCACATGTGAAAATATCACCATTGCTATGGCTTCATAATAAACCGCACCGTTCAGACCAAAAAAGATAACACGTAAAATGGTGTTTAAAATATCACCATTGCTTATGTAATTTCTCCTCTCGTGTTGAAAAAAAAACCGCACCTTCCAGACCATGTAATAAAAACATCATCTTTAAGATCACCATCGATGAAATCCGCACCATCCTTACAAGCGCTATTGGCTTTAAATGAATCGTATACCTTTTTCTGCGCCTGATCCTCCTCCTCCTCATCATCAATTTATATCTAGCCGATATTTTGAAAACGAAAATCATACCAACGAAGGAAAAGGAAATCTTTTTAAGGAGAAAAAGAAAGAACGAAGAGGACGAAAGGAGAAGGAAAAAAGCAAAGGTTGCACTCTTAGTTTTTATGATGGCTACTGTTTGACGGAAGAGGTCTTTTTGGCGCTAACGTTTTCAAAAATACGGCTAGATATACAGTCATGTTATCATCATCATCATCATCATTATCACCATCATCATTGTCAGCTGTTAATCATCGTCATCGGGATCATCACATGACTGTTCACCCATCAATACCAAGATGGCAGTCATTACCTTTACCATTCTTTTCATTGCAAGCCTTATTTGTGTCCAGGTAATCAACATCGCCATCATCACCAACACCATCATTGCATGTCACTGATAACCTTCGACAAATTGAACAGGAAACCTAACTACTTCACCAACACTTCCAAATTCCAATTCGACCAGGAATCAGGTAGACGAAGAACTACAGAGTGGATGTGCTACCTATACATCGTCACTTTTTACTGATTATTCATTGGTATGTGCATTTACTACACTCTTTGACGGTGCGCACTCAAATCATTTTAATTTGTTAAAGTAACTTTACATTCTTCTTCCCAGTTGTCTATAAAATACTCGGAGACCAACTCCTTGAATCTGAAAGACAAGAAGACCCTCTTTTAGTGCCTGGGAAAGTCACTTTGTCTTGCTTTGCGGATGATTAAACTTGTTAGCATAACTTTCAAAACTTACTTGTTTAATGGACACAGAGGACCCGAACATCCTGGAAGAACCTTTTCCTGACAAAAACACAAGGAGAACAAATTAACTAACATTATTTTTGAATAACTGGAAACAATTTTCCATTCGCTTTAAGGGATTGTTTTGCGCATAGATTCTCATCACTTTCACAGTTTTTCTTTCACTTTGCATAGTTGGGGGGTGCTAATTGGCTTACAGAACTTCGCATACGCGCGTTTTCCCGCGCTCCCGCGCCTGGGGTACCTTCGCATTTTGATAGGTTCATTTGATTGCCTGCCTCCGTTGTGATTGGCCAGAATAAATACTGCTTTTGCGCCTTCCTTTATGCAGTCTCCCATGCACCCGTTCTTGGACTTGTCACGCAACGAGTGCTGCGTGACGAGACAAGGAACGGCTGCTCGAAACTGTGTGGGAGACTGGAGGACTTTAGATTCGAGGACGAGATTTAACTTAAAGCTTTATTTGCGTATTCCCAAAAAATAGACACCCCGGAAAGCTTCATTGTATTTTTTTTTTCACCAAAAAAGTTGGCACTGTTGTTATTATTATTAAAAAAATATGACGAAACTTCTGACATTTGATGAGGCTTGATCGCTTTGTTGCCGCAAAACTAAGACATTTCCGCCAAAACTCCCAGTAGAATGACGACGGCTGTCAAGTTTTCCCGCCAAAATGACACTGAAATACGCGCGCGCAGTATCTCGTACTAGTAGTCGTCCTCGGTGACGACGGTAGACCCTAATCCTACCAAACTCCCTTCCACGCCTTTTATGGGAGGGGGTATCAATCGAGACAAGCTGTACCCCATGAACTGGTCTAAGTTTCATCATCTCTTTCTCATTTCTCAAATTGCAACACCGTTGGATGAGATGAAACTTACCTCGCCTTTGTATAAAACTCTTATATAGTACTGGCGATCCTAAAATATTCAACAAAACAAAATATATTTTTAACATATCTATTAGTTTAAGTAATCGACTGTAACTAAGTTGTTAAATTTGAAGGGAAAGCTTTATCTAAGTTAAAAACTACAACAAATTAAATATTTCTGCGGAAATAAAAATAAAATGCAGCAGGGACGAAAAGTTCATTTAGAAGATTTGTCTTGAGAATGATTGACTGATTGATTGATTGATTTAAGCTCAAATTATTGGATGGAAATAAGACGTAATGTTGCTTTTACGTTTCTGCTCAATTTCAGAACTTTTTCAAGCTTGTAAATAACTTCAGATACCGTAAATATTCGATTAACCTCCTTGGGCGCTTATTAAATTTTTGGACCTTGAGAGTGCGCACTTATTAAATTTTCAACATTTTCAGCAAGTGTAGTATGTGTATTTTGCAACAAAACAATAAATGGTAATAACAAACGCGAAGATATAACAAAGCAAGGGTCCTGTAAAATACTTTGAAGAAAACTCCGTCTTCGGGGAAGTCTGTTATTAGTACTTGTGGGTGGGCTGTAGTCTGCTACACATAGTGTGGAGGAACATTGCGTGACGACATTAAAAACGGCTGTGTAGCAGACTAGGAGGGGTGGGGTGGGCGCTTATTCGAGGCTGGGCGCTTATCAACTTTTTCTGCCTCTAGGATGGGCGCTTATTCGAGGTGGGTGCTAATTCGAGGTTGGGCGCTTATTCGAATAAATACGGTAATCAACTGAAGTTATTCTGATAATTTCCATAACTTTGACAGATAGCCTATGTATACCTTATCCCTGTAGAGCTCAAATGCAATATCAGCAGCGAAGTCGGGCCATTTGTCATCGAGCACACCAAGTAACATCAATATTGGTGCTAGAGTGACGTCATGCGCTGAATACAGCATCATTTTGTAATTGCTGTTGGAGACAAACGCCATAAATTATCAAGAACCCTGGTGAATGGAACTGCATTGGCACTGGGCATATTCATTACACCCTTTTGTCAACTATAAAACTCTTACTCACTGAATTGCATACAGTATCCCCCCACCCCATGTACGGCAATGCGGATGCCGAATTCGAAGAAATTTGTGCTTGTTTATTTGGGAAATTTTTTCCTTGAGAAATCCAGAATCCTGGGTTTTAGAACCAGGAATACAGCTCAAGGAATCCAGAATTCTACTAACGATAAGAAACTGGAATCCAAGTTCCATTTAAAAAGACTGGAGCTCCATTACATTGAATACGAAATCAACAGCGTGGAATCCAGGATCCAAGTAACCTGAGATCAGGCTCAATTTTCGTTTCGCTTTGTAATAACATTCCGGCGGGCAAGGCGAAACGAATTTTAGCGGTAGCCGTTAGAGAGAATGTATGAGAACCGCTAAAATTGGGCCTGATCTCAGGTTAGGATCCAAGACAGTCTCGGATTCGCTTACATGGAACGAAGTCTCCCTTTTACCAAAGATCATCAAGACGGAGCACTTTATACTATAGCAGGCGGCTGCTGTCAATTTTGATGTAACAAACATCATTCCTCACTAGTAGTATATAGTAAATATGTTTCACCTATGTAAGGTAAACCAGATTCCAGGATCTAAGGAATTTTTGATTGTGGAATCCGGAATCCTGAGCTTTGGAATCTGGAAAAAAGATTCCTTGGAAAAATGGAATTTAAGGACTTTTCAAGGACTCCCCTAAAATTTAAAGACTTCTCAAGACTGTGCGAATCTTGAATTCTTAGCATATTTGGATAAAACTCTTCCAAGAAAATGTGGATTTTGCTTGTGGGGGCTTTAGGGTTAATTTAACATACTATCACATGAAACACTTTTATTAGATGCATGCACTTACTGTTTGCCATCAATTTTCTTGATAAAGTTGTCCATTATGTGTTCTAAAAACAATCCGATGCCAAGCGAAAAAATCTTCTTACTATAGTATATAAAATTGACAAAATGAAAGACAATTAAAGCTACACTGTAGAATTCTGTGATGTGTTCAGTTGTTGTAGTAGTTTTATCCACATGTGGAAGATTCAGTTGCAGGGGGTAAACAATTTAAAAGACATCCACAAATTACGGGAAAGAAATACAAATATGTTTGGGAAACTACAACTGTTTGCAGTTTTCAGTCATTGAAATGCTTTTATTACAGTTAAACCCTGTTAATGCGGACACATACAAAAAGTCCGTTTAAACGGGGTGTTTGTATTAAGCGGGTTCAATTCAGAGAAAATATAAGGGCTTTTTCCCCCAGGGATAAAGCAAACTGTCCAGTCAGTCACAGGGTCCAGAGGAGTTTCGTGTGAATAAATGAATTACTTATTTAAAGTCTCACCTTGAAAAATGTCTATACCAGTGTCGCTTCTCACGATTAATTAGCCCAATGGCATCTTTATAAATCTACTGTAAACGATGATCGACTTTTGAAAATCGATGACCGCAAGCCATATCCTTGCCGGCGCACAGCATGTCGCCCGAAGGGCGACCGAGGCACGAAGTGCCGAGTAAAAGAAATATTTTATACTGTAAGCCGATCTTGCGAGCCCTCAGTCTCTTGGTTTGCGGTCTATAGAATGTGTAACGAAACTGTTACGCGATCAAAATAACCCATTTTTTCGGAGGTTTTCGACGGGCTTTGATGTTCTAACGACAAACACATCTCCTCTGGACCCTGTGGTCAGTAATAAATGAGGTGTCCATAAGGCAGGGTTTGGTTGTATTCTAGAAAATAAGTGGATCTGCACTCAAAATCTCAGAAACATTCCTGATGTGTCTTGGAAACAGTTCTTGTAACTATATTTCTTCTCTTCTCAGAGTAACTCTGAGTGACTCAAGGCTTGAACTTCTCAAGGGCTTCAGGGGTCTCATCACCCCTTCAATCTACTGTATTCCTTTTTCTGCTTAGTTTCTAATGCCCTACTCACAAAATTGTCACATTTATAATGTGCACCATTTGATACAGTCAAACCTCTAACTTACCTTTAACTCTTACTGGCCATTTAATAGAGGTATGAAACAATATAAAATAACGTTTCGGAATGGGGCGTAGATTGATAGTGAGGGCCTCAGTCTTAACTGGTAGAGGTGGCTGTTTAATAAAGGTTCTCTGCCAACATTGATTTATTGACAATTTATTTCTGCACTGATCTGACAACTGGTTCCTGAATATAAATTGGCCACTTACATGTAATATAGGTTTGAATGTAACAAAAACCTTGCAAGAATTATCTTTACTTTCAGAGAGCTGTTTCCTTCAGAATGCTCATTTATACTTTCAGATTTGATCGACGATAGTTGTTGTTAGCCTCTCTAGACAGCAATTGCCTTACCCTGCGAGCAGAGGCTACATTTTGGCTGTGTGAGCTGTTGTGCGAACAGTAGCCTTTGCTGATAACCTTTCAATTTTCTATCATACATGTGCGAAACTAGTCATGCGATTCGCAGGCAAAATTAATTGTCAGGTCTGTCGTCACGGGCAAATATTAATGGCACAAGTTTCGCGGGGATAAAAAAATTGCAACAACTGCCACAACAACTCTGATCTGCCACGCAAGACTCACTCAATGCTCTCAACCGGTCAAGAACAGGAAAAAACCCGTTTTTTAAATTTATTCATCCAGATTTCTGGACAGATTTGAACGGTTGTTGGCAGACGCTACTTTTCGCATGCCAGCTCACACAGTAAAAATATAGCCTCTGCTCGCAGGGTACAATTGCCTCATAATTAGGGGAACAACAATGCTGTCAATCTTTAAATGACAGGTATGTAAAACCTGATAGATTCCCTGGGAGGTACTCAACAATGTTTGGCACAGGCAGGCTCTGCCTTGAGGTCCAACTGGCCTTACCTTCTATATACCATTTTTACTACAAAAAATACTCCTTTTGTATACCGTCCATTGACAAATTAATGGTACCCCTATCATGTACCTAGTTTAGAATGTTGCACCCCTTTTAACTGCTGAGAATGCACTGTTTTTGAAATATGAAAAAATACAAAACCAGGAAATTTTCTTGACCTTTTCACAGCCATAAATTTTTTCCATTAGCTCTTTTAGGTCGATGGAATGACAAATTTCCCTACCCTTTTTTATACTTCAAATAGTGAAATCCCTAACCTTTCATACACCTGAGGCCTGAAAAGGTACCCCTTTCAGGCAGAGCCTCCCCTTATAGGCTATTTTAGAGAGTATCTCCTGTCCAGGGGACAGTCATAACATTACCACGAGCAGTTCACAAAAACCCTTGTAGATCGAGTGTAGTGAAGTGAAGTTTATAGCAGGTAACATTACTTACCTATTTCCTAAATTAACTCCATACTGCAGTGAGAGAAATAGCTGCAGAGCTTGTTCTTCTATTAAATTTAAGTTTTGAAGAATATTTTTTGGAACTTCCATGTTATGAGCCTGCAAATTGAAAAAATGTATTTGAGTTTAACTTGATTTACTTTCAGGCAATCAGACTTTCTCAGTTACAGTAACTGACAAATAATTACAAAGGGGTTAATGATAAGATCGAAGACCTAACATTATGTATCCAACGTATTAAAAGGAACCTTTCGGAGCAAGGTACAAAGTGTGGAGTAAAAATAAAGAGAAAAATAAAAAAAATCAAGTATGCTGTAAGCCTATCTTGGCATCTTCAGTCCCTTTCTAAGGTATATACTGTATGTTGTGTAACATAAACAAATGTGATGCAATGACAGGGTGATCAAAATAACTATTGTGATTATATTTTGATAGCTTAATGATTTGATCGTTCAAGTTCATACTGATTCTACAATAAACAAAGGCAATTTGAGCCATTAAATGAAAAATTTAACTGCAATCAAGGTCACAAAAACTCTTCTGCACTGCTGTGATTGAATTAAGGTCAAAATTAACATAGTGTATGCACTCACCATCATTGCAGACACAATATCCTTTAGGTGAATTGAAGATAATTTATTGTCTCCATTCAAATTCAAAGCCTGTTCAAGCTTTTCCTGCCTATCATAAAATCCCTTTATGTGGTCCAAGCCTTTGGCATGAAGAAAATACTTCCAGCAGTTTTTCAAAGCTTTACAGTGAGATACATTTGGGTACAAGAACTCTTTTTCTTCATGTTCTGTGTACATTGTTAATTCTGAAACAAATCAACGCCCAGATCTTCCTCAGTTTTGGGTAAATAAATACATTAACTGCAATAACAACACCCAGGCTCTTCAAAATAGATGTACTGTATATATAATAAATTTAACTTTTCTTAGTGGAGGGTATCATATTGGGTATCAAATTTACCGTATTTAAACGTTCCATTTGTAAAACTTTGAATTGTAGACTCGCATGTCTAATTTTTCTTATTTTGTGAATTTTCATGTCCTAACATTTTCGGAAAAACCTCTTTTTCAATTAGCTTTAGCAAAATTTTGCTTATTTTGGTTGGGTGAAATGTTTGCAGGTTTTTCTTTTTTTTTTAAGTTTACTTTAATTTCTTACTTGTAAACTTTTTCATGTGCAATAAAGTTGTTGTTGTTGTACTGGAAATACATGTAGATCAACAGGAAGATTTAATGAGGCTTACAGCAGGCCACAATGCTTGGAGGACTATCAGAATATTGAACAAAACTGTGTTATTTAATGCCTTTTGCTCGACAAAAGCTCTCAAAAAACATCCTTGGTTTTAACTTTAATGTGCTAATAATAATACAACTAGGAAAAGAAACAAGCCCATCAACCTAGTCTCCCCCATTCAAAGCTGTTAGTCCAAGTTAAAACTATGGGCTTTCATTTCTAGCACCTTTGATAAGGTTTGGAGGGATGGAATGTCTGCGATCACACCCTTGTACAAATTTGTCAGTGATCCCATCATTGCGATAATTTTTTACAAGGACAGGTACATCACCACATTATGTTAAGGGCTTATGCAACTGGTTGTACATTTCGTTTTTTATATATCAGGGTAAGAAAATACATGAAAATTATTCGCCTCGTCACTGAAAGGGCAAAATGTTGTTTCAGTTTACACGCAGTCTAGCCTAGACCCTGGAGGAGTTTAAACCTAAAATTTAGTCAACTGCTAGTTTTTCTTTAACAAAACAATACTGTCTGATGCATCACTACATGTGCATGTCTGCACTGCTCTGGAGTAGTGTAACATTATTGTCATCTTGGAGATATTTGCACACATTTGTAATAAGCTTTGCTTAGATGAACGGGTTCAGGGTTTTAACTAAGAAACATAACAAGGGTTGACTGGCTCGAAGGTTTATTGATCTCTTTTTGGTACGGAATGTGGTTGATATATATAGCACATTCCAGGGGGTAGGATTACATGTCAGTCAACTGTAGCATCAATCAGTATTATTATTACATCTCCCTTTTTGAGAATGAAATCAAACACTATCATTAAAAAAAAATAATCGAATAATAGCAATGACACTTCCGGTATGACAAAAGTTCAATGTTCTAATTTTCAGTGTTCAGTTCTTAGAAATTCATGACATAGTCCTTGAATTTAAAGGGAAGAGTAGTGATTCGCGAGGAGCGTCTAGGTGGTGTCGTCGATTCTGGGTTGTTGGGTTGCTGTTGTTCAGGAAGTTGTACAGGGTCTTGTTCTTTGTTGGGGGTTGCTGAGGTTTTCTGAGTTTCTGTAGTGTAATTAAAGTCGTTGTCTTGCGGGACTGATATTACAGGAGGGTTTTCTCCAGTTTGTAGCAGATCCTTGCGATTCCGGCGATATTGTTGTCCGGTCGTAGTTGTGACTAAATAGGATCTCGGGGTTTCTGCTTTCTCGTTTACTACGGCAGGTACCCAGGTCTTTCCTTGGCGTAGACGGACAGCTTCCTGTGGTTTGAGATCTGTCAAGGGCTTTGCTCCGTGATTGTAATAGTGCACTTGCTGATGTTGACAGGCTAACAGTTGTTGTTTGACCTCAGTAGCAATCTTTGGTTTCAGGAGTTCTTGTGTTACGGGGATCTTGGTTCTGGTGGTGCGACTCATGAGAAGCTGGGATGGCGAATATGTCATTCCTGTCACTGGAGTATTTCTGTACTCCATTAGGCCGATGTATGGGTCGCTTGCTTTCTTTAGTATTCGCTTAACGGTTTGTACTGCTTTCTCACTGAGGCCATTAGACTGCGGATATGTGGGGCTTGAGGTGATCAGTTCAAATCCCCAGTCGCTCTGCGAATCGTTTGAACTCTTTACTGTTGTAAGGCATGTTGTCTGATACGAGCTCTTCAGGGATGCCGTGTCTAGCGTTAAGATTGACTTTCATGTGCGTGACAATGGTTCCCGCGGTTTTGTCACGCATTAGGCTAGTTTCGATGTACTTGGGTAGTAGTCCACCACTACTAGGTACGGTTTTCCTTTGTGTTCAAACACATCGGATCCGAGCTTTTGCCATGGACGATCTGGTATGGCATGGGGAATCATCGGTTCCTTCTGGTTCTTGTGTCTGTGTGTCAAGCATGTCGGGCACTTGACAACAGTATCATGGATGTCGCGTGACATTCCAGGCCAATAAACAATGGCTCTTGCTCGTGCTTTACACTTTTCAATTCCAAGATGGCTTTCATGTATCATTTCCAGGACGCTGTGCTGCATGGCTTTTGGAATGAGAAGCTGTCTTCCTTTGAATAGAAGACCGTCGGCTTCACTTAGCTCATCTCTGACAATCCAGTATGGCGAGAGGATTGGTCTCAAGGCTTTTCTATGGGGTGGGAAACCTTTTTTGTATTTGAGCTTTCAGCGCCTGAAGTGTTGCATCTTTGGCGGTTTCATTTTTTCAGCTGTGTCAACTTTTCTGGACTCGCTGGGATTTCGGTGATGAAACTGTGGATCATCACTTGATGTCATCATTGAGGTCTTGGGGACCCTCAACAGTCTCATTTAGGCACGCTCTCGATAGAGTGTCTGCAATGAACATCAGTTTTCGGGTACAAAATGAACTGTCAAATTGTACTTTTGAAGCCTGATTAGCAATCGTTGAATTCTCGGGGTGTCTGAGATAATGGCTTTCTCATTATCGCCTCAAGTGGTTTGTGGTCACTTTGCACAATTATGTCATTGCCGTGAGACAAATTGGTGAAATCGCTCGCACGCAAATACAATAGCCAATAGTTCTTTTCGATTTGAGCATAGTTCTGTTCGGCATTCGTCAGCGATCTTGACGCGTAAATCACGGGTGTCCTTCTTGCAGGAGGCAACTTCCGATTCCACTTTTTAAGCGTCGGTTTGGATTGTAGTTGGCTTGTCTTGGTTGAAATATTGCAGAACAGGAGTGTTCGTGAGTGCATGTTTCAGCTTATCTATCGCGGATCGATGTTCGTCATACCACACCCATTGCATGTTCTTTTTCAACAAGTTGCGTAGGGGGCTGTGATTTCTGACATGTTTGGTATGTACTGCGACAGATAGTTGACCATGCCAAGTAGGCGTTGCAAATCTTGCTTACATTGTGGTTCTGGCATTTCCACAATTGCTTTTATCTTCTCGGGATCTGGCTTGAATCCATCGGCGGTCACGATATCACCAAGATACTTCACTTGGTTGACGCGTAGCTGTACTTTGCTGCGGTTAAACTTTATGTTGCGTGATCTTTGCGTTCCAGCGCTTGTTTGAGAGCTAGGTCGTGTTCCGCAGTGTCCTTTCGGCGATGATAATGTCGCCGTGCACTGCGAGAACTCCTGGAATGTCGCTGAAGTTTTCATCCACCATTCTCTGAGCGGCGTCACTCGCTACACAGATACCAAACGGCATTCTGTTAAACTTGTATCTGCGAAAGGCGTGTTGAATGTGCACAAATAGGATGATTCTTCATCCAACTTTTTGTGCCAGTAGCAGTTACTCATGTCAATTACTGTAAAAACACGCTTCCCATTGAGCTTACTAGAAATGGTTTCGCTGTCGGCGGCTTATAATGTTCACGCTTGATTGCTCTGTTCAAATCTTTCGGATCTAAACAAAGTCTCAATGAGCCGTCTTTTTTTTTCCACGATGACTAGGCTGTTGACCCAGTCAGTTGCTTTTTCAACTTTGCTGATTACTTCCATTTCTGTCAGCTTCTCTAGTGTTTTCTGTAGGTTCGGCATCAGGCTCAGAGGAATTTTCCGTGACGGGTTGTATTGTAGGCCTTGCGTCTTCTCAAGCTCGATGTGAAATTCTCCGTTGACTAAACCAAGTCCGGTGAAGACATCTTTAAATTCGTCGAGAATTTCTGTTCCACTTGTTTTGACTTCATTAACATCGTTGTTAATGTTTATCAGTTCAGATCTCGGCAAGTTTGAAGGCCAATTAAGGGTTGAGCCTTTTCAACGGCGACAATAAAGAATTTGGCATCAAGGTTTTTGCTGTTTTTCTTGATTGTCATTGTGCATGTTCCTTTGATCGGCACACGTACCCCACCATATGCAGTTATCTTAACTTTAGTAGGCTGTAGGCTTGGCTTCTTGCTCAGTTTTTCATAGGCGTGTTGGGAATGACATTGCACTGTGCGCCTGTATCAATTTTGAAGCTGATCTCTTCCTCATTCACGGTTAATTTCGTGAACAGTTCGTTTTTTGTCATTTTGTGACGAATCTAATTCTCAAGGAATAGATCCTCATCTGAGTCAGTGTCTGTCTGCTGTTCGACTTCATTGAGTGTTTTGTGGCCAGTATTTGCTTTTTTTTGTGCGGCACATATGGGCTTAAGTGATCTCTCCTTGACATTTGTGACATGTTTGTCCAAACGCCCTGCATTGTTTTGGCTTGTGGATGTAACCACAACGACCACACGGTTTTATTTGCTGGTGCTGTTGTTTCTGCTGCCTTTTCTTCATAGGCTGATATCTTGGTGGCTGTTTTTGGTTCTTTGTGACGAAGTTTACGGCTGCTGCTTCAAGGCTGTTAAGGGACTCCGTTTGAGTTTTACTCGTCTCTGCGGCTCGTCACGGTATTTATGGCTACTTCTAGAGTGAGCTCGTTGTTGCGTAAGAGTCGCTCCCTTACACTCTGGCTGTCGATTCCACACACGATTCTGTCCTTTATTAGACTATCGTTGAGTGTTCCAAACTCGCAGGTTTTGGCTTTTGTGCGGAGATCGGTAACGGAAGGCGTCGATAGGCCGTCCGTTTTGCGTGCGAGAAGAAAAGATAGCGTTAAATGCGTGACGTTCTTCTTTGGGGCACAATGCGCCTCTAGCTTTGCCACGAGAGGTTCTATCTTATTCTCCTCGGCTTCTGTAAATGTAAAAAGTGTCGTATACTTGAGTGCCTCTTCTCCTATGGTGTGTAGTAAGACTGCACATTGTGTTTCTTCGTCTTTTGAGTCTACTCCACTCGCTTTCGCATAGAGGACCCACCTCTGTTTCCATTTTCGCCAGTTTTCTGCGACGTTGCCGTCCATTCGTAGAGGTCCTATGGGCTTCATGTGTTCCATGATTGGCCACTTCTGACACCATGTAATAAGCTTTGCTTAGATGAACGGGTTCAGGGTTTTAACTAAGAAACATAACAAGGGTTGACTGGCTCGAAGGTTTATTGATCTCTTTTTGGTACGGAATGTGGTTGATATATATAGCACATTCCAGGGGGTAGGATTACATGTCAGTCAACTGTAGCATCAATCAGTATTATTATTACACATTAGCATTGATTAATTGATATTAGTTGGCCAATAAGTATCCATTAAATTTTATTATCAGACACAAAACACTAAACAGCAATAAGTGCATAATCAATGGTTAAACAACAAACCTTTCAACCGTTCCTTTCCAAACATGCCTGCTAAAACACATCTGGCTGAGTCTATCGTCCTTTGAAAATCTGATGTACGAGTACTAAAAAATAAATACATTCAAATAGTAAGTTAAAAGTTACTGTTACTGAGAAACACAGTGGTTCTTCAACCTCTACAGAACAGAAAATTCCCTTCAATTTATATTAAGCCAGGGTGATTCAATTCTGTCCACTTATACCAATGTAACACACCTCAAAAAATAACGGAATGTTCAAACTTGAGTTTGAAAGTGAAGATAGAGAGTTTAAGCTTCAAGTATATGTTGTGGTTCAATTTTATCCTTGGTTTAAATTTTATTTCCCTTTGTTTTAAACTCATTATCATACACTACCATACCCGAAAACAAAAGGAAATAAAATTTAAACCAAGGATAAAATTGAACCACAAAATATACAGCAAACGACAAACATCAGATTTAAGTTTAGCATTGGAGCAAAATTATGTACATTTGACCTTCAATTGTTTTCACCTGTACTCTGTAACTTTCAGTTATTACTTGTTAATAAGTAGCGTGATAATACACAATGCTATTCTTAAAACTTACTAAATCTCCTCAGGATGGTAAGTTTCCTGTAAAAACTTCAGATTATCCACATACAGTTTTCCTCGCTTTTTCCCTAATTCATACATTTGTTGTTGTCCTACTTTTGTAAGCTGTCCAGCTGGAATTCCTCCCTGAAGAAAAACAGAAACACTGTAACAAATCTTACAGAGTCAGTTGGGGTTACATTGTAGGATTATGCCGATACACCCCCGCTCCCTCCACCCCCCCCCCCCAAAATAGTAATAATAATAATAATAATTCCAACTTGCAACATTTCTCTCATCCACAACATCCACTGTATATAGTATATACTAATTAACACTGAGGTAACCTTTCAAAATACTGCTGTGCTTTTTAATAACATGCAACCACATTAAAAAAGTTGAAAATTGAGGGTTTCATCCTTAGTTTCCATCAATCAGCCTAACAAACCTCTCAGGAAACATAGCTTTTCTTTAGCAACAACAAAAGGTCACATCCATAGGTTTTACTCGTGGTAAATCTAGATCCAATGCTTTTGTTTTCCCTTTTTGACGGAATAAATAAACTATAGTGTCTTTAGAACAAACTTTGTATGTTTGCAGTTAAAAAGTGCAGTCACGTCATGACCCCAGAAGTATTGTTTAAAATTGATGATTGCTAATAAATCCTGATATACAGTTAACTCTCTCTTCACAGACACGTCCACAAGATGGACACCTAGAGTTGGTTCCTGCCTTTCTTTACTCCCTTTATTTGACACTTTGTGTCTGTGTTAAAGCTGATTTTCACTAGCGAGAGAGCCGTAGTCGGAGTTGTGATCAGAAGTGTAGAGCTTATGATCTAGTGAAAACAGTGTTCTGATTCCACTTACGACTCCATTGCTTACGTTCCGTTTATGACCTAGTGAAAGTTTACCAGATTGTTGGAGTCGGAAGCAGAAGCAGAGGAACTAAACCAATCACAAAGCATGGGAACATTGTGGTTGGTTTATCCTTCTGCTTCTGCTTCCAACTCCGACAATCTGGTTTTCACTAGATCACAGGCGGAACGTAAGTGACAGAGTCGTAAGCGGAGTCGGAAGAAATGGAAACGTTCTGATTCTTCTGACTCCAATTCCGCTGCACTTATGACTCTGATTTTTTATTTTCACTAGGTCATAAGTGCTCTTACGACTTCTCTTACCACTTTGACTTCGACTTTGTCGCTAGTGAGAAACAGCTTTAGAGAAGATGACTGTATAACAACAGTTTTGGGGTTGTAAGAAAGAGAGAGAGAGGTTTATTTGATCCAGATATTTTGCACTTCAGTTTGGGAGGAGGGGGAGGCTCTCATGTTACAGGTGGATCACACAGCCACCGGTGATGTCCACCAGTATCGCACACTTAATAATGCATACTCTAATATAGCTGTAACATAAGAAAAGCCGGAGTCCAAATACTCAGCTATTTTTAAATTATCGCTGTTCAAAAGTCGCGAAATGATGCCATTTTCGTTCATGCAACGTAAGCATTCTTACGATCGGACCGGTCGCCGGTTTAATTTGAGAAATATTAAAGCAATTCAAACCTTTAAAAGTCTCTTCAATAATCTTTCTTTGCTTTCAGATACTGGGCAAGGTCCTCCAGACACATGTTTAAGCTCATAAGCCACATCTGTGTGTGGAAGTGTTCCCAGAAGATCGGCCGTCCAAGTTACCAGTTCTAATTCTTCACAAGGAGGACGAAAGACTGGAGTTCTTGCGCCATGTCTAAATGTCATTTGAACCAAGACCAACTCTAAATTTGATTCTGGTGTGGTTTCTTTCGTTTTGCTCGAGATTTCCCGGGATATCTTAAAAGCTCCGCCTGCAGCGGCTAAACTGACTGCGGAGAGTCGCCAGACACAGCCGATACGGGCCATTTTGAAACCGTGTCTCGGTCACGCGTAGCCTGCGAAAACCAGGCTACGTCACGCGCCAAACGAAAAATCTTGGCGTGTGAAATGGACTTCCGGAAAAACCGGATAGGATCTGAATTTTTTTGTCCAGGTCGTAGTCTTCAAAGGATCGCTATCCAATAAATAAATCACTATACACTAGATAAGTACCGGTATTAGCAGAAAATAATTTTATTATTAAGTGGAAAGTGACTGATTTATCTCGTGGTGTAAGCTCAAGCTTGTATTTTTGGAAAAGCGTCTTTAGTTTTCGGGCAGCCAGTATTTTGAAATCAGATGGGGATTTTTTATCAAACTGAAAGTTTCCTGACTGCGTGCATTTCTTTGCTGCATGAGCCCGACAAGCCGTAATCGAGACAATAGCCGTCGTGTACGAACTCACGAAAAGAACTCAGGAGAAACTGTTCGCCGATTGGGCACAATAATACAAAGCTTTTTTTGTGCCCAATCAGGAGCCGGGATCTCCTTGAATTTTTGGAAATAGTTCAGTGAGACGGTACCTAGGGGCTCTTTTGCCCGTACTTGGAAACTTTCGTCCCGCCTTTTCTCCCGACCCGACTGACTGCCCCTGGGTCTCCGAGAATGTGTAGACGAGCGAAACTTCGTGAAACCCTCTCTTCCCAGTCCTCACGCGGTTTTTCGCGCTTATTTTTGGACTTGCTTTCCCCACTATCTTGGAGCTTGGAACAGGCTAATGTGTTATCTAGCTGTTGGTAACCAATTTTAGTAACCATGAGGTCTTCATAAGCCATAGGCGGATGGAATCCTCTATCTCTACCGGAGCCGGGCTCACTACTCCGGGGGAATCCCTAAAAAGAAGACGGGGATGAAACCCCCAAGGGGGACCAATGTGGGTGTGGCTCACGCTTAAACTGGACCCCCATAAAAGACCATATTAAAACAGACATCACAGCATTTTTTGTAAATTTCTTTATGCAAAGCCCTTAAGCGATACTTGAATGAGCAGTTATAGTGACTCTCCGTCCCAAACACCCTAAGCGAGACCAAAATCTTCAATTTACACCAGACGATGAGCATCTGCGTCACTTACGAGCTCAAATATCTGGGCTTTTCGCTACCTATTTATCGTATAATTTGTCTTAAAAAGGCTAATTATTTCTCAGTTCTGCAAGAATTGCATATTTCCAGTTTTGATTTCTGTGCTATAGCCTGCGGGCCCCAGAACAAGGATTTTGGCGCTGTTTCGCGGACGGTCTTGACCAGAATTAATTTTCTTCTTCTACGCAGGCTAATGCTGAAGGTTCTTTTGCTGCTTTCTTACAACCTTTTTCCTTTTTAATTCCACGAATAAACGGAGTTTTCTTGGCATAATGCAAGGATTCGCTGAGGTTAGAGTCTGAAATCGTAATATGAAAATGGGTTTAAAAAGTTCGGTTTCGTCTGAAGATGGGCTAGAATTTTGTCAGAGAAAGAATACTTTAACGAGTAAGCAGTACCGATCGACAATTATGAGGAAGTCACTCAACCTTCACGTGCTCGAACATTGTCACACGACGAGTTGGTGCTCTGCTCGAGAACAACGCGAGATCATACCCGTCAGCTTCAATTGCGGTATTATCAGATATACGTCTACGTTGTCGTCTTTGGAATTTTTATTAGCATTTTTTATCAGTCAAAAACTCCCCGACCTGACCAAGTGAATCGAGGAAAGGGTCAGCATTACCGAACAGTGAGTAATGAATGACATTAGTTAGTATTACTGGTAGTGGAAAGTTATGGTGTTCCAAAAAACATCATGTCTAAACGGTTAAGTTTGTTTTCTAAAATAATTGATTTGTCCAAAATTAAACGCCTGATACCGCTATCTCTAATCAATTTTACAAAGTGGAGAAGACCAATTAACCTCAAGCATCTCAGTTGATTTCTTTTCGGTTTCACGGGTTCTCGTTAGTCTCTAGCTACTTGTAGCCTCTGTAATTCTAATTGATTCGTAGAATGTGGAGAAAACTAAGAGAGAATTTGATATACTAAGCTGTTTTCCCGCCTATTTTAAGGATGCATGTACTACCTCTACTATTCTTTTGTTGGCTGTCAATAGCTACAATAAATCTCTGATGGCACGAAGAAAAATTGTATAGAAATCACAAGCAAGAGAACATGACAGACTACTAAACAATTCAGAGTCAAACAATCAAATTTAGAGTCAACTGAACAGTCAAAACTGAAAGACCGCGAACTACAAATCACTTTCTTGGGTTGGAGAAAAGTACTGACTGCTCGTACTTAATCAGTTATAATTTGCTTGTCTTTACTTGAATTTTCTTTGGGTGCGGTTTCTTGGTGTTGCGGAAATTACCAGTTGTAAGTTGTATGTTGCCTAGTGACATGGATATTGCTCAGTACTTTTTCAAGTTGTTGTATTACGTCATATCTTGAGTGGTGTCGCGTCGTAGAAAAGGAACCCGTGACAAATCCCTATAAGAACGTCTGCTTGGGCTGGAAGGCTACACCTAGAACTACACCTTTTGTCTTATACGTGTCCTTATCCCAAAAGCTCCACCTGATCTCCTGATAAATGCCACGTCTAGATGGTAAGGATGATGGACTTCAGGAGATTTACAACACAATTGAAAAAAAATATCAGGCTTGAGTTTATCTTACTGAACCAGTTGCAAACTTAGCCCCTCAACTGACAAAATGACCAAGTAAAACTAGCCTGAATTTCATCCGATTATATTGCTTCGAGTCGTTTTCTCCTCTCAACAACTGAGGGGAGTCATAAACTAAGTTACTAAGGGAGTAATAACGACTCGAAGTAATCGGATGAAATTAGGCTAAAGTAAAACTTGAGCGACCTGTAACCTAATTTTATAGCTAATTCGAAATATGTTAAGTTGATGGGGCCACTTTACACTAAGTTATCAGTTGATACACCTGCAATGAAAGGTCATGGCCTAGCTTTGCCATTCGCGATTCGGTGCAAGCAGTTTTTAGAACATTTTCAGATATTAAAGAATTTGGATCAAGATTAAGGCGTCGTGACGCCGGAAAAGATTAAATCCAAAACGATTAAACGATTAAAAGGCCACTTAAAGTAACAAGCAACCATATTGTCAGGGAAAAAACCAACAACTATTCAAACAGAAGGATTTTTTTTACGTGTAACTCTTGAAATATGTATTTTATGTATTTTACTATTATTACTTGTCCTCGATTTTTGGATAACCGGCAATACAAGTTTAGATCAAGGCAGTTAGTTTCTAAGTTTGTTGCAGACATTTGTTCGAAATATGTGTGATAGTTTTGGGCGAGATTGTATTTAAAAAATAAAAAAAACAAGTAACTTCTTATCAGATTAACATCCTTAGAAGTGTGGACGCCGTTATCGTAATAGTGTGATAAGTAGTTAATAACATGTTAAGCACTTAAATGAACAGGGTGAATGAACATTCTTGCAACCAGTAATACGCCGTTTTCAGTTTCTTTTATTCCTAAATAAGAAAAAAGAAAAATTATTTGCGTGTTATTTCTTATCAAACTACGTTGGCCAAAGAACAAGAGTATGTACGATATTGTTATAAACTTTTTTTCAAATGGGATTTTGAAGCCCACGGAGTATTTTCTTCATCAGAATTTTCTAGTCTGACACGGTTGCAGGCGTACATCGTAGCAACATGGATCAAGACTAGCGAAAAGTCATTTTGTCCTCCATTGGATCCAATAAATAAAAGCTTGGGGAAAATAAAGACAAGCAAAACAAAACATAACATAATGGACGGTCAGCTTGATTTTCTTCGAATGAGCTTCGTATATTTTGATTTTTTCGTTCCACACCAACAAGCCAAGGGGCTACATTGTAGCTAAGTGATTTTTTGAACATGCGTCCCTTAGCTGAAGAAGATCCAGAAAAAAAAACAGGGAAGGAAGTCCTTGATGCTCTAATTGTTCCTCGTCAATCTGATTTGAAATTTGCCAAAGAGAAAAGCTGTTTCAGTGTTCAAACACTGATTTTGCCTTGGGTGAATAGCCGGAGGTTAAGCAACCACTTCACGACAGCAACGGCAGCGAAAACGTCACTTGGAAAGTGAGTTTGCGCTGTTTCAAACTTTATTACTGTTGTTCTATCACAAACATTTTGTTTAACGTTAGGGGTTTCCTCGAGTCAATTCTAAAAGACTAAGACTCTGTTTACATGGAGTGGGGCACCCCGGTCTAGTGGGGTAAGTTTCTTTTGTTTTGTGTCCTCCAGAGCGTGAAAACAAAAGAAACCAACCCTACTGGACCGGGATCCCCCACTCCATGTAAACAGGCCCTAAGTAAGTTTAGAAAAAGAAAATCGTTGTCTTGCCGGTTCACGTGGATGCTCTCCATAAAACGTGAAACTAGAATGTATTATGTCGTAGTGGTGCAGTCACGGCAAAGAAATGTACAAAAAGCGTGATGCACGTGCAAAGTTGTTGTTTTGCTTATCTAAACGACCTATAAATCCAAGATGCTTTTCAGTTTGCCGTTCTGGCGTTGCCGTCGCTGTAGTCGTTCCTTAAGCTCCCTATTGTCACCAAGAAAGTACCAGATTAAAGATCTTAAAGACTCTAAGCTGAGTATTTATCACGTTCATATCCTGCTGAAATCTGCAGAACAATGTCGAATATAGCTCGAAATCAGATTCTTAGCTTATGTCCACCTTTTCAAAGGGCCAAAAGGCAAATTTTAGCGACTTAACCTTATCCGCTGCGAAAGAATAGCCATAGCCGTTCATTAATCGGATCAATTAAATGACTAAATCTGGCTTGAAAAATTTGTTAGATTCCAAACATTTCAAAGCAAGGAATATTAATACAGAAATATGACTCATTATTAGTATGGCTTGAAAGCTATGTTATGATTGATCACTTAGTTATGATCACAACACTACCGCAGTGTGCATGCGCAGAGGTTGGTCTGAAATTTAAAGGCAGAATTTTTTGTGGAAAACATAATTTTTCTCGATTTACGGTGTTTCTTTGCATTGCCCAGTGAGTGGCAAAAGAAGATACGGTATCAGTTTTGTTATGGGAATAGCTAGGTAGAAAAAAAACAAATGTCATCCGATTAATTAATCATACTGAACCAAATAAAAAATGTAAATACCAACGCGTGTTCAGGGTCTTGCGGGTATTATAACACTGAAAAGATCCGATACACTAAAGAAACGGTCAAGTTCACATCTTAGCCCTAAATACCTAACTTGGCCAATCCTAGTTCCCAGATTTCTTCCCGTCCCTCTTAGCTGGCGGGGCCCTTTGCAAGAAAACCTCTCGTATGAAGCCCCCCCTCTAGCTGAGAGGGACAGGGGGCTTGCAAACCAAATAAAATGGACGCGCTTGAGGCCAGGCATCAACTGCAGGAGCCCAACTGACATGTTTGCACAGGAGAATAAAAACGCTATGCTCGAAAAATTTTATTTGTTCAAAGGCCTTACATCTTGTTTTTCGTTTGACAGTTGAGTTATATAAGTACAAAACGAACCATTAAGGTTACAAGGCCTTTCCTGTTCCGATAGGGCGGGGGGACTCATAAGAAGCTCGGGTGGAGGTGTTTCACCGAGGCCTTCAAAACTTGACCCTGGTTAATTAAGGCCAAAATCGTTAATTTCGCTTCCCTGCTTAAGACAAGGATTTTTTGGAAAAACTTGTTGGTATCACAAATGTAGACCGCTTATAAACCTTATTACCAACATTCAAACACTTTTAGAGGCCTTCTGTCCAAAAAGTCACCCTGTTCAAGGTCCTAAATAGCCTGTTTAAGACTCAAGACTGAAAACTATAGCCTGTTTGGCGGCACATACCCGTACGTATAGGCCGAATTAGGCAGTGCGTCGCACTCCGGGGTTTCTTGTCCCCATCTAATGGACATTTCCCCCGTTCGGCAAGGAATGAACCACAGCTGACTTTTTAAGTCCGATCCGGCGCTAGTTTACGTTTTACTGTCATGCCAGTTAAACAAAACAGTCTTTACAGGATCCATCTGTTTTGGAGACCTTAAAAGCTTAAAATGCGACATCGAAAACGCGTCTATAAACCGTGTATTTTTCATTTCGTGTCGTATTAGCTAGCAGCCACAGCTTTGCGGCGAAAAATGATATCACCGATCATAAATATACTCGAACGCGGAAATTGATTGCTTCTTGTAGCTCATTAAATCGTTTATCAAAGTTTGAAATATCAATAATTTCTGTCAGACAGGTATTTGGACAGTGTAGTCTGAAGTTAGCTTGCTTGTCTCGTGGCAAACCACACAAATTCTGTTAATCGGACATAAAATCTGTATTCTTAAGTATTGCTTTGAAACCACTTTATCTTACACAAAACTCTCTTCATTCACCTTTTTATTAATTTACTTATTTTTAAAGCTGAATGCAGTTGTTTGGCGACCGCCAGATTCGCTTTCTATTGCTCTTCGAGAGGTTTCTTTTTTTGTTTCCAACGTAAACATGACTTTCTCTTGCTTTCATGTATTTACTAATAATTTTAAAGTCAGTTTTAAAGCGTAGAAGACTTATATTTTTTTATTCTTTGTCATCCTTTAACTACATCCTTTGTCGATCTCTAACTTAGTCAGACCTCCACGAACTCTTAACAGGCTAGTGCGCTTTCCAAAAGTTAGAACTGGCCGGCCGGACTATGGCCGGACCAGACATTTTGGCAGTGAAATACGCTTTTTCCAGGACGTTTTGCTGAAAAACCATCTCCTTTGTACATAATATTTAGGATTTGACTGATCTTGATGGTTATTTTTTATTAAAAGTGAAATTCTCATAACGATAGGAATAGGCTGGCCGGTCGGTTCTGACAAATGGAAAGCGCTCTATTAAACTGGAGGTCTACATTGATGAATCTGTTATTTCGTTAGCACAGCGTGTCAGATCACCCATTCGCTATTTGCATCATCAATTTACCAAAATTTTAAAAACCAGATTTAAATATTTCATCCCTTGTTATCCAGCTTAATTCTGCCGGAAGCTTTGAACTGAACATTAGATTTCCATCTGCTAAAAATGACTTTTTTCTGTCGTGGAGCGTTGATTGAAGAAAAACAACGAACTGATATCAGGCGAATATTACCCAAATCGACCAACTTTGATAACTACCTGATTTTATTTATAATAGCTTGATGACAGAAAAAAACACACGGTTGTAATGTTTCAGAGATGTTTTGAAATGAAAAAAATATTGAAAAGCTATCTTTAAATTAAAACACGTGCGTTTGGTTTGCGGTGATAACAACTCTTTTCAACAAAGTGAATATAATCTTAAAATTGCAAATTTATGTCGATTTAGTCACCTGCAGCCATTCAGACTGCTCCTTGGCTCGTTCATGGGAACCGGCAGGAATTTCACGCGAGCTAGGATTTTTTCAAGTATCTTCATATCTCTCTTGCCGGGAGATTCAAATTGGAAAAAAGAGGAAAGAGAAAAAATAAAAAATAAAAAGAAGAAGAAGAAGAAAGAAAGAAAAAAAGAGGGGAAAAGAGGAAGAGAGGGAAACGAAGAAAGATTTTCTTTCATTTATTTTTGCCAAGTTTCATGCAAGGTGAATGAATCACCCAGGCCGAAGGGTCGAAAGCTTGAAAAGTGGCAACCATTTTGCTTGCTTGTTTTTCAGTCCTCCGTGTCACGGTCACGCGTCGATTTCAATTCAACTTTTAAACATAGCACAATCTCCACCGTAAAATCCTCAGTAGACTCTCAGTGTTCTGCTTTTTTGTCAGTTGAGATGCCTTGAATTAAGTTGACTTTGCTCAATATTACTGTCAGCTGGCGCCGTTTTTACGTGACACGGGCTTGATACGGCACCTCATTTATTTTTACAGACAGTTTACTTTGACCCTGGGGAAAAAAATCCCTTACATTTTCTCTAAATTCAACCCGCATAATTTATCAACGGGGGTGGGACTGTAGAGCTCTATATCTGTCACTTTTTTTCTATAAATGTTTTGACTAAATAAAGCTCACTAGGTGCTCGACTTCCGGAGATCGGGGAGCAGCTCCATTAGGGAGGCCTGGAAGCAAGAGTCTCACAGAAAAACAACAAAAAATGTCAATTTTTTTTAAGAATGCGAATTGTAAAATGTGTTAATCTAATAATTTAGGTATCCAATCCAATTTGTATACATTACATTGTTGATTATAATGTTACATGCCGTAAAGTGATCTAGACTCTGTTCTTTGGGAATACCAGTTTTCCGGGTTTTTTAGTACGTTTGGCCAAGAGAGAATGGTTGACTCAGAATACAATTCGTTGCCAATTACATTGATAGAGTTTGTATACAAAAAGGCTTTTGTTTCAAGGAAAATCCTTTTCAAAACTAGAAACCTTGCGAAATCGTTATTTTTATTATTCCGTTCTTAAATATTTTGGCCTGCCCCCAAAATAAACTTCAACGTCATGCCTAATTGAAGATCTAATGCAAACGCACTGCCGACGAACGACTGTAAAAGCGTTCAGAAGTGTTTTTTTTATAAAGTCTTTAAAATTTCGCTTTTTTCTTTTTTAGGTTACTTTACGTTCATGTTTTGACGCCTTGGATGTGCTAAGTGACTCTAGTGTAAAAAGCTGGAGCCCGGCTACCCGACGCCTTAAATAAAACTGACAAATTTCACTATAGCCAGTGTATAGCTTGTCTCACTTTCTTCGCTTTTAATACTTCATGTTGGCAAATGAATGAGATTTGTTCAGTTCAGTGGCTTTGTAGATCACAAACTTCCCACGAGAATAATTGAGCTTAGGTTTAGGCTTAGGCCAATTTGCATGAATTTACAAGACAGGGTACAAGCGTTGGTGCTTTCAGACGTTTTGAGTGGAATGCTTTTTTTCTTTAATTCCTGTGCGGCTGAATCCGCTTTCGCCTTTTAGCGTAGGACTCAGGGAAGTGCTACAGTAGCATGTATGTAAACAACAGCAAGTTTAAGTACGTGAAGGAAATGTAGCTTGCATGAAAACAGATACGCTAAAAAATCACACTGATCAGCAATTGAGGTGGAAAGTGTTTTTGAAAAACAGCTGAATACAACGGGGTAACCGATGGGGGCGTTAAATAGCGCAATCTGATTGGCAGAAAGACAAATGGCCCGATGACGTTTCCTGAAAACATTATCCCAAGCATTTCATTAATGGTTGAGTTTATACGGTGATGCAGAAAAGTTGGTTGACATTTAATGTGTGTGAAAACGTAAATCTTTCCCGTATTATTCCCTGTCTTCTTTGTAGCGTTAAAGAAGGATAATGCTGCTTCCCGGCTGCAGGGCTTGCTTCATAGTTATTGTGCAGTTGGCAGCTTTCTCAGGTAAGTTGTTAGTCCTTCGTAGAAGGCCGTTGTTGTTCAGTTTAGCATGAAAACACGCGATAGCATGTGAGTTTTACCCGTGCGTTTTTTCTTAGTTTTTCTTTTATTTAATTCATGGACCTGTTAGGAGGTTCTTTCGTTAAGAATAACCCGCGTTTGGTTTTGTCCTCACCGGTTTTGTTGCAGTGTTTTGAATTCAATATGTTTGTAGTATGTGCCATGTTTACTCTGCTGCGGACAAACGTACTCTCATTTAAGAATGTCTTACCTTTGAATAACTTCCTAAACAAGCCTAAGATGCCTTTCTCGTTGACCGCAAACGTGACTTGGATCATTTGCACGAGAAATTAAAACTGAAAGTGTTTAAGTTAAGCTTGTGAGCTTTGCTCTTTCAATCCGTCTGTGTTGTGAAGGCAATTTTCGCGGGATACAGCTACAATAGCTAATTCCCCCTGTTGTTGAGTAAATGATATTCATAGCTTTGTCTTTTTAATCATTATAAAGGATATTCTTTTCCTGAAGGTGAATGAATCAAGGTCTTGTTTTCCTTTGGGTTTCTTCCCGTAGACCGCCGTTCAAGGAGCGTTCGGCTTTTTAGTTTTGTTGTTTAGCAGAAACAAAGACGTCAATGCTGAGTTTAATCGGGGAATTATGCTCTCGTTCTCGCAGTAACGCGCTGCTTTACGCCACATGTGTTAGTCTTCTTTCTTCATCTTCCCCGAAACAGATTTTTTGGTGAAACTTCGCAGGAAAATTTGGTTTTGAAGTCGCTTTATAATGTTATCAATGTATTTCAACTCAAAACATTAGAAAGATGAACAGTCGAAACGTTCTGATTCTGTAGGAAGACTTCATTAACGTGACGAATGAGACAAAGGTAGTTTTCTGCCTGTGACAGCATTTGGCAATAGACTCATTTTGGTCTGTCTTATTTCCTGATTATTATAATAGCTTCTGGTTCTGCATGCAGGTTTTTTAATTTTGCAAAGTTAATTACATCCTATTCATTTATGAAGGTGTGAAAAGCGGCATTGAGTTCTTTGTGCGTGTTCAATCACCAGTGTCCCGTCATTTAAAATTTCGAAAACGCGCGTGTAATTCATCAAAGATCATCATCAACCGTTTATAAATTTCAACTTTATTGATAAGTGCAGTGATTCAAAACCTCGCTAGAGGCTATCCTAATTCCAAAACCGTGGTATCACACTAAACTTGTGTTGTGTGAAACCTTTTTCCATAATTACCATTCATAGTTAAGTTTTGATTACAAAAGAAACGGAAATGATTCATAGTTAGTCTGTAACACCCTGACACCCTTCCTCACTCTAGATTAATCGTTAGTTTCTAGTTGTTCTCGTTAAAATCTTATCTATAATTTTGTCACCTTCTGAACTCCTTTATTTTCAGTATAGTAAAACTGGATTTAACTGAGGACGAATTTTAGAATTGTTGTAATTCACCGTGGCCCGGGCCTGCTGGGTAGGCCCTCAGGAAATATTTTTTTGGGATAATTCCTTAAAACCCGGAAAAAAAATTAACTGTCGAAAAATGCAGGGCTGGCATCTGGAACAAGTCAGTTTGGTAACTGTAAGTGGAAAACTGGACAATTGACATTTGTTTGGATTTAACCCTGTTGTAGCTCGTTGTGGCCGGCAGGTTTTTTGCTTGTTCAAGTAAAATGCATCTTCTTACGATAAATTATTTTTGGCTGTGTGTGAATGAACATCATTGTTTATATAGTTTAGTTACATACCCAGGAATGTGCAAATCCTGTTGATTTGTCATTTTGATTTCGTTCAAGAAAATGATAGTTATACTCTTGGACTGTGTTGCTATGAAGAGCATAGTGCTTGCATGTGTTTTACCAGGAGTACAGTCAAAAATTGTAAATAAGCTATGACTTAAATTACACAAAAAGCTTATCTATGATGCCAAGTAATGCTCGTCCAAGCACACTGTAATGATTGTTTAGGAAAATAATAACCCTGATAACAGACCACAGGCATTGTTTTTCTCTATATTTATTGTTTGAAGTGCAAGTTCAAGTTTATTTACATAATTCAAATTTTATCAAAGTTTGCACAGATAATGGGAACATAGGCAACATCATCAGTTACAGTAGTTTTTGCCCTGCTGATATCAGTGCTTTATTCAGACTGTGTTGATAAACCAATGATATTCTGCCTAATGTAGTGTCTGTAAAATCTCTTGGAAGACACTCCTGCTGCCATATAAAGCTGGCCCTGGTTGTTCAAACCTTGGATAGCGCTATCCACTGGATAAATCACTATCCAGCTGATAAGTATTGGGGAAACTATTTGGGTTATCCACTGAATAGATTTTTATAGGGTGGATAGCTCTATCCAACGTTTGAACCAGGACCTGGTACATATAAGATATCTGAATTTCATGCTGTGATTATAGAATCTACTGTGATTCTATCTGCTAGTGATTTTGTTACAAATCACTGTGGAGTCCTGGCACATGATATTAGAGAGCTTAAGCAGCAGAGTTGTTCTTTAGGTCATGTACTTCAGGAAGGTTGTGTCCAGTCTGGATCAAGAAGAGCAGATTAAGCAATGAATGGTTTTTGGTGTAATTCAAGTCAGGGATGTCTTGTCTGTGTTTACTTTTGCTATTTGTAAATGTCTTCACTCAAAGCATTTCAAATTTGAGAAAGATCTTTGTCACTGAAGTGGGCTTGTACATTTTCTTTGTCCCATTCTCATGTAAACATTTCCATCTTTCACATTTATTCACTGAACTAGAAATGCTGTCTTGTACTATTTGATTGTGTAGACACAAATCAAGCAAACAAAAGTTACCGTAACTCCATACATGAAAGCAAACTTTAGTGGTCCATTTTTTTGCAGTTTCATTGATCACAATGAAATTTAGTTTGCTCTTCATTTTTAAAGCTGATTGCACTAAATATCACAGGTGTTTGACCTGCAGTATAGCTCAAAAACGTCTCTTGGATATACATGTATATAATCAATCCAATACAGTCACAAAAACACGCAGTCATAACATTTTAATTTGATATTTATCGTTGTAAAGAAAATAACAATTCATGCAGATGAAATTATCATCCCTTGAAGTTGCATGTGACGCCCTCTTAAAAGTAATAAGATGTGAGTTCACTTGATGGTGATTCACGTGGACAAGAAATCCATTAAATCTTATGTAAACCTTGCCATCTTCGAGTTCTTCAAAGCCAGCTGGAGCTAGCTGGGTCAACTTGTCAAGTTTCAGAAATAGAGTTACAAACTGTCTCTGAAAACACGGAATGAATAGCAGAAGGGTTTTTCCTTGGCTTTAGGCCAGCAATGTAACCACAATATCGGGAATTACCAAAACATTCTTACCCAAACACGAACTTTCGAGTACTTGAATCTCGTGTTCTATCTTGAACTTCAAGACTGGTAAATTCTGGCGTCGACGTCCTGACCTTACGAACGTAAAGACGTGCGCAGTATTCACACTAGTACGAGTGACTTCTGGTCAGTGTTCTTGACCTCAAGAACATCTGCTGCTTATGTTCTCTATTGCTCTCTTTGCATCCTACAGCAGGACTTTCACTAAGGTCTTGGGGCTAGGGATTTCCCCTGGCTAATTTGAGCATGACGCCTAGCAAATTTGAGAGGAAAAGGAAAATTACATAGAACATAAAGAACTAAGAGACCGCTGCCTGGTTAGCTGACTTGAAAGAGAGCACCAGTCTGCTGAGCAAGAGGCCATGGGTCCAAACCCTATCCAGACCAACACTCAGGGTTTTAAAATAACCGAGAAGAAAGTGCTGCCTATGTAATGACATCTGCAAATGGTGTGACTTTCTAGTCTTCTCAGTAAAAGACGAAAAACCATAGGTTTTGTCTCGGAGCACTTTCACTTATATGGTTCTAGTGGGATGTGAAAGAACCTACACCACTGTTTGGAAAGAATTGGGGATGTAGACCCCAGTGGTGTGGCCAACCTTTCCTGGGCTGGGCAGGTTATATGCTTAGGGGAGGTACGCCTGGGAATTCTTGGTGGGGGTGTGCCGCCTGGTTCTCCAAATCCTGACCCGATTTCAGACCAAAAAATGTAATTTTCCATACCCGTTTTCAGACCTAACATAACATAACATACATGTTTATTCAAACTCATAATGACCACATGAATTTGAAAGGGAGAGTCTAGAGGTTAACCCTATGAATAAAACTCTCCTAAAAACAACACACAATAAAAATTACAATAAAAATTACAATAAAAATTACAACTTTAAAAAGGATTTGAGTTTACATTTAAAAAGTTCAAGGGAACCGGCTTCAACAACATTACTTAAGAATAGGTAAATTGTTCCAGTAACTAATTCCAACATTGTTAAAAAGAATATTTAAAACAGTTGATTCTAGATAATTTACATTTAAAAATAAAGCTTAACTAATTACATTGTTAAAAAAAAGAATATTTAAAACAGTTGATTTGCCCTAGTGGATTTGACTTTTGCGAATTGAAAGAATTCCTCAAAATCCAAGTGTGATAAGCCAAACACGATCTTATAACATTCAACAAGAGAGGAATATGTCCCACGACTGGACAAAGATGGCCAATGTAACGAGTCACAACGCTCTTCATAAGACATATCACCTCTTTTTTGCCTAAGAGCTAATCTTGACGTGCGTCTTTGCACGCTCTCTATTGCATGAATATCTTTGACAAGATATGGGTTCCAGACTGGAGCAGCATACTCTAGAAGTGGTCTGACCAATGTTTTGTAAAGCAATGAAAAAGTTGTTGTATTAGCTGTTCCAACAGACCGTCTTATTAGCCCTAGGACTTGGTTCGCCTTATTCACCATGGTACTAATATGTTCACTCCAAGTAAGATCTTTTGATATAATAATTCCAAGATCTTTAAAGCTCTTGACATCTTTTAAGGCCGTACCTAGGTTATAATTCGTAGTCGATTTGTCACGAGAATGCGTTATTCGCATTGCTTCACACTTTTCCTCATTGAAACGAAGTTGCCATTTTTTCGCCCATTTACCAAGATTATTCAAATCAGTTTGAAGGTATTGTTCATCGAGACTAGGGTTGCGAAGCTCTCTGTAAATCTTAGTGTCATCCGCAAATAATTTAATTTTTGAAGAGACACTATCAACGATATCATTTATATATGATAGGAATAAAATTGGACCAAGAATAGTTCCCTGTGGGGTACCAGATATCACAGGTGCCCAATCAGAAAAAGTCCCTCTTACAACAACTCGTTGCTTTCTACACGTGAGGAAATGCCTCAACCAGTTAAGAAGTTTACTCTCAATACCGAGGCTATATAACTTTATGAGTAGACGCTCATGAGGAACACTATCAAAAGCCTTTGCGAGATCAAGAAATACAACATCTGTTGCTACAGATGAATTCCTAGATTTGGCGAAGTCATGAAAAGTAGAGAGTAATTGGGTCACAGTAGACCTACCCTGCAAAAAACCAAATTGGTTTTTGTTTATCACGTTATGGTCTTGCCAAAATGACGTTAACCTATCGCGCATCACGATTTTTTTCGCTGATTTTGCATATCATGGATGTAAGCGAAATTGGACGATAATTCTCCCTCAAGTGTTTAGAACCTTTCTTATGAAGTGGGACAATGTCAGCTGATCTCCAATCTTCGGCAAATGGCCCAGCAGGAAAGATTTGTTAACCAGAAATGAGATCGAGGGCGCCAATTCGAACGCACATGATTTTAAAATTACTGGTGAAATTCTGTCTGGACCCGGGGACTTGTTCGTTTTAAGAGACTTAAGATGCTTTAAAATTTCCTCAGTAGTACAGGAAATATAATTAAGTTTCTCACAAACTAAAGGCTCTAAAGAAGGCAAGTTGGTGAAGTCCTCAGAGGTAAAAACAGATGAAAAATAGGAATTAAAACTACTAGCAATACTCTCATCGTCAATCAGTTCTTTGTCACCAACCTTTAAAGATACCAGAGTATTCGTACCGTTACGTTTGCTTTTAATATAATTCCAGAAAGGCTTGGAATTACCAGAAACTGCAATATCAGAGGCCATATTGTTGATATATCGTCCATCGAGCTAAGTTACATTCTCTTTTCACGACATTGTTCAGTTTTCTGTACTTCTCCCAAAGGGCTGGATTGCTGCTTTTTTCGCACTTTGTTATACAACAATTTCTTTTTTTCTGCACAACCTAATAAGATCCTTTGTTATCCAAGGTGCATTACATTTTTTCTTGCCCGGCGCACGGGTATGCATTCATCCATAGCCGTAAATAAAAGATCTTTCCAGCAAGACCAGTTGTATTCAATGTCATCATCGAAAAAGCACAGTTCAAGGAATGCAAGCCAATAACATCTTTAGGTGTGCCCAGTCAGTTTTGCCATATGAATAGAAACATTTCCGAGATTTACGCTGGGTGTAGGGTGATCTTAAGATCTCAAAACTAAGAGAGTTATGGTCGGAGAAGCAATCGCCAACAACAAGACGATCAATGATATCTGGCGAGGATGTGATTAACAAGTCTAGAATATTTTGGTTCCTTGTAGGCTCACTGACCAGCTGTGTTAAGAAATTGTCCTGAATTATATCAATTAAAAGGGCGTGATTGTGAGATTGTTGTAAAGCTCTATTACATGACCACTCGATCTCCGGCAAGTTAAAATCTCCAACCAGAATTAAATCAGCGGTTGAATCAAGTCCTTGAATAAAGGTCTGAAGGTCTTCCAAAGGCTTAATATCACTTCCGGGGTCGATAAAACACGCCGATAGTTATCCATCGGTTGTAAGATGAGAGCACATCAATAAAAAGCATTTCAGAGTCGCATGGATGAGTCGGACGAAGAGAAACAGTAATGTAATCACGCATCGCAATGAGTACACCACCGCCATGATGGCCATTAATCTTACGATCTTTTCTAAAAACAGTATAGTGAGAGGGAAAAATCGGAGTCAAGAATCGAATGGTCCAAATGCGTTTCAGTTAGTACAATTAGATCGTAGTTCCGTTGGTACATTGCCAGTTCAAGTAGGTTAACTTTGTTGACAATACTGCGAGCGTTGGCGTAAAATGTTCGCAAACCACGAAGATCAGGGCCATCTTTCCGTGACTCAGAACTGACAATTCCGCTCGGTGGACCAGGATTTGGATGGACATCGCCACTTCTCAAGAGAAGCGGTAATTGAAAACTCGAAACAGAGTTTGGATAGTAGGCAACTCGCGAAGAAGAAAACCCCTTGCGACTGACAAACGACGTACAGTGACAACCACGTGGTGAAGAAATGTTAACAGAAGCAAAAGCAAATAGCCCAAACAGCGGTTCTTGTGAGGAAGACCGTGTAAAGACCGATATAACAGTTGTTTGCAATTTCGCACGGGCAAAAACAATGTCTCCGAAGAAGATAAGGCAGAGAAAAAGCCGTAGACCTTGTGAGTGTCTGAAGACGTGACCAAACTCCATGCCTTCTCGTATGCTAATCGGCGATCTAGACCTGAACTCTAAAATCCATACCCTTTTTTAGACCTGGCCTTTAGGCAGAAATTATGTTATCATTACTTAGATCAGAGCGCAAACAAAAAAATTCTTCAAATCCATTTCAAATTCGTATATATCGTTCTTTCTTTCTTACTTATTTGGAATTGAAACGATAAAGACATTCATACAATCCCGTAGTTCCCTCAAAAACCGTACCCGATTGCAGACCAAAATGGGCAAAGTGTATACTCGTTTTCAGACCAAAACAGCGCAAAAACCCTACCTGATGGGGCGGGGCGGCACATACCATACAAGGGAGTACCCCCCCCGCGGGGTTATATGTAAGGAGAGATCTTAAAATAGGGATAACCTCATGATCCTTTTTCAGGAGTCGTAATGGCTACCTGTAAATAATGTTTGTGTGTGTATGTCTGTGTGTAAACTTCTTAGCTCATCAGTTTCCCGCCTATTAGTTCCATATTATACCCGGCAACTTGAAATCTTAGTAACAGCTCTGTACAGGACCCATGCCGTGTATCGTTGCTCATTTGGTGGGGAGTTTTATTTGTCAGGGGTGTAGGGATAACAAAATTGCTGATCAAAATTGCTGATCTTGTACTGGAGAACTATGTGGTCATCAGATCCATGTGAAGGTCTAACCATTTGCAGGGCAGGTCCTTTATTTCACCCTGATTTGGTCCATCCCTTGGGATTGAACCTGCTACCTCAAGTCCGGTGCTTTATTGACAGAGCTACAAGTAACTCTGGCAATGATGGTTTCAGTAGCTTATCTTGTCGTGGTTTACCTGATCCTATATAGATGTGTTAAGGTTTTAATCAAAAAAGGAATAATATTATTCTAACTTTGCAGTGTTTCTTTTTTAGGATCATTAGGAATAAAAGTACCATATTTTATTGAGGAACCCTCAGACATTTATGCTAGACGAGGAAGACCTGCACTTCTAAAATGTCAAGTAGGTGGAGATCCCAAACCATCTATAAGATGGAGAAGAAATGGGGTTCCACTGAGCTTGGACAGTCGTAGGACTATAAACCCAGGTGGCTCTTTATATTTTTCGGAAATTATTCATAATAAAACTCAAAAGCCAGATGAAGGCACATACCAGTGTGAAGGAGTACTATCCTACAACTCAGAGGATTATAGAATAATCAGCAGGACAGCCCGTCTTATTATTGCGGGTAAGTGTACCTTTTTATTATACTGTGTGGGAAATATGGTACTAGGATTAGTGCAACCTAATGTGGTTGTTGTATTATCTATGCTGGTTAAAACTGTGAAAGGTTTGAACCCAGGAGTCAGTTCACAAGTAAGTTGAGCATGATTGTGCAGGTGAAAATAGTCCTGAAATTATAGGACTGTTGTTGACAGTGACTGATGTTTTCGGCTCCTTTGCAGTAGTCATCTTCAGAGTCAAAGTGAGTTGTATTATGTCAGTTGATGGTATTTAACTCTGGTTATTGACTTGATTGGTCAATTATAACTTATACTGGTCAAGTAAAAAAATTGTCTTTGCATAGTGTTATTTTTTAGGAGAGGCTATTTGTTTGGGAATGGATTGCATTTTTGTAGGGTTTGATCAACGCTGTGCTTTATGCTAAATTTTGTGGAGCCCTGTACCCTGAATCTATGAAATTCAGGGTGCCCACCTAGTTCCACAAAAACAAAAGTGAGGCACCAAGGGATACTGGGCTCTACAAGATCATAACTCTGATGATCAAGATCATGGGCTTGTTAGCATGAGAATGCAACTTTTTACTCCTGAAAGGAAGATTTGTAACAAATTGAGGTCACCTCCACCCTTGCATCCATTCAAAGGCCATTGCATTATGGGCACACAATACTGTGAAATAGCCTGTTAATACAAAAGCTGTAAGGGCAGGAAAATAGGACCATCTTAACTTCCGAGGTGGTTAACTTAGCAAAAATATGATTCTAAAAAAATGCAGACCTGATCAGATGAGCAAGTTGTCGAGGGAGAAATTAAAAAATAGTTTCTAGACACTAATTGAATTCACTGCTATTTCCAGTAATTATTAATTGCAATTTAACAGATTAACAGGGGCAATCTTTGCTTCCATGTGGCAGATTTGGCACTTAGCATTTTTCAGCAAATTTTGTTCCTCAAGCTGTAAGCTTGTCTTAAGTGTGCAGCAGACTCCACTTTGCATGTAATCAGTAACTGGTTTCTCTAGTTGGCAAAGACAATAACAGTTACTGTAAATTTCCACCCTACAGGTATTTCCTCCAAAGTATCTGTTACTCCTTCAGTCTTAAACGCTATTCAAGGTGACACCTCAAGATTATTTTGCAGTGTAAAACATTCCACACCTAAAGCTTTGATCGCTTGGAAAAAGCAAGGTTCAACTAATGTTACAATTACAACTGGAAATCATTTTACTTTGACCCCTGATGGTGCTCTACACATCAGGAACATTAGATTTGAAGATCAGGGAAAATATGAATGCATTGCAGTAAATAACAAAACCATGAGGCAGCACACTAGCACAAATGCAGCAACTGTACAAGTTCTTCCTGGTATGTTTTAAATTGCAGGGGTATTTTGCAGAACGCTGAATGGCTGCCGAATGCCAAATGACTCGGAAGTTTGGTGTTTGGGTTAGGAAATCAAGTGAATCAAGTTTCATGTCAGTTTTCCCAGTATAATGACCTTAAATGAAACCTGATTCACTCAGTTTCCTAACCCTCTTCGACCAAACTTCAGCGTCATTTGGCGTGTGGCAGCCATTTGGCGATCTGTAAACTATCCCTGCCATGTTTACATGCATTATAATTCAGAAATTTATAGGACAATATGTTTGTTGTGCCATTAGTTGTATGTGTAACATCACTGAGGCAAAGTATCCGATCCAAGGTGAGTAATAATGCCATCAGCCTAGAAGGATTTAAAGGCTTTCAGATTTATTCCTGCACTTTTTGAGGACTAAGAAATATTGTCTGTGAGGAACTCAAACCGTAACTAAATGTACAATCACACTCGGTGGAAATAGGATATCTGCATAATAATCAAACACAAATGCAATCCACAACTCTTTTAAAAACTTAAACTCTTAATGGTTTTCATTCTTGTTAATGCTGTCAAAAACATCGAAATGTCAAAAATTTCCTTAGTATATTTATTTTTTGTTAAATGCTTTAACAAGCAACTGATCATCTGATCTAGTGAATTAATTATTTGTTTTATTAATTCATTGTAATAATGATTGTAATAATTTAATTGAGAACATTTCTACAGATCAGCTTGAAAAGATGCTTTTCATGCACATAAATTTATTAGGAACTTAAGCAAATTGGTTTTACAGTACTTCTGTAATTTGATTTACCTTCACTTGCCAGTTGGGTAAGTTAAGAACAGAATTCATCAGCCCGATTGCAAAATCCAGACACAACTTTCTCTAGCCCTAGGATGTCATGGTAACGATTGTATCTGGTACCTTGTTGTTACTGTTAGCACGATCTTAAAATAACAGAACTGAAATACTGTTTCCCAGTGACATTTTCAGCCTTAGGGATCAATTAACTGAACACTGTAGGCATGTGTGACATCAAAAATGCTTGCCTGCCAAATTTTGTTTTAGTATTATGGGACATCTAATGATGGTTTCTGAAAGAAGTGACCACAAGGATGTCAAAAGTGAAAATTTTTTTGAAATGTGTAGTTCCAGAAAATATCCAGACCCCCACCACGGAGGGAATTGGAAATTCCAGGGGGGTGGGGGGGTCAGAGGCCCAGGAAATTCCAGAAGGGAGGGGGGTTGGACCATAAAATCACTTTCCAGGGGGGCAATATCATTTTGTTTTCGACCTGAGATCGAACATTGCTTCTTACCGACCTGATAGATCATTTTTAGGACATAAATAACTTGACATATATCACTTAAGATTGTTCCTTTTTGATCTTAACCAGGTTTCCTTTCTTCCAAAAGCGTTTTGGATGTAATTTCAAAGGAATTAGACCGACTACAATTCGTTTTATCGCATGCTCGTATATTTGGCCGCCATTACTCGTTACCAGTCTTCCTCAAAACATCAACGCATGCAACACATCACGCAACACAACACGTTGCGTCAGTCGATCGATAGATCAGAAGAGTGGCTATTTTGCCTCACGAAGCACAAGCTATACGTTGTAACCATTTTAGAATGAAGAGTTTTTATTCTCCTTTTCATTTTCCCTTAATTTTGTGGTTGAACGTGTGGCATGTTCTTGATCGAATTCTCGCTGAAATGGTGTCGATTTCACCAAACATTTATACGGCCATCGGGCATCACGTCGCATCAGTCGATCGAAAAACAGTAAATTGAACTTGGTTTCCCTTCAAGTATCTTCAAGATGCAGGGGGTATTCATTGTTATCATTTCAGAATTCAGAGTTTTTATTCTCCTCTTTGCTTTGCATTAATTTTGTGGTCGTAAGTTTGACTTGTTCTGCATTCCCGCACGAAATGGCGTTAATTCTATCAACATTACACCCATGAGACGAATAACAAATCTAAGCTTGCCCTGATTAAGGTAAATTCACAAATATAACCGACTTATTAACTTTCTCTGTTTCATTTAAAGTAAGAGATGAGCAAAAATTACAGATCAGGTTACTTTGTGCTGGTGTAGTGTGTTTTAATGTTGCGAGATCACTCAAATAAATGGAAACAGAAGCATGCAAGCTTCTCATGAAACCGTTGGGTACTAACCATACGTTGCCTCATTCTTCTAGTTTAATAGTCTTTCTTCGTGAAAATGAACTTTTCCAGAGGGGTTGAGGGGTCTTTGTCACACTTGTGGAAATTCCGAAGGGGTGGGGGGTCATCAGTTCCCTGCAAAAATGGAAAATCCAGGGAGGTGGGGGGGTCCTAAGTGAAATTCCCTCCGTGGTGGGGGTCTGGATATTTTCTGGAACTACACAATATGCCTATCCACTCAAAAGATATAGCGTTTTGAAAGTTGACTTTTCCGCCATTTTGTTACTAAAAATATTCAAATTTCAAAACGATATATCTCTTGAGTGGATAGGCATGTTTTTTTCGAAAATTTTGACATCCTTACAGTGAGTTCTTTCAGAAACCATCATTAGATATCATATTATACTAAGAGCAAAATTTGGTGGGAACTTTGTGACGTCATTTTCCCACCAAAAATGTCAAAATCTGAAAAACAAAAAACATACATTTGTTTTGAATGGTGGGTTCTACATTGCAAAATTTCAAGAAACTAAAAAATATGAATAAAGGCGAGCATTTTTGATGTCACATATACCCACTGTGGAAATTCACTATTTCTCCACTCAGATTCTTAACTTGTAGAACAATTCTTTAGTTATATTAATACGAAACAAAATCATTGTTTAGCGTCTATCAGTTTTTTTGTGTGTGCCATCGTTCCCAAAGTGTATTGCACGTTACTGGTTTATGCAGCGTGTAAAGAAAGTTGTGTCCGATAGCCCAGGGCTAGTGAATTTTATTATTGGGCTAGTGAATTCTGTTCTTAACTTGCCCTTGTAGCAAGTGAAATTTTTTACGGAATTCTAATCACAAAATAACAGTTATCAACCCTGCTCATCGTCGGGCTAGTTAAAATGACTTTTGGGCTAGTACATACTAACTACGGCTTGCCCGAATGGCAAGCTGTAAAACTGACTTTCTTCGCACCCTGTTTATGGCTTAAAAAATTGAAATCATTTAAGAGGTGGGTTCCCATTTTCTCGGAGCCAAAAAATTGTTACAGGTGGTTTCCCATGATCTCTGGGCATAGAGCCCAAAAATTGTTATCCATGAGAATTGAAATCCTAGGGCTTGCTTTCTTTGCATGCTGATTAACCCCATTCCAAAATGTGATGTTAACTCTCTTGGAGGGACACCTTTGGGGCCGGCACTAGTACTGTCTGTCTGTCTTATGGAGATGTCCGTCTTATAGAGAGTCGACTAAAATGATTAACATACATACATACATTCCTCTGGTAATAATAACTGGACTATTATTTTAATGAAACAGACGAAGGTTTTCCTCGTCGTCCATATTTTGAGGCGTCACCTAAAGATACAGTAGCAGTAGTGGGAAGCAAAGTGGTTCTTGAGTGTTTAGCAAATGGCTCTCCCAAGCCAAGAGTAACATGGCTGCGAGATGGTGTTCAAGTTGGAAGTCAAGGTTATTCAATTTTTGGAGAGAGTAATCTGATGATTCTTTCTGTGTCTGTGGAAAATGCGGGAACTTACACATGTCGTGCATCAGCTTTAAACAGAGAAGAAGAAACAACAGCTAAGTTAGAAGTACACTGTGAGTGACTATTATTTTGCCGTGCATTAAGCTAGCTGAACAGAGGAAACATTGTAGTAGTATACCCTCAGTAAAGGAACGTTTTTTAAAATTTATCAGCAGTTAAATGAAGAAATATTCCTTTAGATATTGACACAGCACAACTTCTTCTGAGAGAATAAAATAATGTATCATAAAATGGGGAGCCTTAAGTCATGAATTCTTGAAATTCAAAATAAGAGTCTTGGAATCTTGGGCTCACAAATATTTAAACCTCCTCAGAGTCTAGAATTTTGAAAGTATAGTTCTCTACGTCTTGTAAAACTCTCAAGTAGCTATTGAAGTTTACCTATTTCTGCTAGTGTGACTTCTGTTGAGTTTATATCCCAGCAAATCCCAGCTAGCATGTTGCAAAACAATGCAGTAAAATTGAAAAAAAAAAAACTTGAAAAGAAAAATAAGAGATTGCTTTTAGGCTAATCCAGTTGAAGATTTTATATGTTTTGGACTTTGTAGGAACTCTTGTTTTGAAACTTTTCAGCTCTTTAGAGTTTCAGTCTCGGGGTTGAACTTTCTTATTGAATGTAAAGTCTCGGCCTCTGATATGATATTAGATGAGCCAAGGTCTCTGATTTACCATATACCCCTACTTCTGCAAGCCAAAAAGGGAAGCACAAAAAAATAATTGTGTATTCCCCTCATGAAGTTGTTTACCATGAGATCTAGGTTTTTGCAGTATTATATGAGTTTGTCTCCAAAACTATGAATGCCACTGCAAAACTGAGGGCTATGCATTTGTCTGCAAGTGTTAAAAATGTTTTTATCTTGTGTTGTCATTATTTTCCAGATGGTCCTGTTTTTACCAAGAAACCAAATGCTGTCAATGCTTATGAAAACACAAATGCGAGATTTGAATGTAGAGCAGATGGAATTCCTAAGCCAAACATCACATGGACTAAAAATGGTGAAGAACTGGTCAATAAGGCTTTTATCAGCATTAAAGATGGCTACTTGACTGTGAATGATTTAGTGCCGTCAGATAAAGGAGTTTACCAGTGCTTTGCAAAGAACTATTTAGGAAAAATCCAAGCATCTGCTCAGCTTTCTGTGTACAGAGAAGGTAATTATTTTATGTAAAGAGCTTAAAGGTTTTAAGCAGAGGTTTCATTTAAACCAGTTACTGGGTATGTACTTCCACCTACATGACTCTTAATGCCATGTGAGAGTTAATAAGAATTAGTTATTAATGTGTTGCTTTTTACTAATTTATCTTAATGCTTGGCTACACAGGAGAGCGTATTCCAGCTACAACACCTACACCGGCCACAACTCAGGAACCTACAACAGCTGTAATAACAACACCACAATCTACAGCACCAGCTCCTCGTGTGCCTGAAAAACCAGAGAATGTGAAGGCCGTTGCTGTTTCTCATACTGAAATAAATGTGTCTTGGTCACCACCAAGCATAACAAATGGAGAGATTTTAAAATACCGCATCTTCTGCTTTGAAGAAGTCCGACAAGGTAGGAAGTTCTCTCTTCAGGGCTTCTGATATTTCTAGCGGTCGCGGACCCGCGAATTCAGGCATTTTCGTGAAATACCGCGAAATCCGCCAGAAATATTTCCAAATACATGTCGGCAAAACATATTTAATACTTATCTTGGCTTTTAGACCTTTTCTATTCCCTGCAAACGTCCAAATTTATCTTGAAACTTCGTCACTGCAATGAGTAAACAACGTCCCAAAACTACCAGGCGTTCTTAGATGAACGTTGTGAAAAACTGGGCACTAACCATAATGTAACAGGTTTAGCATTCGCTCATTTCTCGAGCAAACTGTCGTTGAAAGAGCGAAATAATGATTATCCCTGTTAAAAAAAAAACGTTAAACAACGCTGGTCATATCGACGCAAAATTGGTCGATTTTAGCGAAATTTGCCAAAAAAAACCCCAGCAAAATCGGCTGTTTCTTACTGATTGTTTCTTGGTGAAGTTTCCCCTTGAAATTTCCCGTGAAATCGGCCGATTTTTCTATAAATTTGCCCCTGAAAATCCTTCGAAATTTGACTTTTTTCCGCTAAAATGCCGCAAAATCAGCCGATTTTTCTGCGAATTTTGACTTTTCTCCCGTGAAATCTGCCAATTTTTTCGCCAATTTTGACTTTTTTCCCGCGAAATTGGCCGATTTTTCCGCGAATTTGGCCCTGAAAATCCCGCGAAATTTTGCTTTTTTTTTTCCGCGAAATATCAGAAGCCCTGTCTCTTTCACTAAGGGATTAAAGGATAAAGCTGAAGCTTACACCTTTCATGAAGTGCTTTCCCCTTCACTCAACCACTTCACAAGGTTGTGCTCTAACGGCGCCCAGTCGCCTGAGGCGACTGAAAAAAAGTTCCTGGTCGCCCGGCCGGGCATTCTTGCTTCTGGTGCAGTGTTCAGTTAAGCAGGCAGAAAAATTTAACATACTAGTGTTGGCTTGTTGAGTCAGAGTTTACTAAACCCTACAGAAAATGTTTTTACGAATGTTGTACGAAAGAAACGGGTGCGCGTCAATGTTCAAAGGTCGTTCTGCATGATTTCACATGTAACATAGTCCATCACTTTGAACATGACAAGTGGCATGGATTTCGATTTATACTTTTACAATTTTTCAGATAGAATGGTTCATTAGGTACAGTTTTTAGGAGGAACTGTCAATGCTTTTCTGACAAAAATAGAGCGCGGTTGGCGATGCGGAGTAATTTATTTTTGTATAAAACGGAAGTTGCTGTATTGACCAGTATGCAAATGTCATGTTTTTATGGTTTTTGGCTGCTGTGACTGCTTGGCTGAAACATAACTTATGATTATTTTCTTCCCTTTACATAAGATAACGAAAAAGAAAAAGAAAAGATATGATCGTTCTGATCGTTTTTACTGTTGTTTTAAAAACAGGGCAGTTCGACATTGTCTTGCCATTTTATGTATCAAAAACTAAATTCGCATGCATGCATACATATATAGGCTAAATTTAACGGCCAAAAAAAATAATAATAAAAATAAGGAAAGAAGAGCCGTATCCACAAAAAGCTCAATCATCCTAAAAGATTCACTGATAATGTAGAAAACAAAATTAAAGATGACTTATTTTTTATTAACACAATGGGTTTGGGGCCACGGTGGTTTCACTGTTTCACAGAATTGAGTTCGATCTGCCGCGTATAAAACTCTGTCACATTATATTTCATGCTGCATTGATTCACCTTTGGAAAATTTATGTTTTGGAAAATTTAAAAGGACAGTTTTTCATGTTTGAGCCTGTGTTTAGTTTGGCTTATTTGAAAAAAACGTATTTTGAACCAAAACATCTTAACTGGTAAAAGGACAGTTTTCCTATGTTTGAGCCAAAGATCTTAATGAAGTTTATGTAAACCTGCTGAAATTTTTTACTTTTCCCTGTTCAAAACCTAAACAATTCGGCGGCATTGCTCACGTTTCTGGTTTTAAATCTGAATGGAACGAAAAGTTTGATTGGTTTCATAAGACAACATGTGGGTTTTTACCGAGTTTGGTGATCAGCAGGCCAGTAAGATTCGTGTGCGTACAAAATACTTCCTCATCAGATGTACTTGGGTGACCAACTTGAGAGGCCCGGGGGCCCCAGCCCTAACTAAAATGCTAAAAGATAGAAAAATATTACAGTCAAAGCCAAATCAAATTGGGAAACTGAGTTGGTTGAAATTTCCTAACTGCCTCGTGTGTGAATTTCTGGCTTATTACACATGCAAGAATGCAGAGATGAATCTACAAGTACCAATGGATTCAACTTTTGAATAATAAATTTCATTGATGGGATCTTGGTGGGGTATGCTTGACCTGCCTTGACTGTAACCCAGGAGTAAAAATCCAATTGCTATCCCATAAACCCCACGGAGTGTTACATGTAGTCCTAGTATAGGGAATAGAGAGAAGTCATTATGTCACATTGCCATGCAGCAAAATTCCTGAATCTCTGCAAACCATAGTCCTGCAACTGTGGCAGAAAATATGATCGCATATGTCAATGTCAATAACCTCGACGTCAGAGCTTGAATTGTCACCGATCAGTTGTGCTTCATCATACTCTACTTTGACTTGGCAGGGAGTGGATAAAAGAAAGGAAAGAAGACCAGAGGGGTGGGGGTGGGGCGCGATTTTTCAAGGGAGGCGATTATTTTAAATATTTCCGTCTAAAGGGGGTGATTATTTGAGGGAGGTGTTTAATTGATGGATGGCTATTATTCGAGGAATGTGGTACCCCTTTCCTCTCCTCCAGGATTGATAGGCTACACTGCATTAAGCATGCAGTCAGTCAGCCTTTCCTCATTATTTTGTGACTACATAAAACAGTTTCATCTCCTTTTGTCAGCAATTTTTGCTCAACGTTTTTACAGGAAGTTCGGGTAGTGGCGTCAAACAGAAAAATATGCCTGGAGACAGTCGCAGTGTACAGATCACAGACCTCAAACCAGACACAAAGTACCGTTTTACTGTGTTTGCTCATAATGAACATGGAGCAGGGATAATTTCTGACGAGGTAATAGCCAGGACATACCCCAGCTCTGATGTACCAGGAAGACCTCTTAACTTAGTAGCTGAAGCAGTGTCGGAATCAACAGTTAGAGTCACATGGGCTGCACCTACCACTGGGTAAGATAGTTGTCAGCATTTCATTTTTTCAAACAATTTCTAAAGTTTCTATAAATCTGAACTCCATTATCTGGCGGATAAAATTTGATAGTAAGAGATCTGTTGTCTATTTATCCCTAGAAAACGGCTAACTTTTCACAACCCCACCACTGGTATCCCCGCGAAATGACATGTGAGCAACAACTGAAGAGACTCCATACTGATGACATTCACTACCCAAATCTGGGTATCGCTCCTGATTGGTTGAAGCAGATTTCTCTCGCAACAGGACCAATCAGAAGCATTACTCAGAACCAGGTAGTGACACGGCATCAGTGTGGAATTTCTGCAGTCATTGCTCAGACGTCATTTTGCAGGAAAACTAGTGGTGGTGGTGTTGCAAAATGTTTGCTGTTTTCTCTTGCCTTGTCTTTCAACTTTTGTGTGATGTTACATGTGCATTAATAACAGTATATGCATAACCTCAAATTTGGGGGTTGAGGATAGTGATATAAAGATGCAAGACTGTGGATTTGTGTAGTTTAACAGACACTTGTAAAACATAAGAACAGGTTAATTTGCCATTCTCCAATTCGTATGTTCTTGTCATCCATGATGATGAACCTTAATTTGACCCTTAACTTTTGGAGATTAGTATTAGAGTAGGTTGCATCACCTTGGTGTTTTCTTGTTATTTCTGCAAAACTCTGGACAGCATATGGGATATGAAATTAACATCATCTACCCGCTTACCATTTTCCGAAAGAAGAAGAAGAAGAAGCTTTGATTAATTTGTTAAAAAGCATATGTAGGTCTTTGTGTTGTAGTTTTAAATTGAGTAAGTAGTACTTGTGCTCAAAGTCTGAATTTTAATGTCTGACTTTGTTACCCCAGTGCAAGCCCATCTATGTATGTGATTATTTACAAAGATGTAAGTGGTGATTCTGGACAGATGAGAGATGTCACTAAGCAACAAACAAAGCTCCTGCGTGATCTTAAAACCTACACCAAGTACACCATCACCGTGTTTGGTGTGGACAAGAGAGGGATTAATGGACCCACTGCAGAAACAGAGGTCACAACGAGAAGTGGAGGTATTGCACTTTTATAACATTGACACTGTCTAAACCCTAACTTCAACATATTCATCCTCTTTCTAATAGAGGGAATTCATTTCAAAAGTCAAGTGTCTTTTACTGTGGTTAAGCAAGTATGGCAGTTGAAATATAGAAATAGACTGGTCTTTTGTTTATTTATCTTTGTATTGTGTTTTTCTTTGCAATTATTTAATATTTAATGATAATTTTCTCTATTATGAAGATGATGGTATGTTTTATTTGTCAGTAACATCAGGAATAAAAGTAGGGGCTGGTTGCTAGTTTTCGTTTGTGACCTTTAAAAAGGTTTAAAGGTTTGTTTATAGTGGAAAGTGCTCTTACACGCAGCTTTTCGAGCTAGTTGACAGGCACTCCACTCAAATACTTTAAATACAACATAACAGAATTAATATATAGATTTAGCCAGGGCTAAAAGCGAAGCTCTCGTTAATAAATTTGTAATTTAAATAAAACAATAAACTTGTATTCCACAAATCAGTAAACTTTAGAGCACATTTATATACTTTTGAGGGAAAGGTTAAGTGATTTTAGAGAAAAATAATTTGCAAACAGCCCAAGAGTGAACCAAATCTTAAATCGAGTTGATAGCCTTATATGTACACCCAAAAAATAGCAATCATCTTCGATCACATTTAAGAGCCGCAATGGCTCTTGATCATAGTAGATTAGGCCTGGGAACCAAATCCTTGGAAAACAAATCAGGCCGAATTTTTTTGCGTTCGACAAGTTTGCTTTACAAAATCCGGGGCTAACAAATCTGGGGGCATGTAAACTAACCTATTATACTTTTTATACATCACATCTGAGGTGAAACAGTACTATGAGGCACTGTTTTTATCATACAGCCCTCGGACAGCACTATTTCACAATTTTGAATCACAAATTGCATTCATTCAATATTCAGGACGATCGAAGCACACGAGGGCTTTTAGCGAAACCGCTTAAAGAAATTTCAATTCAAAATCACCTATACGGCCAGCCGGTTGCGAGCTGTGGAGTGTTTGAATGAACATTAATAGAGTTACCATTCAACATAATAAAGAATTTATCATGTTTATTTTTTATTTAGTGGTTTTATAACGATGTGCAATCTTCCAAAGCGTTTGATACGCGCGGCGTTTTGAGTACTCCTGCAATTGATGTTCATGAACGACTGAAAACAAACGGCACAGCGATTACAGTCAAACCAGGTCAAGCGTTCCCGTCGCTAACGAACTAATGAATACATTCACGGAAAAATGATTTCGTTTGTTGATTCAATAATCCATTCATAAAATGAACAATCCAATATTCATATTTAGCCTCCATTCCATAATCGAATGTTGATTCGATGACTGTTTTTTGAAAAACTACACTTTCCACAAGTTGACCTCAGAATTTTGTTTTTTCCTCTTTTTTTTCTGAGAGTCGAGTGCTGGCGAGTTCTGAAGTTCAAACCCAAACAAACTGTTACATGTACGCCAGTTTGCTGCCAGTAATCAGTGCAACAGACCTAGGCCTGACCTCTTAGAAAACACAACGGTCAAACTAAGGTCAGTGTATGTGCGGTGATTGGTGGATTTCGATCCTCGGCCTTTGTCAGTTTCTCATAGTTTCTTTGCGTTTGCGGTCTATCTATTCTAGCTGTTATTTTGATTATTAAAAGGCAATGAAAAACGCAATCGTAAACGGCAGGAAAAAGGAAGCAAATACGATTGAACACAACAGACAAGAATAAAGAACAGGTAGATTTTGTTCATAAACCAAATCAACATTTGATTATTGAATCGAGGTCCAATTTGACTGTTGGATTATTCATTTTATGAATGGATTATAGAATCAACAAACGAAATCATTTTTCCATTAATGAATTCATTAGTTTGTTAGCGACGGGAACGCTTGACCTGGTTGGACTGTAAAAATTGCAAGAGAGACTATTGACAATCCATAAAAGAAATATAATTCAGTGAAACATGTACAGAGACAATAATTTTCATTTACGAAGACAATAGTATTAAAGTGTCTCTAAAAATCCTGAGTCTTCAAACTTAAAACTTAAAGTTTATGTTTTAAGCCGGCTTCCCGGTGTTTGCTTTTTTCAAAGATTAACTCGAGGCAAGAAAATCGCTCAAGCTTTCGTTTACAGCCAGAATTATAACAAAATTTTCTTTGCAACGTTGTCTTTCTATTTGAGGTGAGAAAATGTATAAAGGCTTTTAAAAGTTCTGTAAGCTTATATCAAACCTGATACTAGGTCAGATCATTTGTCTCAAATCTTACAAACGTGCATAAACTAAATAGCCGCATAAACTACGCTCGACTTCATTAAATAAGATATTAAAGACAAATGTCAAATACAATAATTACTCAGGCTTACCATTCGAGATGCAGTTCCTGGAAGCTATGAAGTAAGGCCAAAATCGCTTCAGACTTTTCAACCCTCTTACGCATCAAGCAAGGTGAAAAACGAAAATGATGCCATCCGAAATCGGATTTGCGACTTTGACAAGCGACGTATTTCTCAAGCAAAAACCCGATAAACAAACTAGCCTTGAATAACAGAAGACTCTTGATAGCAGCTGAATTTCATTTTGTACAATGTTCAGTGGAAAAAGACAGTTAAAAACATCACAAGTTGACACAAAACTCTGTCAGCTTCAGCTGTCAAAGTAAACAAGTTTCAACTTGCTGCATAAATTTTCCGCATGAACTCACCTGTCAAATTTTGACCAATCAGAGCATAAAAATTAGACGTAGAGTGTGACCAACGCGTGACCTTGATGAGTAAAGTCAAAACAACTGGCATGTCTTCCCTGCCTGTAAAAACTGGCTGAATCTTAGCTTCTGAGGTCAGTTTGAAATCAAAATGTTAATTGTGCAGCACATATATATAAAACACAACATATTTCATATGAATTAAAAAATTAAACTTGAGCCTGCAATCATTTGAAAACTAGTAACTTGTCAGTGGATAACTGCAAAAAATACTCGACCTCGATGGGTCAACACCCGAGCCTGCGATACGGTCAGGTGATACTGGTCAGCGGATACCCTGTTTTGACAGCTGTCCTTTGATCACAACATTGATGTGCAATATGTGTGCAATATCAGTCTTCCTGTGCTACCAAACTAGCTAGAAAGTGTGGGATTGAACATTGGTTGCCCTCTGGTGCGGACGGACGGGCAGCGGGCGGGCGGTGTACAGTCACGTGATTACCAAATTTTCTGGGATGGGTAGATTTACTTTAGGGGCAAATTCACGGAATTTTTGCGGCAAACTTAGCCGAAAATCAATCGGTCAAAAAAGGCCGATTTTGTGGTTATTTTCCGGGAAACTTCGTCAGAGATCGATCGGTTTTGCGCTGATCAGACCAGCGTTTTTAATGTTTTTCTAACAGAGGTCATCATTTGCTCTTTCAACAACAATACGCTCCAGAACTGAACCAATGGCAAAGCCTTTAACATCATGGTTAGTGCCCAGTTTTTCGCAACATAATCAACGCCTGGTAGTTTCGGAGTTACGGGACGTTGTTTGCACGTTTCAGTGACAAAGTTTCAAGATAAATTTACAAGTTTACGGCAAGTAAATAGCCCCAATAGCTGAGAAAAGTTTCAAATATGTTTTACAGACATGTATTTGATAAGATTTCTACCGAATTTCACGGTATTTTGCGTGTTTTTGTGAATTTCGCGGCTCTACGACAGCGCGAAATATCAGAAGCCCTGACTACGAGCTGCGTCATTTACATTATACAAACTGGCGACTAAAAATTTGCATCTGGCAACTATATTTCTCCAGTTGGTCGCCAAAAGGCGACCAGAGGATTTTTTTAATTTCGAGCCCTGAAACCCCAACTCTCAGGAGACAACCAGTTGGCTATTTACAAGCATGGCCAAGGATTTGATCTCGGGACGACCAAGAACAAGAGCAGGACTCGAACCTGGGACCTGCTGGATTGCGAGTCCAACGCGCTGACCACTCGGCCACGCTGCCTCTTAACAAGAGAATGTAGGTTCAATTCTGTGCATAAATGCCAGCCAAGAAATAAAAATTTTTTTCCTCTAAAAATATGTCCAAGTTTTGAGTTTTGACTCGTACCTGAGCAAATAGAGTACCCTCAAAAAAATTATTACATTATATTGCCCTTACACTTTATTTATGATCAGCAGTTATCTGGGGGCATCATACCTTAATTTTTTCCTTTGCCAACTTCACAGTACTACTTATTTTTTATTTGAGTAAAATACATTAAGCAAATTTTGTCTGTTTTTAATTTGCAGTTCCCAGTGTAACACCCACAGATTTTGTACTCAAGCGTGACAGCTCAGGAACAAGACTCATATCAACTTGGAAAGCTCCTGATTCTACGAAGGTCAATGGCAGAATCACTTACTATGTCATCAAGTACAGAAAGTTTGGAAGCACAGAGGAGAACACAACTCAGAGAATTGCGGTAAACATTTTCATTGAAAACTAAGTTGCCACAGGAACAGCCACAGAAATCACACAAACAGGATATTCCTACAAAAAAACATCTTTAGATCGATCGATCAATCTTTGTGTCCTACAGGACACATGCCACAAAATTATTTGCGTCTTTGGGGGTTTTTATGTGTCAGGGACACAGGATGCAGAGGTATGAAAATCACTGTAATAGTCATGAATTGTCATTCTTAATGCAGTAAAAAGAGGTAAACAAGTAGATAAATGCAAAATTAAAGGTTTTGTGGTAAGGTTAAGATGTTTATGCTTTAGAATCTTGCCGTAAGTAATGTATATGACTGACTCAAATTGAAAGATACATGTCACCAAACCTTTTATGGGAGATGATATTTGGAAGTGAAATGTGCTACAAAGGAATGCATTCCATATGAAACTTTGATGCTTTAGTGGGGTTGATTGTACAGTTAGGGTTGTGATGACTGATTTCATGTGAAAAGTCAGAGAAAGCCATTGTTCTGGGTAAAGCCAGCAAAAACGTAATTGTCAGATGAGCTTTCCTTTCACATTTTATACAGTAGGCATAAATATTCTTGCAGGACAGAGAAAATTTTGTGTGTTTTTTTGGTTCTAGATATATAGACTAGCAACTGTGAAGTGACATTTGTAATGTTCATTACCTTAGCCACTTGGTAAGATCTGACTTTGGAATAACAGTGCCTTTGGACCTCTTGATAACACATTCCTTTCATTTTAGGCTGACAAACTGGCGTATGTCATCAAGGGTCTAATGCCAAGCACAAGATATGAAGCCAAAATAGCAGCAGGAACTGAATCTGGGCTTGGATTATATACCCAGGATTGGGTAGAAGCAAGCACAAATTTCACTGATTGTAACGGTAAAAATAACACATGAAATAATCCATGCCTTTCTCTTAACCTTATGCATGTTAAATCTGTCATGAAAGTCCTCTGCTATGACCATTCATGTAGAAAATCTGAGTGATTATTTATGTCCTTTTGTACGGTTTGGTTTCCACAAAACACATCATTGCCAATCCACAGTGCCACATGGCCAACACAAAACTTAGAGGTCAGCCTTACAGCAGTATAAGTAGCTTTGATGGATTACTAAGAAAATACGAGTTTGTAAAACTATGATACAGGTGAATGCCAAAGCCTGTCAGCTGTTCATGCATGTAATATGTTACAAATGCAAGATTTTAATTATTCCTGTAGTCATTCAGTATTGTCAATATTGGTTGTTAAGACAGATTGTACAAGTTCATCCAAAACTTTATTGCAGGGTTCACACAGTCTTAAAAAGTCCTTGAATTTTAGGGGAAGTCCTTGAATTTTCTTCAAATTTGAATGTAGTGGCCTGGGCAGTGTATTTTGGTTGTCCATGACAGAATAATCATAGCTCAGAGAATTTAATGTTTATGCAATAATTAACTATAGCAATTTAAGACAAGTGAACTGGAAAATGTAAAGAAGTTGGCAAAGCAAACAGTTCAAGCCTTTAGGTCTTATTAGAATGGACTGGAAATGTGCATTTTTGTACAATCTGAAAATTATATTCCTAGTAGGTGGTCCTTGAAAAGTCCTTAAAAAATAATTAATTGTTGGAATTAATTTTTTGTTTGAACCCGGTATTCTGATTGGCCACCCAAAGTGGCACGAAGGTCCTGTCTTACATGCTAGGGATTTCCGACTTTGTCTGGCAAGGGCTTAAGATTTTTGCATTTTAATAAACCTGGGGTACTTACTATTTTATGTGGAAAAAACCCAGAAATTCCAGTTGGTTTGTGTCGTTCTGTTTAGAAAGCTTCAGAAAGTATGGGCTGTGATTTTGAGGCATTGCAATTTTTCTGCTCTTTTTAGTCTGTTTAGCTCATTTGGATACACTTTGTAGTAGTTTTATGTCTAAGCACAAGATTTTTGTTCCATTTTTGTGTAAATGGAGGGCACCCCTGGACTTGACCTTGTACTTGCTGAGTATGCAAAAATGCCTTCACACCTGGGCATATTCATCTCGTATATCCATAGTGTTATCACTTGTTTTATCAGTGTCTTTTGAACTGGTGAAGACCATTCTTCCTGGCATCATTATTATTATTATCGTTATTATTATTGTTATTTTGAACTGTTATTGTAATTATAACAGTGAAACCCTGCTTTATGGATACGTCATTATTATGGACAGTTTGCTTTGTCCCTGGAAAAAGAAATGCCTTACATTCTCTCTAAATTCAACTCGCTTAATTAGGACATCCTGTCAATACAGACACTTTCTATGGCCACCTCAGTGTTCTTATTAATAGGGTTTGACCGTATTATTGTTATTATTATTATTATTATTATTATTATTGTATAAATGGGGTGAGGATATTGAAGTGCTAAGAACTTGAACATTAGCCCTTTAAATTCCTACGTCATTGCTTTTTCAATTGGTGAATTGTATTTTGTTGCTTAGTTATAAATTTCTTGTTATATTAATATTGTGTTTTTAGAGGAAACAGTTCCTGGTAAACCCAGATTTGACAGTATAAAGCGGTTCCCCAGTGCCATCTTGGTGAAATGGCTTCCTCCAGATAATTCAGGCCTGATATGCGTTACTGGTTACAGCCTGGGATGGGGCAAAAATACACCATACCAGGCTTCTTCAAAGCCTTTAAGTGGTGATGAAACACAGTATCTTATCGACGATTTGGGTAAGTGCTGTACAGGTGATTCCTTTGGCTTGTAATTATTTCATTTCCCCATAGATACATACCATCAGGGTGCAAAGAAAGTCAGTTTTACAGCTTGCTATTGGCGCAAGCTGTAGCTAGCATACACTAGCCCAAGAGTCACTTTGACAAGCAGGATTTTATGGATTAAAATTCTTCCATAATTTAAATTCCCGCAAAAAATTCACTCTTCTGTCGGGCAAGTTAAGAACACAATTCACTAGCCAACTGAAAAATCCAATAACCCCGGGCTAGCTGATACAGCTCTCTTTGCACACAGACCATGCAGGGCTGTTCTTTAGCAGAGCCTGGTGACCCCTGGTGCCTAACTTTTGCTTTCAAACAAGTGGAAAATCTTACTTTTTCAGACAAATTGTATGTAATTGTGTTCAATTTTTGTAGAGTACAGTCTTGACCATGGCAGAATTTCAGCAACACATGGCAAAAGGAAAGAGATAGTGGGGTATCTTAACCATTGATTGTGTTTGGTTTTGTAGAACCTGAGCAGAAGTATGTTATTAAGTTGTATGCAACCAACAGCAATGGGAATGGACTTGACATCCAGATGCAAGTACGAACCTTGGCTGGATCAGGTAGAATCATAATATTGTTTTTACCAAGTCTTTCTCAGAAACGTATTGCGAACCAGCCCCCCCAAAATTTAGAGCAATGTTTTTCTATTAAATTGAAAAGCTCATGCTAAAATTAGGGCTCATTTTAGGCAAAAAATTCATGTTTCCACTTAGCATACCATAGTTTTTAACTGACCTCTTCCATTGTACTTAAAATGGAACCAGTGTGCTAAGTAGTCACTCCCTGGGGTTTTTAATAAAATTTTCACTTGTTATGAGCAGTGTAACCTACTGTATCAACTATTGAGTTTCACATGTCACCAGTAAAATAATAAATAAATATTTTTTTTATTGTAGGACAGCAAGAGCCTGTGAAAAACTTGAAGGCAATCCCTCTGTCGTCAAATGTTATGTATGTTTCATGGAAAGACACAAAAGTTTCCACATCTGTTCCAATTGTATATCATGTGTACCACTCTGTGCATGGTCAACTGAAGTACTGTGGAAATACAACAGAGAAGCACATCAAGTGTAATCGTTTGAAGCCTTTTAAGAAGTACATGTTTTATGTCAGGCGCAATGAGGAAGGATTTAATGCTACTGTCAGCAATTTCACCATGGAAGACAGTAAGTGTACTTTAACCTGTCAGCTTGATTATATACAGTGGAACCTCTATTCAGGGGACACCTTCAGGACCAAAGCAAATGTCCCCTGAATAGAGGTTTCCCTTCAATGGAGGTAACAAATGCAAAGATTAAGTGAACATTTTTCCAGGACACAATTTTTTGTCCCCTGTAAGGAGGTGTTCCTTGATTAGAGATGTCTCAAAGGAGAGGTTCCACTGTATAATAAAGAGCTTTCTAAAACCGGTTCCATTACATTGAACAATGTTTAAATAGTGTTCTAAGTACATAATAATTGGCATTTTGTAACTTATCAAGTAACTTACAAAATGACAACAGGCCACTTCCGAGTTCCAAAAACTTTCACTTTCAAAATGAGGCTAGGTGCACAACCTTTCTTGTGAAAATGAAGGGGGCGCGGTGGGGGAGGCTAACAAAAAAGGACTAAAAAGAGTGTTTCAAAACAAGCTACTTATCAGTGTTGATCAAAATACTTTTTGAATTTACTCACTTTTTTAAACTTCAAAGCGAATTCATTTTATTACCAGCGAGAGAGGGGCTTGTATTGGGGGTGGGGGGAGGGCTTTTAATAAGATTTATTTTTTGATTTACAGATTCATGGGCCCATAACCGGGTGTGTCAGGGGGGGAAGGCTATAAGCAGACATTTATGGTATTATATGTTTATCTAAATATGTAACCACGTAACTTTTGATTTTCAAGAACCAGGTCCCCCTATGCACCTCACAGGAAACCCAAATGAAACAAACTTCACTCGTTTGACATTAAACTGGCAGCCTCCCCGTGCGCTGAATGGGCCTGTGCTTGAATACCGGATATTTTACTCCAAAAATAGTAGTGCTCCAGGTGAAAAATGGAAATCTGTAAAAGCTGATGGATCATCCTTAACAAAGGAAATATCTGGTCTTAAGCCTGGAACAGCTTATTTTTTTAAGATGCAGGCACGCACAAAGAAAGGCTGGGGACCTATGTCGAGTCCAAAGAAATTCTCTACTCTGTCAAGTAAGTGTAGTGTTTGTAACTGTTCAATCTTAGAGGCAAGAAGACAGTCTAATACATATGTACAAAATTGTCAACTTCTCAATGCAGGTGATTATTAGGGTTGTGCTGTGGCATTTACAATCAAGTCAGGTCAAGCAAACCCCCCAAGATGCCATTAATAAACTTATTAGCAGTTGTAGATTTCAGATTCATCTCTCAATTCCTGAGTTAATAGTAAATTTCAGATTATGAATTTCTACGAGAAGTTTCTTAAATTTGATGAATATATCAAAATGAGCAGTGTTTCATGAATTCACACGTGGGGTTGTTTTGTGAATTTCGAGGTGTTTCATCGAGATCATGTTTGTTTCTTCAAACAAAATCATTTTTGAATGGAAAGTGTTTCATCGATTTCAAACACTAATTTTATTTCTATTTTCTTAATGAATTTTTGAATCTGAAACTTGAATTTTATCTATTCAAAGATTTTTAATCTGACTGAATACAGAGAAGTTGTCATAAAAAATTCACGGCAGCTCATTATGCATGCAGAGATGCACATGATTTGAATTTGATACTGGTTGTGGCAACAGCTAAAGGATTCAACTTTCGAATGATAAATTCATTAATGGGATCTTATCTATGCTTGGCCTGGCTTGACCTGGCTTCACTGTAATAAAAACTATTAAATGTCAAATATCAAAGTTAATGTAGTATTTTTTTTTCTTTGCTTTGTTCAAAATTGATAGCAACTATGCCCTATTTTCTTGTATGTTAGCTCCAATGCCAAGTAAAACAGTTACAGACACCTGTTAATACTGACAACAGATGCATTTAGGAGACCAGGTTCAACGGCAAATTCTTTGTTTACATAGATACATACATACATACATACGTTATTATTATACATCAGACTCACTATGAAAAATCTGATTGGTCGAGAGCATTCAATCAATTCACAATAGCTTGTGAACTTGACATGATAAATGCAATATCTGCTGCAGATATTGCAAAGCTGAAGTTTAGTGTTCTCCTCAGAAACAGAATGGCTGAATGTCTTCTTTTGCCAATTGTTTAAAAATGTATAATAAAAAATTGAATTCGGTTTACGCATGATATCATGAATTAAAATATCTGCCTCAGCCTTCCTCGGAAACCTCGGTTTTGATAATTCATGATATCATGCTCAACCTCATCCAATAATAATAAAAATTGTTTATTAACGTGACTAACACTTAGCTATAAAGCTAGTTTACAGGTCAGTCATGAAATGAAAAGATAAATAAACAAGCCTGGAAACTATAGTATATGGAAAACTGCATAAAATTATAGAACTATTAAACTTATATACAAAGGGATCTGGGTTAAATTGCGAAAAAGGGTCTATAAACTTGCAACTATGTAAAAGTGTTTAAAATGATATAGTATATGGAAAGTGCATAAAATTTTAAAACTATAATACTTATATAATAAGAAAACTAAGTTAAATTGCGAATAAAGGACTATAAACTTGCAAGGTCGAGCTCCTTCAGCCCACGTTTAAAACTCCGATAGCTATCCATATTTCTTAAATTATTACGAATAGTGTTCCATAGTCGGGCAGCCTGGTATCTCCATGACGTGATCCCATACTGTAGAATTTACTTTAGGTAATTTTAAAATAGCATCACCACATAAATTGTAATTAGAATTACGTGCCGTCAATAACGCGGAAATGATATAGGTGTGTTTCTATTCCCAGTATTGCTCCAAACACTGTATTTGACATTTTTGCAAGTCTTTGATTTGCTAATGTGCCATATCCATTTTTAACAACTAGTGTCTCATAAGTAGAGATTTTGTCATGGTAAACGAAGTGGAGTGCACTATTGTTCAGTTTTTCGAGTTTTCCTGTTAAGCGATTACTATGGAAATGCCAGACTCGGCACAATAATTAAAATGTGGAGCAATAAATGCCCTATATAGCTTTTCCCGTAGCTTTAAAGGAAGCAACTTCTTCCTCCTTTTCAAAACAGCGATTTGCTGGCACGCTTTGTGACATATTTCCCTAATTTGACTTTCGAACTTCAATTTATTATCGACCGTAACACCCAGAAGCTCTACCTCCTCTACCAGAGGGATGCTTGTGTCTTCACACTTGAAAACAGGGTCTCGTGATGTCTTTTTTTTATGTGCCATTTAATAATGATCGTGTGTTCTTTCACAGGTTCTCCAGGATCAATAGTCACCATATCAACAGGTAATCTCCCGATTAAATGTTCTAAATTTTGCCAGTTCAATTCATCGTTTTGGTCTTTGTAGCATTACATTTGCATTGCAGCTGGAGTCATAAGACACCTATGTCTCCAGAGAGCCTACTGAATGTTGACTCGTCTTATTTTACCTTAAAATGTACAGAATTATTTTAATAGATTTAAGAAAATATGAACCTGTTTCATATCTTAGACTGAAGAAGTCCTTGCAGAGAATTGCAGTTGTTTCGCCCGAAAGGCGATTCGGCGTTCGCCATGACATCGGTCGATTCGCCCGATGATATACGACATGGTGAACATACCTTTCGAGATGTTATTTTAGTTACCCTTGGATTCAACATGTGCAGTCACTGTCTTTCCATGCTTATTCCCTTTTTTCAGGCTTATAGAACGACAAATACGCTTCGTGCGAATCGACCTAGTCTGAGCAAACCGCTATCGTGCGAACCAATCTTTGAGCAAAACGACCTGATACCCTTGTGCCTAACTGGCAAATTTTAGACTAACAGGTTTTTGAAAAATAGGTTACTTCTTGCGGGTACTTTCGCCCCATGTATGGAAATTCAGATGACCGAATCTGGGAATTTTTTGCTTGTGGGATCTGGAATCCAGGAGATTTTTGCTTGCAGAATCTAGATCCTGGGCTTTGGAATCCGCGAACAGCTCAAGGAATCCGGAATCCCACTAACGATTGAAATCCGGATTCCAAGTTCCACTGACAAAGAATCCAGAATCTAGTGCCTATAATCCAGAATCCATGACTCTGGAATCCCTTACATAAGTAGCTTCCCCGCAGACGTCCTTTGGGGTTCGTTCGTCGAGAAATGAATGCGTGACAAACGAACCCCAAAGGACGTCTGCGGGGAGGCTATTACATAAGGCAATTCCTTGTTTTCTTCCTCTGCAGGGTTGAGTTCACCTGCACCCACTGAAACCAATGCCGCCGCAGCTCAGGCAGGAGCTGGAGGACTAAAGAACAAGACTCTTTGGATTGTTATAGCTGCTGTTGCCGGCATTACACTCATTGCCATCATTATAATCAGTGTTATCCTTTGTAAGAAGAGGTCCGGAGATGACATACACAGGTCAGTCTTGAATGAAGGCACTAACCTTTAGGTCATATCAAGCAGTGGCTAGATCTTATCTGCTTTGTTGCTGCCATTTTTTTTAATGTTTCTGGCATTACATTCATTGCCATCATCATAACCAGTGTTATGCTGTGTAAGAAGAGATCCGGAGATATCATACTGTTTACACGGGTAACTATTGAATGAAGGCACTAACCTTTAGGTCATATCAAGCAGCGGCTACACCTCATCTGCTTTATTGCTGCCATTTTTTTGTACTTGGTGAAAAGTATAAAAGTCCAAGTTCAAATGTTGGCAAACTTTCCATATACTGAACTTGATACTTACTTATATTGGCCGACCCAAACGATACAAGTTCGATAGTTGATTTAGACGGCATTGAACTTTACAGTGGAACGTCGGTATAACAAAGTCCTCGACATAGCGAACGATTTTCTTTACCCCAGTAATAGTAAAATATATAAAAGAGACCTCCAATATCATAGCCAAACCACACTATGTAGCGAACAAATTCTGCCAGTCCCTTGGCACTTAGTTATTTCAATGTTTGACTGTAAGTCGGACTCAGTTCATTATCACGATATGCAAGTCAACGCCCCTGCCTTTTACCATTTATTTACATAATTTTACTTTTCAGCTGGTCGCGCGTGGCACTGATGAAAGAGAGAAGACCGTTCGCGGTCTATATGCCATTTATCCCTTGCCCAATCTGAAATATTGTTCAACATTTCCTTGTCCTTTTATATAAATTACAGGAAACCTCCAACCTACAAACAAGTCATACAAGCGAATGGCTCTGCAAAGAAGAAACACAAGGAAGAGAAACCGCCAGATTTGTGGATTAATCACACAGAGAACCTCGAAATGAAACCAGTAGATTCTGTAAACCCTGCCCCTGACGTGTGTACCAATACAACGGCACTGATACCAAGGTTAGCACAACAGCCATTGCTTCATCTGAACTGACTGGAAAATTACAATATGAAAGTTAATTCAGCAGGTTTAGTTTGTTGTTCACCTCAACCTGTGTCAAATCTTAAAGGGGTTATATCACCCTATTTGCTATCTTTTTAAGAAGCTCAAACCTGTCTTTGCGTCAATCCACCGTACCTAAAAAGATGGCGACTGGTACATTTACCCACAGTTCTTAGCGCATGAAAACCATAAAATTGCTCATAAAAACGCACAGAAAAGCTTTATAAACTTCAAACCTAGGATAGGCAATGTTGCTATTACAGGGACGAATTTCGTCCCCCCAAAATATGACTTTATGTGTAATTGGCCGTGTTAGGTTCGAAAGGAATTGTGGTAAAATGTACAGCCGCCATCTTTTTCCGTACGGCGGATTGAAGTCCAAAACTAATGGCCCAGTTTTGTTAATTAAGACAATATTATGTGAAATGAATATGACTTATTATGATGTTTCGAAGCTAATTAAAAATCCTGTGAATGTAAACTGTATTTTGATCAGCACTGTTATAGCTTGTTTTAATCGATTTTTTTAAATTCCGGTTGAAAAGCCCCCCTCGGATATAAACCCTTCCCTATATAAGCCCCCCTAAAACCCCTTACAGAGATGAGTAATCCCATGTGTTATAAGCGTTAGTTTACGTTAAATGTATTGTGCCTTCCTCTTCACGATAGACTTTTAGTGATATAGGAAAGGCATGATCGCTCGCTATACTTATTCATGGGAGAGTAATTCCTGTGACTCAGCCCAAAAAGAGGTTAACCATAGTAACAATTGGTGTGGTAACCTGCGTGTTGCACCAATTCGTAGAAGGTCACTTCATGAGTGGAACCCCGCTCTGAGGACACCCGCTTCATACGGACACCCTGATAATGTGGACACTATGGCATGTCCCTTTGGGCCCATATTAACCGGGTTTCACTGTACCCTGTTGCCATGGTTTTCCACCAGGGTCAGAGCTCCTTTGCTTCAGAGTGCTATAAGGATACACACAATTAAAATTACTCTGGCGCATTGGTTTGTGAAACTGACTGTGAGACATTGTCTGTTAGGCGTTCTGAAGAAATGAAGCCAGTGGAAGATTCACCGCTTGACCACCTGCATGTCGACAATGAAAGAAGCTCATTTTTGAACGGCAGTGATGGTGAACCTGAAGACTTTGACGACCTTCCCCCTCCCCCTGTGTTCGACAGCAAAAGTGACCCCTACTTAGACTACCCTGATGACAATAGAACACCAACACCACCCCCCTCCCCAGGAGTGTCACCCTTCAATCCACCGAGATCAGTCACACCAGAAAATGGTAAGTCACGAGGACGTGTTGCCTGGGTCGTAATATTTTTCATCTCATTTTCCACTTCTACAGGCCATTGTTGCGATTATGCCATTTAACCCTTTAAACCCTAATATCAAAATCCAAATTCTCGTTTGTTATCCCTATACATTTTCAATAGAAGTAGTTGGGAGAATTTGTTGAAGTATCAACTAGATTCATCTTGTATGATCATGTCCTCAATTCTCCTGACCACTGTGTTTTATAAAGCAGTGATATTACAAGGAGAAATTTGACGCTGATCACTCTTAGGGCTTACCATTTACATGGGAAAACCGGAAATCCCGGTTGGAAAATCAAGTGGTTCGCGCCATTCCGTTTGGGATTCTTCAGAAAATATGGGCTGTGATTTGAGGCGAATCCATTTTCCGCTCTTTTTAGTCTGCCAAGGTATTTATTCAACTATTTACTTCATTTTCTTTTCCAGTTAAAAGACCCATGTATCCTATGACTAGTACGCCCAGGTATCAATTGAGTCTTCCTCGAACGGGCTCCTTTGAAAACAACACTCTTGATGTGACGGATCCTCGTCCGCCCAAGAGATCAAGGTCTTACGATCCAGACTTCGGGCCGCTCACTTCCAAGGTTTGTCGTTTTGCTTATTTACCAACGTAGGTAAACCGGCTAACTAGAATTGTTGGGTGAAAACTGTACAAGGTTTTGTGTACAAGTTGTTTACATAGTAGTGAGTTTACCTTCATTGCAAGGATTTTCTTTTGCTGACCCCCCTTTCAATGTGTCCAACATTTCAACTGGCATGAGTTTAATTATATTTTTCCGTAAGTCAACTGATATTACCCTGCGTATTGCCGCTCTCTCCCCGATGTTACTGAACTTACGCAAGGGGATGGCAGAAAGAAGAGGATGGCAAAACAGAAGAGTTTGAAAAACGTGACAGGGTTATTACTTGCGATTTCTGTTGTGATCTTCACTGTGGTCTTTGACAAAATGAACTGTTTAAAGAGAGATGAAGTTTGGTTGTAAATTTTGTCAAACAATTATTGTCACGCTTGTCATACTGACGAGGTTTGCCGTCTTCTTTCCTCTGCCGCAATCCTAGTTGCGCAAGTTCACCCAGTTTGTTTGAGGGTCAAGGCGGCTGTACACAGTGTGAATCTGTTGAGGGATTCAAGCCCCTTTCACACATAATCCGGATATTTTTTTAAAACGGACATTTTTCCTCTCCGTTTTCCCAAAAATACGCGTCTACACTTAGTGTATTCGAATCGTTTTCCCCCGTCCAGACAAAAACACTAAAACGATGGAAATAGATAGCATCCCGCTCAGCGCCCATGCGTAATGCTGGTAATATACGATGTATATACGATGTATGACATCATTGAATTCGAAAACCTTCGTTTTCGTCCATCCACATGTAAACAAGAAGCAAGCGTTTTCTAAAATTTCCACTCTGGAGAGCGTTTTTGAAAAGATGTGTTTTCGGTAATCGTTTTCACCGGATACGTGTGGGCAGAAGGCCAAACCAAAGGAAAATGTCTCCGTTTTCAAACAAAAACGGATACGTGTGGACGGGGCATCATAGCAAAACCCAATTTGTTCCTCAAACAGGTGCCTGTCTATCCAGTGCCTTACCAGTCCCCAGTTCCTCCTTCTACGTCACCAAAACCCAAATCACCAGTTGCTCCTGCAGACGACATTCAGCTACCACCAATCGGCTTCAACCGTAAAACGCAACCCAATGGCTACTGGACACCTCCACCGAAATATGACGACATATTTGCTCGCCGCTCGAGACCTCCTTCCTCTCCGCAAAAGGTACCTAAAAATAGTCTCGCCCATTTGTTATGTCTGTTATGGTCATTGAAGAAGCATTATTCAAGAACATTTATGTTATGGTTATCGTTAGATTGAACCTCATTATTCAAGAACATTTTTGGTATTTAGGTTAACAGTGATATTTTATGTTTAGAAATTTGGACCTCATGAAATATCACGAGATTGCGAAATATCACGTACAAAATGTAAATTTGTTTGTACTACCAGATGATGTTTTTCAAATTAAGCTGAAATACCACTGCGCTTCAAATTGCAGAAATTTCTCATGTAGTAGTTTAAGGTAAACAATCCGGATGAGTTTGTCATGTCTCTTATAGACAACAGTGAGTTTACGCAACAAGGCGAAAGAAGAGGACGGTAAAACGCTTGTGTATGATGAGAAACGTGACAGGGCTGTTACTTACGTGTTATGTCGTGATCCTCACTTTACATTTTAAAATGTTTTCTGGTCTTTACAAAAAGAAAGGAAAGTGAAGTTTGGCGTAAAGTTATTTCAAGCAAAATTATTGTCACGGTTGTTACACAAGGCTTGCCGTCTTCTTTCCTCTCCCGTCCTGTTGCTTACTTTCATAATATACAGCTATTTCGAGAAAGGTTGTCGGAAAAACTGTGCACTCGGCAATCCCGAAAGGTAATATGGGATATGATCAGTGCACTTTTCCTGACACTGTTCCTGTCGAATCTACTTTTGTTGCTTTCCTGTAGCACTTGCAAACATACGTCCATGGCTTCTCGTGCAATTCTTTGAAATTTCTTTGAAAAACAGTGAACTCCAAATCACCCACAATACCCTTCGAGATTGTGGCTTGCACTTTTTCCGACAACCTTTCTTGAAATAGCTGTATGTGGTAATTCGCTAATTTAGAAACTTGAGCCGATTTCCGTCTCGCATTTGTTTCCGGCATCGTTACTGAGGACGCGCCGGTCAGCTGGTGGCGATTTTGTTTTCTTGTCCCTGGGGGCTAAATGGAAAACAAAAAATTGGAGCAAGTAATATTCCCAGAAGTCTTTGCGAAAGTTAACTCGCTAAGTTTCCTTCACGCGTCTAAAGTGACGAATAAACGTGAGGGAAAAGGGGGTCATAACGAGTAAGCTCCAAATGCAAAGTCTTGCTCGTATTTGAATCTCAAAGGTCCCTATTATTAAGGTCGTTAGCGAAAGTTTTTCAGCGATATCCAGACAGCGCGAAATGGGTCAAGAGTACAAGATACGGTAAAATGCGCAATCGAATGCTTGAAGTAGCTTGTTAAAGAGTAATTCTTGCAGAAATTAACCCTTTAAGCCCTAAGAGTGATCAGCATCAAATTTCTCCTTGTAATAGCAATGCTTTGTTAGACAGAGTGGTCATTAGAATTACGGACATGATCACACAAGATGTATTTGTTTGATATTTTATCAACTTCTCCCCACTACGTCTGCTGGAAATGAATAGGGGCAACAAATGAGAATTCAAATTTTGATCTTAGGGTTTTAATGTTGTGATATTAACAGGGACCTGCCGCCTGCTAACTCCCTTTCATAGTGTAGTGATTTCTTTTGTGTTCTCTTAACGAAGTATTTGTGAGTCCGAGAAGTACGAAGATGTCGGGGTATATGGTGTTGAATTCATTTCAGTTTTGTATTGTTAACCGTTTCTTACTGTGTATTGGTTGTGCTAGGATGCGGTTGTAGCAGACCTTGATAAAGAAATAGCAGGACTTGAGGGTTTGATGAGAGACTTGAACGAGATCACTGCTGGCGACTATATAATCTAACGAGGTAAGCGCAAACTGACCTCCTTCACCCTGAAGCCGTGAATTCACAATGATCTACAAAGATCAGCATAGCAAAGCTGAGTTATGCAAACACGCATGATGTAAGCTCCTGCAGACACGGCGGTTACCCCGCACAAGCCTGCCTACCTGGGGCTCCACCGCTGACTTGCTAGTGAAGTCTTGAGGTTGACTTAATTTCCCACCTGCCTGAAATCTACTGACATCGACTGTGAAAAACCTTAAGGTATGGTTAACACGTGCGACGCAAGTGCAAACGCAAAGTAATGCCCGCACGTGAACTACCGTATTAAACGCCCTTTTTGCGCAGAAGCAAGAAATGCAAAAAATTTCCTTTTTTTTTCACTTGTATCTGCTTGTCTTTTCATTTCACACGTGTGAACCGGTGCAACGCAAATGTAAATACAAAGATGAGATAAAAAAGGCGGGTTCCATCGGTTCCATTTCACCAGGGCTCAGTGAGACCGACTTGGATTTCGGCTCCGCATCCTACCTTCCATGCAAACCGGCCATTTCTAGCAAGTAATCCATAATCTTGGATTTGCCGGTTAAGTGATGACTGGTCTTAATTCTTACAGGTTTAGATGTGGCAAAAAACCAAAGAGATACAAGTTCAAGGTCATCTTCTGGCAAATGCTTCGCAGTTTTTTCAGCGTTCAGGCTGGAAAAGGTCTAATTCCTCCAGATGAATGGCACGTACAAAAGGCATTGAATCCTATAAAACGTCAGAAATTTATACGTATAGTAATTTTGTAAGCGAGAAATAGAAACGTTATATACTTAATACAATATTTTGTACCACGCGATAAAACGGTTTGGTCTGTTCTGAGATTGCATGGTGATGAACGTACCACTGGTTTCTTTCTTCCTCTGTCACTGTTTTTTTAAATGGTGTTAGTCAAGCTATCCTTACAGTTAGACCGTGAGCGGTCGTCTTTCCTCAGGAGCTACGCGCGACGATCGAAAAAGTAAAATTTTGCAAATAAACGGTGAAAAGAAGAAGAGGTTGGAGCGGAGAGAGGAAAAAAGACTGACTTGAAAGGACTTTCTTCCCCTCGGGTTCCACCTTCGTTCATCGCGCGTGCGTACAATCTTCCGCTCTTTTTCGTTTTAACGGTTGATATTCTGTTCATACTAAAGATCCACATGGGCTCAGGAGTGTGGTTACTCATAATAGCTCTTAAAGCTGTCCGTTCCAAATTGCCATTTTATGGTGGAGTGGAGACTTGACATTTTTAAAAAACACAAATTTGTACCACAAAATAGACATTATTGCTCCGAAGTTTGCTGATTCGTTTAGAGAAGTTGATAGGAGACATAAAACTGATTTTATGTATTTATTGACTTAAAGGGATATTCTATTATTTTTCGGCGTAACAATCTTACTCGAGATGTCAGGAGAGAACGTGAAATGCTTTATCTTGTAATGACAAGTAGTTTATTATATTTGTCATTGTCTTCCCCTGTACATCTAATTTGAGTTTGTTTGGCCAATAACCAAAAAAAAAGTTTGCTCTATTAATTTATGTTTCCATACCAAAAAGACTACATGTATTCGTTTTCTATGAGGTTTAAAGTAGTGAAAAGAATGGCGATCCTGAAGGGGCTTAGATCACTAAATTTCTTCTGTAATATTAAACGTAGTGCTTGTTGATCTTACCATGAATGACTAACACTTCAGACGACAAGAGAAGAAGAACCAAATTCACATCCGCGTGAATAATAATAATCATCTAAAAATACCTTTTGTAGTTTACCGGATGTAAGTTAGTATCGTTAGGGAGTTCACTGTTAAAATTGTTTTGTATTTTTTGGAAGAAATATATTTTCGGGTAGACTCGCTACTGCTTCATGCCATATTAGGGACTTTAAGATCCAAGGACGCGATGGGAGCGAAAACGTCGCTTAAAATGTGAATTTTCGTTCTTTCAGTTTTTGTCACGATTACTCCAGCTCACTTGGTTTGTTTGTCAAATGTACGCGAACTCTCCTTGAGTTGAATTCATAGGGAACAATATCGAGGTTTAGATTTCCTTGTCTCTTGATTCTCTTGTTTACGTCCTCCATAAAACGTAAAATTAGGCAATTTCACGTCGTAGTCGTGCAACATGATAAACGGTAAAGAAATGTATAAAAAATTGTTAATCCTTTTCTTTTTTTGAAGTTCTCGTTGCCGTTGCGTCGTAGGATCTCAAAGTTCCTATTATAAGGCGTACAACCATTTGCTTGCGATTATAATGGCAAGCTGATAACTCTTGTACAGAAAATTAAGATCTTGTATGCAATGAAATTTAATCAAACTTAACTGATTCATATTTATTATAAGCACTCATTACAGTTTTTCCGATACCCTTAACAAAATCTAACGGTCCTGTTATGATCTTACTTACTCGAGAAGCTTGGCGCCTGATTACATTAGTGGTGTGATTATCAAAGACAGGACAGGCAATGGGGGTCACGCGCGTGAAAGACTTCACCCGCACTCGCGTGAAACTCTCTGTCACGAGAGAAATAGTAAAGCGCCTTAATTTATGGCATTAATCATAACCATTACAATTTCCTCAAATTTGATTGGTGTATTAGCTGCTTTATTTTTCACTAATCATTGTGTAGGATTGTAATTGGACAGTTACATTAGCCAATCATATTAAGTGCACACAGCTAAATCCACCAATCACAGAAGTTATCACAGTAACCATAGTAACAAGCCCTTAGCCTACCAAACTGGGGATTTTCCAAAATGGACGAATTTGTAACATTGGACAGTATCTCCGCAAGTGTTATTTTCCCCAATTGTGGGCATTTGGTATATTCAAATGCTCTTCCACCGAAAAGGATGCATACATTTTCTCGGAAATTGTAACGATCGGACTCTCGCTTTGCGGTCGTCCGATTTTGTTAATAGGGACCTTCAGCAAGACGACGACGGCAGTGAAAACGCGGGTAAAAAAGTAAATTTGCGTTCTTTCAAACTTCATCGTGTCTATTTGGACCCATTCAATATGTCAAAGGCAGGCGACTTTTACTGGAGTTGAATTCTTAAGGATTTTATTCAGGTTCAAAAAGAGGAAGGAAAATTCGTCGTCGTATGTCCACGTTCCCCATAAAACGTCAAATTGGGAGGTTTCACGTCGTAGTCGTGCAGTGGACGTCTAAGATTTGTACTAAAAAGCGTGATGTACGTGCTGAGCTGTTGTTTTGATTATTAAACCCATTGTTTTCTTGAAGTCGTCGTTGTGGTCGTTGTCGATATTGCTTAAGCTCCCTAATCACTCGTATGATTACTGACCGAATTGAACTCCACTCAGTCCTATTACCATTATAAATCAACGGGAACCAACGGACCTCGACCTTGGTTGGTAGGGGGGGCCTTGATAATAGGGGTTTATTCAACTTGTCGAAATAATCACTACAAAGGGACTGTGTACAGGAGGACAGACTAAGGCTATTATTTTGATAAAATGAGCTTATTATTGGCTGCTAAATACAGCGTCCCTCTCGTGAACTTTTTATCCCCAAAATACCAGTCTTGTCTCTTGAGCTATTCTTTAGCTGTCAGAGTCTTTTTTCTTTGTTATTGGAAAACCTAACGTCACATTGTAATCTGACAAAACCTCCAAAATGATTCACTCCTATCCTTGCCTTTCGGGCCAAGGACATCTCACGAGGACCAAGGACTTGGAAACCGATTGCATCTCGAAATATTTGGGCCACCTTTAATTTTTCAGCCTGTGTTATCGAAAAATGACCAAAATCCGATGATACTTTGTTTTCCCTTTCATATAATCTTTTGATATCTTTAATCTTTATCATTTGATAGAGTTCCAAGTATAGACTGGAAATTTTGACCGAGAATACTTAGTTATAACTTCAGCTCATCTCTGATCAATAAATGTTGAACTACTATGACACAGTAGTCATTCGTGCAATGGTGAAAACAGGGAGTCTGCCCGCCGTGCGCTCGAAAGTGAGATGGGTAGGGAGGGGAACAAGGGTCACGAAAAATGAAACGCAAAGGCATGCATGGTAGTTGCATTTCACGTTTCTGCTTGTACATTCTTTGAATGACTACCGCTCTTGAATTCAAGTGCTTGGAAAACGTACGCTTTCCTGATAACCAGATCTGCTTGTTTTGTCAAAGCGGATATGTAGATATCAACAAACAAGTTGTAAATGATTATCACCCTGTCTACGAATACAGCCAAAGGGTGTGTCGTCTGGCCACCCCATGTCTTGTTTTTGGTGAAGGGTATCTATAAAGTAATTAAGAACAATCATACTTTGTTAAGGCTTAATGATCCGGCACCCGAGAGTCAATTATAGTGACCTGTGATAGTCTAACCGCTTTCGAGTTTGTGACCATTGAAATGAAACCTCGCCAGTAGCAGTATGAAGCTTTTTTTTTCACCGGCCCTGACTCCTATTCTTCTCTCTTGTGGTTTGCAAAGGCCTCTTTAGTGATTTAGTAGTAGTAACCTGCGATCAGGCGGTCTTTCTTCCCTTTTTCATTTTCTTTGTCCCCCTGCTGACTTTCGGGCTGCCCCCCCCCCCCAAAAAAGCAAAAGCAAAACGCCTGATTACAGGTTACCTCTGTAGCAGTTCTTTGGTCATGGCTTTACTTGTTTTCCACCCTCTAAATGAAGTTCACGGGATTTTTTTGTGCAACTTCCAGAGTTTGTTTTGCACAGTTTTTAAGAGTGAGTAAACCCCTTACGACAAAAAAAATTGTCCGTACATGTTTTGAAAGTAAGTTTTTTAGTCGTTAAATATTTGTAAAATTTTCTGTGGAATTCTAACACTATTTTCTCAAATATCGGCTAACGGGAAATTAAAATGAAAGGATTCCGGATAGACATCAATGACGTCAGTTTTAAAATATTTCACAACACTATCCTTGATCCACTGTCTGTACACTCAAGACTACCGAACTATTTACAAATTCAGTTAAAACTCGCTGGTGATGTGGTGGGAATCTTTTTTTTAGGTGGGGGGGCTGTAACGGCAAGGATTTCTATCTTATTTTATCAATTCTCTAGTGAAATAAAAAAAGAAAAAGAAATTATTCTGGTGGGTTAACCTCAGGTGGTGGCGTATTTCCGTAACTTGCAAAATTACAAAAATCAACAAATAGTTATTTCCGTAAAAATTGACAAAATATTGCAGTCTGTAACTCAAAAATGAAGATAATCATTTATCAGCCCTGGCTGAATTTTAAAGGCAGACGCTTGGCATGTGAAATACCGTTGTCAGTCAGTTGGACATTTCATTATATTCTGACAGAGACCCCGTTGACATCATTTGTGTTTAAAATAACATTGAATAATCCAGAGCAAATAACAAAAATCCCAAGTGAATTTATTCTGTTTTACACCAGCGTACGTGAGCCAAAATTGGCCATTTAGCAATCAAATATTTACTGTTACATAGGCACCAATTTTCAACCAGCAAATTGAAATTTTTGAAACGATACTTTTTGTATCACAGCGCGAATCACAACGAGCTGTGTTTGAATTGTTTGTTTCACTCTCAAAGTGCGAAATTAACAAGGAGCAAAAATGATCGACGGCGGCGAACTTGCTAATAGTTCCAATTGACTGATGATATTCTTGTCAAGAGCTTCGACGATTTTAATTTTTTACATGTCTTTCGAGAGTTTTTGAAATTTAGATGACAAAATGTTGGGGAATTCGTGTGTAGTTCCGGTTTTATAGAAAGCATAGTTATTGGTGTGTAACGCGAAGAGGCCTAAAAATTTAGGCCGCTTTTTCGAAATGATCTAATACAATAATTATTTCACGGAATTGATCCATTGGCTGTATCCTAGTAACACTGCTAACCGGGAAGGATGTGGAGAAATGATAATGACCATTCCGCAAGCAAACGCTCGAATATTTTGATAAAATACTGTGAAACACTAATATGAACTCGTGCATATTTTTATTGACATCAACTATCGCAGTGGGGTACATTGCTCATTTCTCAGCTCTGATTGGTTAAGAAACAAAGCCTAACAATAATTGTGAATTGATTGACAGTCCAGTGCTAGGGAACGACGCTGCCGAACAAGCTTGGAGGGGCAAACATGGCCGCGTTGAAACCTTATCAGAAGGCTTTACTGGAAAATAGAGACGTCCTCCTTCGAGATGTTAGAGCAAATGATGTTTGTCCGCTACTGTACGTGAGTGGCGTACTTACACAGAAAGAAATCGATGACATAAACATTGGTCGAACCGCCCAAGAGCGTACTGAAAGTTTACTAGACCTACTCCATTACAAGGGTCCGAAGGGATTTCAAGAGCTCTGCGTAGCTTTAGAAGATATTCATCCTCACTTGGCAGCAAAGTTACGGGCTAAGAATCCGCAAATTGAAGTTCCAGGTAAGCCATTGTCATGAATGTTTTGAGTGCGAAAGCGTTTAAAGACCTTCGTTCCGCCTTATCGAACATCTAGCTTTGCAAACTTTGGTACAAATATATTCCAAAAGGCGATTAAACTGTTTTTATTAAGTTTTATTCCCCGTTCTCTACACGGAAATTAGTTTTGTTTTTATGCAGGGTTTTGTGTAGATTCCGCTTTCTAATGTATGCAAAACAGCCTATCAAACCTGCTTTTATTGGTTTGAGGGATGACACCAGAATTAAACCGTTCAAGCTGACGCGTATGTTTACTTGGAACGAAATTCATGCTCTATCGCATACACTGAGTCTCACACATTACTCCTCACTGTTTTATTTTAGAAAGCAAACCTCGCGAAAGCTACCCAAGATATTCAAGCCCTCAAAGGGTTAGAGATTTTGAGCAACGAGAAAATAACAATAACGAATTCTACAGTGGTAAACGTGATCGCGAATATACGCCTGAAAGAAGCTATCCCCAAGAAGAACCACGGAGGGAAATGCGAGGCGACGGACAAGGAAGAGAGCGCTCTAGTTCATACGACAGAGGGCGAATGTACTCACCGTACGTTTCAGAAAAACGCGATGAACGTCGCCCCTATCCTGAAAACGACAATGACTATCGCAAGTCCGTTGGAGACGCCGAGGTGAGCGACTTAAACCAACCGTATCATTGTTTTGAACGGCCATCGTATTTAAAGCGTTGTAATATCACTGAATTTGACCGTCTTTTTATGTTGGATGAAAAAATCAAGAAGATAAATTTTTTTTATAGGAGATTTTTCAAGTAATCTCACGTTGGGTTGATTATGGAACCTGATACGGGATTTGTTGGGATGTTGTGTGGGGAATTGACAATGAAATATTTTCAACGCTTGGAATTCGGCGTATGCGCGCTTTTTGGCGTTTCGCTTACACCTGTGGTTGCTAACTTACTGTATGTGGGTTGAGAAGAGTTTATCATATCTAAAATTAGTGCCCTATAATTGTAAACCCTTTACATATTTCGTATTTCTATGAAGTTCTAATATAAATGACTATTTCAAATCATTGTTGTTGTCCGTATACGAAAGGTCAATACGAATTTACTACGAGATTCGATTGTCCGAAAGCTTTTAAGATCAGTAATCCTAAAGTTTGTGAGTTGAATGTTATAATACTAAGTGTTTCTCTGAACGGCTCTTTTCCAGAATCCGTTCTGTGAAAAAATAAATTGGATTGTTATTGTGAGCGGCATGAAGTCATTTGATTTCACTTAAAATTGCAGGCCTATTTTTCACGAAATTTAACAAGGTCTCTCAGGGAGTGTGTGGCTGGTCTACACGATGTAATGATTGATTAGGTTTGGAAAAGTAGCGAGGTATTTTTTTGATCGGAACTTGATTTCTAGAAAATTATTGAATTTTCCCTTGTCTTTAACTCCACCTTTAGCGGTTTTGGTTCACTTATTTTGTCGTTTATGGATGGGAATAACTGCTCAAGGTTTTTCCAATTTTTTAGCGTTAACGTGTATGACCAACTCACGGAAAGTGAGTGATAATTTCGGCACCCATCATGAGCTATTTTCCTCAATTTGATGCGATGATTTGAGTGCCGAATATCACTCATGGATCATTGATTTTGTTCGCGTTCATTTTTAAGTGAGACAGCTCAGAAGTTTTGAAAAGTCTTTGATCGATCATCTTGCTACTTAAAATGTTTTGGTTATCAGTTCACTGCATCTCGAAGCTTTGGTTTTCAAAGCAAATAAGAGAGAAAAGTTTCCTACGTGTTATCACTGCAATATGATCGTGCACATTCCGATATTTGCGTCTTTTCATTGTAATTTTGCTTTTTGAGTAAAAGCCTTTGTTTTAATGTGCTTCTTTTATCGATTTCGCTCTAAGGGCGGACACATTTTTCAGTTATTAAATATATTTGATAACAGTAACCACGATTTCCACGTCACTTGCTATATTACAATTTCAACATTAAAATTATATCATAAAATGCAGTGAAACGCACCCAAGCCGTTCAATTTTGCGTCAAGTTTACTTTGAGATCTGTCGAACGAAGTCAGTTGTTAGTTCTCTTGGGAATTTATCACCCTATTTGTAAACAATCTTGTAAACAATAAAAATTAAATTGCCCGAGCTTATGGTCGAAATGTACATCTTGCAGACTGAGATGATTTAATTTCTGTGACATTTTCATTAACTTTAATCTATTTATCAACATATTTTAACTCAGAATATTTACTCTGGAGATTAGATAGCATCTGCACCATTTTTTCCTGTGGTTTAACAAAACAAGGTGCACTATCTCTGTAATTCTTTCCAGCATAACTATTTCTTCATGTAACGAGATTCCTTCACAGGTAAATTGATAACAAAACTTTTTTCTTTTTGACAATTGCAATTAATGTCATATTTAGGAAACTTTGACACCTTTTCAGTTTGGTGGAATTATTCCAGATAACCTGTTGCTGCTATTTATTTTTAATGACTTTGCTTTTGGCAGAATTACCTCCAAGAATTAAGTTCTTAATGTTTGAGATTTTCAATTTTTACAAAAAGTAGATATTTCAGTGTTCTATTATAACAGTTTTACGAGAGCTTTCTCTCCTACCCTTGTTTATACTTAGTGGTGTAAAGATCGTGGCAAATTCTGTTGCAGTTTTGAACTTCCTGATAGAGCTCTCTTAAAGCATTTAATTCCTTGTACCTTTGCCACTTTGTCATTTAAGCCCTACCATGGCTCTGTTGTTTTTTTGTGAAGATCTGTTCTTCTTCATTTATACTTTCTAAAACACATTTTCTCAATGAACTGCCTTTCAAACTTAGTCCTCTGCAACTTTCATTTGCTGGAACCTTCCTTTTCTTTGGGTCACCAAGATCAGAACTGTCTACATTTTCATCAGGCTCAGTAATAATTGAGCAACAGTGTCTGGCTTACAATTCTCTGTGCATTGCCTAACACACCTGAACTAACTCTTTTGGTCCCTCCCCCCCGACCCCCCCAATGCCCTCAAGGTCTAATTCTACCCCTCAGACCAACATTATATGAAGAAAAGTCAATAACTTTTACGACAGTTACAGGGTCATATAAATGCATCTAATACAGATTCTAGTAGTTCTAAATGTTTTGTTTTGGTGACCAAATCCCGTAATCTATCATTCAACTGGTGACTAGAGTTTTTCATCACACCTTACTTTAAAACCTGGTGTATTTTATAAATAAATTTTTGAAAGTAATGGGCATCCAAACTTCCCCTGTTTTTTCAGAAACTTAGCTAATATTCTATGAAGAATACTTGTTGCTAGAAGCCATTTTGTGTTCTAAGATGTCAAACTTCTACAGTGTCAACTGCTTTTCTGGTTGCCTCTACATATTGGCTTTGACCTTCTCTTTGTTTCCCAAGCAAAAAAGCAGTTTATTTCCCACTAGATTGATGCCACTGCCCCCCTGGGACACCTGCAGGAACTTGCTGTCTAAAAAAGTGTGGGCAGTGTAAAAAGCATTATGCAGATGTATTTCGTACATCACACCGGAAATAATTTACCCTTAAAGCAAGTTACTTCTAATTTTCTTTTGCCGTTTTATAGATATCTATAAAAATGGGATTGAAAAATAAAATTTTAGCAGATAAAACTAAGTTAACATTGTGTTTGTGTTTTGCCAGACGAGTCTGTCTCAAAGTCAGGAAAATCACAGATAATGAAACTGAGTTTTATAAAGAGAATTATGAGAACAATTTGGTGGATATTAAAATGAGCTGTAGTTGTAAATGGATATAAACACATCTATATAAGAAGGATGCCTCGGTTTTTGGAGACTTGTTTATGTTTGATATAGTGTTTATACAAAAATAGAAATGGTACTTGTAGTTCTACCTTTGAATATTAAAAAATGTCAAAGTTACCTTCTGCTCAGCAACGATTAACAGGCAATTAGATACTGCAAGACAAAACAATTTTTAAAAGCTCTTAAGTGTTTTTCTTAAACAGCTTTTTATTTATTTTAGTTAATGGGTAAATTTTTCCTTCTCTAAATAGTCAAGGTTATTAAGTCTGGCACCCATCATGTCAATAGCAGTTTGTTAATGTACATGTTGTGGTCAAGTAATTTTTGTTTTGCTTTTGTTTTTGGGTATGGTAATGCTAATGAAGCTTAAAAAAAAGGAAAAATAAAAATTACCTGAGATAAAAAATTAACTATATGTATAACATGTACGTAGAGTTGTGCTTACATGGGAAAAACCGCTTGGTACATCGGCCGCACCAGAGTATACAGTACACTTTACACCAGTGGTATATTTTGCCACATTAGTAATAATAATTTCCTCTTTTTTATGCTTAAACAGCCTGGCGATCATCAGTACGTGTGGGAGAAAAAGACCATAGTTTTGGAGAAGGTTAGTAAAAGAACAGTGATGTGTTTAAAATCTATCTTGTATTCTTGATTTAAGTGATCTGTCAATTTAGAGTTATTGTTTTGATTCTTAATAATATGTACAGAAGTGTAGTTAAAATTATCCATGTAAGACACTTTTTGCTCATTCAATTAATCAATTTTGTTGTACTGTTAATTAGTTTTACAGCTGAGTTGTTAAATTACCATGTTTTCATTGGCAAATGTAGTTCTAAATACTTTAGTCTGCATATCTTAATATCTTATTTTTATTTTATTTCAATCTTTGTGGCACAGTGTTACATTTTAATATTTTATTTTTCAGGCAAATGTGAACCAAGGATTTGGAATTGCAGTGTCCGGTGGAAGAGATAACCCTCATTTTGGAAGTGGAGACACATCTATTGTGGTGTCTGATATTGTTCGTGGAAGCCCTTCTGATGGTCTTTTGAAGTAAGCATCAAAACTGGCCTTTTATGTCTCCCGCTTTAGATAAGTTTGTGTCTTTTGATGGGAACTGCAGAAATACAAATTTAAATGAAGATACAATCGTCGCAGTGGTACAGTGGAACCCCACCTTACGGTCACCTTGTTATTACAGCCAGTTTTTTTTGGCCCGGCAAAACAGCCATACATTTCCTGATAAAAAAAACCCATTAATACAGTGAACAGCCACTTTTTAAAATCCCAAATAGTAGAATCCCTTATAATTTCACTCATTCAAAATTTAGAAAATTAAAATGCCCGTGACTCGTCAATTTTATTGACTTGGTAATCTAAGCTTATTCTCACACTGTTTTTAGACTACAGTACACTTAAAATGCACTTGTGGCGATTTATAACTGAATTTTAAAGGAGTTTCATGCACTAAAGAAACATTTTAAGAAGTTTTTTTAATTATTGATGCATTATCCACATTCTGGTTGCTTATTAACAAGAACAGTATGATGAGTGCGATGTACGGTGTATACTGCCCTCAAGTCATGAAATTTGAGCCTACCCCAGCAATACAGCCACCCGGTTAATTCCACCAAATTTTTGTGGCCCAATGGTGACTGTAGTAACAGGATTCCACTGTAATTGCAATTTAAGCAGTATGAATGGCCAAAGATATTCCGTGTTAAAGGAGCCAATCTAAATGCACAAAAATTGCTATCTTCTAATTTGATGAATACTAATATTGATGTCATGATGATACCGAGACGTTGGCTTTTAACGTTAATATTCGCTTGCTTATGTTTTAAGAAATACTAATATTATTATAAATATTTTGCAGAGTTAATGACATTATACTTCAAGTGAATGATGTTAATGTAGAGAATGTAATGCATGGAGAAGCTGTTCAAGCTTTAAAAGACAGTGGCAATTCTGCTCGTCTTGTAAGTTCAATCAATGCGTTGATTTTTATTATACAGTTTAATGTCCAATAATTGCTGGTTTCCTTATGAGGTAATCAAAATTCAAACTACAGAATAATCAGTTCTTCTGAGTATTTATTTTTATGAAGTATTAGAACAGCTAAACACCTTTATTTATACAAGTTTTTGCTTTGCAAGGGTTCTTCATTATTTTTGTGATAGAGTATGCTTGAATGTTTGTCTGTTGGTTTCCAGTGGCCATGTTATTGCCCCAAGAAGGGACACCAGCATTTCTTCTCCATAAAAACTCTATAAATTTTTCATAAGACATTTCTCTGAGTATCTCACATATCAAACATCACACATACCTGAATGTTGGAGAAGTGGCTTACCTACCACTGCATCTTCTTTCATTTCCAAGATTCTGGACTTAATCTATTGAATGGTTGTTGATTTTTATTGATTTTTACCTTTAATGGCATGACAATGAAATCAAAACATAACAAACCTGCCAGATGTGTAACTTGGCAGAGTATTTTGAACTTTGGGAAAACAACACATGTAAGGCATGTGAAACAGGTTTTTCAAATGTTTGTCACAGGTTTTTACAGAGAATATTACAGTTGCTTTTTCGGACAAAATAGATAGTAAAAAGATTGAGATATAATGCCCGTCATATTTAAAGACTTTGTTGGAAAAAATATGCGGTTCTTTGTGAGTTTTTTTAGAAAATTATTTGTGAAAATGAGAGTTTCGTTTACAGATAGTAATGCTCCTTGCCCCTCTTGATTCTGTTATCAGTCCAATGGATTTAAAATTTTGTTGAATACATTCTCCAATATAACAATTTTGTTGATGTTTGATTCTAGGCAATAAAACGAAGGAAGTCTGTTTCGTCAATAAGTAATCCCCGGGAAGGCAAAGTTCCTCAGAATGTTACACTTATCAGAGAACAGCAAAATAAAGGTATGTATAGCGCAATATCATCAGTAAAATCCTGTGTTCTTTTGCTTTGTTTGTTTGTCTTTGTTTTTTGTTCTTCTAATCTTACCTCATGTGGAAAAAAAGAAATTGGTAATAAATTATAGCACAATGTTCAGCTTTGAAAAATTGCCTGTAAAAATTTCCTTTATTTGACTGAGAAAGGCAGGTCATTATTTTTGTCTCAAACCATTGAGAGGTTATTTGAGAAATGAAGGGTTCGAGGAATTGTGGTTTTATTTTACACTACTTTAATTTTGTAATGCTTTGATACATTTCTTTATGGGGTGTGATATCTAATTATTGTTGTGTCTCTTTATTTAGGTTATGGCTTTTCACTTGGTGGATCGTTATTTATTAAAGAAATTGATAAAAGTGGCATGGTTGCTAGGCAGGGTGAGCTCAAATCTGGAGACATTATTTTGAGGGTATGTTGGACTTTAAGTATCTTTTTTCTTCTTCACAGGTAGCCTGCGAGCAAGCTGTCCTCAGCGCTCTGGCGGCAGGGCAGGAAAAGGAAGGAGAACTTGCAACTAGGTCTCAGGAATTTGAATATCTGCATCAAAAAAGTCGATGCGAAATGCCGATTGGCGGAGATGACATTAGTAATGATGTCATTACCCTTGGCACTTGTTTTTCAATGTTTGTTTACATTCATGTTCGTTTCCGCTTTGTGCTGATTGGCGGAAATCTGACAGCTCAGTTGATGGGTAGCCACAGGGAATTTGAGGAGGAATTCAAATTCCAGAGACGTAGTTTCAAGCTCTCCTTCATTTTCCTGCCTTGCCACAAGAGTGTTGAGGAGAGCTTGCTCATTTTGCTTGCCCTGTAGGGCCATTTCTTCCTTGTCTTGATGAGTGATTTAGTTCAATGATGACTTACCTGGACCCTTGGCCATTGGGAGAATGGCTTGAGCTCAACAATACTTGCCGAGCAAGAAAAACTACTTCTCCTGAACAACTAGACAGTTGGCAGTTTAACGGCTTGCATTTTGGGCAAGCTGTAGATAGCATGTACTAGCCTGAAAGTTGTTCTGATTGTCTCTGTGATTTTGATAATTTGGGTTTCTTTTTGAAGATCAATGACAGGAAAGCAGAAGAGATGAGCCTACGAGAAGCCATTGATACTGTCCGTCGTTCAAACAGACTAGATCTGTTGGTGCTTAAAGATGACCACTTACCACCAAGCTACAGCACTCATTCTCTGCCAGCATCATTCAGGAATAAATCAAGGGACAGAGACTTGCCAAATGGGTATGGTGATGAGAGAGAGCCTGAACTTCCTTCCAGGTGTGTAGAAAAAAAAGATATTTCTGTTCAGTAAAGTTATGTCTAACAATTTGGATTTTCTGCTTTGAAATTTTTAATGCTGGGTAATCACATTTTTAGAAAAAGTGAACAGAAAAAAAGAATATGGAATCTTTTACAGTATTGACTTTGTCAACTCTTGTTCATGCTTTTAATGCCTGAAAGAATGCCAGAAAATTACTTCATGTTGTGTCACAACACCCAAACTAAAGCAAGAGTTATAACATGTGCTATATGAAGTACTTATAATGCCTTACCCCGCTATTCCATGGTAGCAAGTATGCATATTTTGGCATAATTTATGCAATAGTTATGCGCTCTCACCAAAAAAGGGTGAAAATTGCTGTGTGCAGGCATCTTGACTGCAAATACATTTGTATGGTAATGTTTCAGAAACTACACTGAAGAAGACTTACCAGAACGTCCTCCACCTCCCTCAGATGGCCTGCCATTTTCAGGTTGGTGTATTGCTGGGGAATTTTGTACGGCACTAGTGTTTTAACTTGCAATTTATAGTCAAGAGTACTGCCGAAACAAATATGTCACCTTGGCTCCCCTCATTCCCTTTGTTAGTGGGTTCAAAAAGAACCATTGAAAGTCTTCAGGTGTATCCTATAGCAGGAAGGTAACCAGATTGGACAGACATCAGTGGTGGATCCAGTTCTTCAGATAGGGGGGAAGGGGCAGTCATCCAGACGTTGAGATAAAGGGGGGGGGAGCCCGGTCTCAAAAAAATTTTTTTTTGGCCCATTGGGCCTCACTTTGGTCGAAAAATAAGGGGGGGTGGGCCCCCCAGGCCTCTCCCCTGGATCTGCCACTGGACATTATACCGAGATACCTCTTGTCATATGGCCGTATGGCTTCCCTCCTAAATCAAAGAAAAGAAAGAAAAAGTTCTGATTTGCATTGATTCATTCAAGCATTTGCTTTGGAGAGTCAGAACCTCTTCTAATGGAACAACTTACAATATTACCAGACTACAGTTGTTTTGTATTTGATCCTTTTTATAATGGGTTTCTTACTATAATTTTCGTTTGATTACTCAGACATGAGCTGGAAGAGGCCAGACACAGGAGAGAGAGTATCTGCTTTGGCAGACCGAGAAGAATTGTTCAGAGCAACTGAAAATTCACGACTAGAATCAGAACCTGATTTCCCCAAACCAGCAGAAGGTAGAGGTTGACAAATATGCAGTTATGTCTAATCCATTCAAATCTCGTGTAAGCGACCACCCGAAATGTGGAAATTAAGTGGTGGCTGCTAATGAGTAGCAAACTACGGGCTCTTCTGAGAAGAGGTCCTGACACATGTACCTTCTTGCTGGAAATTAATTGCATGGAGCGAAAAATAAACTTAAATTTAATTTATTTTTGATGGAAAATAGACCAATTTCTAAAGGGTTATCGCGTGGAACTGAAAAGCGAAAGGAGCAAAAAAAACAAAAATCTGAAAATTTGAGCGAATGTTTACATAATTTTTAAAAATCATTCTTACGCTCTGGGTATGCAAAATTGTTCAGATGACTCCACAGAGGTTACGGAGGGGAGTCACTTTGAGAAACTTGAACAAAACAGAAATTTTCAGGGTTACAAACACGTTTGGAGCCACTTTTTAAAGGTCAACCCCAGAAATTTTTTGACCCCCCCTAACACACACAGTTTTGTCCCTTGAAATAGACCAATTTTTTCAAATTTGGCGCCAAAAACAAATGCAATTTATGTTAATTGTTACAAAAAGTAACACACACAGTTTTGCAAACCTTTTTAATTAAATCATCAAAATTAAAGAATGATACTGCACGACAAAACAGGAAGAGGGTAAATTACGATCAAAGTTTACTCGATGACCGCCATCATGGATTTGAGCTTTCTAGGTCAGTGGACCCCCACAGCTACACCGTTTATCCATCACGATAGTTATTCATGCCAGGACCACGTGCTGTAAAGTCTGAAAATGGCTTTTTTCGTTGTGATACTTGACTCCAAATTTTCCAAAATGACTCCAAAATTTGTGAAGCGGAAGTCACAGTGACTCCACTCATCAATAAAATTTGCAATCCCTGAATTTCGATATATTAAAATTCATACTTGGCTCCAAGGCTTGGGGGAATACAACAAAAGAAATCATCTTGAGGCTCAAAAATGAATAATACATTTATTTTATTCTTCCAAGCCGTGGAGCAAAGTATGATTTTTAATATATCTGTATTGGTCTATTTCAAGTTAAGTATATGTGTCGTTCCATGTTTGAACGTTTTTCATATGCTATGAGTGACATTAAGCACACAGTGAACACAGAGACCATGTTTTGCTTTGAAACGTCACTTACAAGAGGTTAAAACAATGGAAAACTATAGAACCAGTGGTCGCAGCTGCTTATGAGAGGTGGTCGGTCACGCTCGAGGTTCTAGTTATAGGGTTTTGATTGGGAAAATTTTGGTGTTTTGGATAGGTGGTTGGTTATGGGAGGTGGTTGCACATGGCATTTCAACTGTTCTACTACTACATGAGAAATTTCTGCAATTTGATTCAACAGTGGTAATAATTTGAAATACCTAAATGTAAAAATTTTTATTTTATAAACAATTAATAGCATTATTTCATGATATTTGCATAAATCAGTGATATTTCAAAATTATTTTTTTTTCTGCTAAGAGAATATTATTGTGCTGATTTTGCTGACTGTTTTTATTTTGGGGTTATTATCTCTCATATTGTTCATAATTTTGTCCTTATAAGAAAATATTATTGTGCTGATTTTGCTGAATTTATTTTTCTATTAGTGACATACTCACCGGGTCGTCTAAGTTCTTGGGGCCGTGATTCACCAGATGACTCACGTGCAAGTTCTCCTCGCAGCAGCCGTGATATGGATTCAATGGATCGTAGAAGATACAGAGGGTATGTTTGTCATAAGTGCTTGTTGTCCTTGTCTATTAATACATGGATATAACATTTGAAGTTATTTCTTTAATATTTGACTTTGAAGAAATTGACAGGATTGAAATTACGTATCACCACTTAGTTTAAAATTTTTTTCTCTCTTCATTTTGCAGTGATGCACGTCTTGTATCCTTCCGTAAGAGTGGCAGCCTTGGGATTCAAGTATCTGGTGGCAATATGGCCGGTATTTTTGTGGCAGCTGTGAAGGAGGGTAGTCCAGCTTACAATTCTGGTTTAAGGAGGGGAGATCAGATTCTCATGGTGAGTAATCAAACTTCATCATTTGCTTCAAATACACACGGACTTATTTTTGTTGAATTTGAAGCTCAAGTTTTCACTGCATTTTTTAATAAAAACAATGTGGTTTTTCACTGGCTGAAGAACAAAAGAAGGTGAAAAAAAGTTTCTGACACATGGCTGGGAGTATGGGTGATTAAGAGTTCAGTTGTTTTTGTTGCCATGCACCATTGCCTGACCTTTTTTTCACCCTAGCATTGTTAATAAATCCTTTTCTCCTGGTTTTGGCCATTTTGTTTTATACTTCGATGCCAAACGATAGTTCACGCACAAAATCTTGTGCTGTTGAAAGGTTAGTTGGCTTGGCATGGCTCCAAGTTGTGTGTGAGAATTTATTTTCATCATTGTTTTGGAACCAGTTTGTTCTATTGCTTTTCTTTTCAGAAAGCAAAAATTTTTGGCTTTCAGTTTACTAGAATAGAGGTCCTGACCATGTGGAAATTGTGAGAACTTTTTCTTTTCAAATTCAGGCCAATGATATAGATTTTAAGGATATCACCAGGGAAGAAGCTGTCTTGATTCTGCTCTCTCTTGGAGATGAAGTCAACCTTTTGTGCAAGTATGGGAGAGAAAGTAAGCATTGCTAGCCATATTTTAATTCACCATCCTCAATATGGAGTTTATCCATAATTTAATATATAAGTGGACGTGTAGCCTATGGAATGTAACCTATTAATTAATTTGCCTTTCTGATAGCATTTGACAAAATCAGCACGGAATCTGGGGATTCATTTTTCATCAAGTAAGTTACAGTACTGTAGGTGTGTTCATGCTCGGAGAATATTAATGAGGAGCTGCAATAATATTAAAAAAATAAATTTTATGCATGCATTCACAGATGTATCTCACATCTAAAACTGTGTGGTAACCTTCATGGGAAGAGGCTGAAGGGGGTTGGCGGGGGGGGGGCTCCTTTTCTCTGATATGGCACTAAAATTGTGAAGAATTCTCAGTTAACACTGTCGTTTAGAGCCTTTATGCACCAACAGATACATGGGATCATTGTAACTTGCAAATGTCTCAGTTCTCTCTTTCTAAATTTTTTGGATCCATCCCGGCCTTTCTTTATAACGAAACCACTTCAAGGTCTGTGTGCTCATAGATTTAAGCTTTTTTCCAAACAGCTGCATCTTACTGCCCAGAAAACCATTTTTTTTTGAAAACCATTTTTTGTTGTTATTTTACATGTTATTATTGTTGTTGCTTTTTTTGCATAGCCAGACCAAACGGCCAACCAAGGCAGGCGGGAGTTGTAATGGACCTAAATTTTAGGCTTTTTTGGGCCCTATTTGTTAATTTAAGTGGAATTTGCTAATTAAGCTACAACGTTGACCTCGCCAATGGTTTTGATCAGTATTTGTTCATGGTAGCCCCTTGAGATCGATGATTAATTTTTTTAGTATATTGACTGAATTGCTGAATTCTTTGTAAATCATGATGCGTTAAAAATATCCGATGATGCTTTCAAAAGTCTTTAGATGTTAATTTAAATCAATTATTGTTAGTTTATTTACCATGATCATTACACATTGAGCATCTTAGGTCACCACAACATTTTCCTGGTATCCATACTTCAGCAATAGGGAGCTTGAGCAACAACTACAGTGACGGCTACGGAAATGTCACTTAAAAAATGAATTTGCACTGCGTCAAACTTTATGGCGCTTATTCTGTCTCAGTCAATTTTTCAAGTGTTGGCATTTTTTTTGGGAGTTGAATTCTAAAAGTTCGGGAAAGGAGAAAGAAAGTCGTTGTCTTCCATTCACGTCCTCCACAAAACGTGAAAGTGGGAGGTTTTATTTTGTAATTGTGCAGTGACAGCAAGGAAATGCTCGTGCAAAGTTGTTTTGCCGATCTAAACATATTACTTTTTTGCCATTCTTGTTGACGTCGCCATCGTTGTTGCCTAAACTCCCTAATATTTATTGAAAATTGATCTAATGAAAGTAATGTTGGTTTTTGAAGGGTTCATTTTGACTATGATAAGATGAAGCCTTCTGAGCTTTCCTTCGGTAAGGAGGATGTTTTCCATATCTGGGACACCATGCAAGATGGCGTGATTGGTTCTTGGCGAGCACAAGTGGTAACCAAAGCAGGCAACGAGGCAGAAGTGGGAATTATACCCAACAAGTCCAGGTTGATTCATTATTTTGGAATCTGTTATGTGTAGCCTTGTTTTGGTTTCTTTAATCTGTCAGAAATAATGGTGTAATAATCAGTGTCTTATCTTTAAGGATGTCAGTGTATGTGTTACAGGTCAAATTTGATTTCAGGTTATTTTTGATTTAACCTAGGTTATTTATAACGTACTGTTATATAGTCATGCAGTAAGCCATGTTACTGGGCCAGTATAAGTTGCTAGTGTTTCCGTTGTAAGTATAAGCAAGGCTTTAGGGAGGTTTGCTTCCTAAGAGTAAGGTAGCACATTTTTTGAGTCAAGACATTTGTGGTAAGCTGTATCTTTGCCCACCTAGACCAAGTATAGATGATATTTGTGAGATTTTACAATGGATTTTGCTTATCACAGGGCTGAACAATTATGCCAAGTTCAGCAAAAAATCGAAGAAAAGCCACCAAAGAGGGGAGAAAGCAACTACAACAGCCTGAAAAGAAGCTCGTCACGGGGAGGGACACTCAAGAAATACAAGTTTGTTTCATCTGATCATCTGGATGAGGACTCTTTTAGTAAGTAGACCAGCATCCATCAGAGAGTCATTTGTAATGTTAAATGTTGTGATGCAGCCTATTTAAAACTAACAAAAGCCACTACACTACTGGATTTTGTAATGTAATTACCTGCTACTTGACTTAGTAGTTATGAAAGAACCATTGTAAAGTATGTGGATGTTTTTTTTTTCAAGTGGGTGTGGGGAGCTCAGGTTGTGGAATCACCAAGAAACATTTTATGCATGTCTGATGTAGGGACGATAATTATATGTGTGCTCTGAAAAATACCAAAAACAATATCTTGCAAGGCTAGCTTGATACTAAGCTGATTCTGTGTTGTTTTATAACAGATCACTTAACGTTTTGAGGGGTTTGGTGGTAAAATCGTGTAATGTAATGTTTTAATTTTTTCAGTTTCTACCGCTAGAGAAAACAGGTTGCCAGCTTATGAAAGGGTGTCACGCAAGAAACGTAAGTAAAATGAAGAAAAGTTGATCTGACTAATTTTGAATGCTGCATGATACACTGCTTGCCTCCCAAATTTTGCATATTGGTAAGTTATCATTTTCAACTGCCATTGGGAATTTGCAGTCCTTCATGAAATTTCGGTGCAAACAGAGTGTATTATGGGAGATTTAAAAATAGAGAACAAATTAAAGGGATTACCCGTTAATGACCTAATAAATACGCCCAGTTCCAAATGAACGTCTCTTATCTAAGAAACGCCCCCTCTACAATGTTAAAATTGCATTAGACGCCCCTCTCTAACAAATGCTCCCTGTCTAATAGACGCCCCTTATGAGTCTGCCACTTACAGAAGTTGATCAAATTTTTTTTTTTTCGGAGCAAATCTAGTCTGCTACACAGCCGTTTTTAGTGTCGTCACGCAACGTTCCTCCAGTGGGGAGGAGCGTTGCGTGACGACACTAAAAATGGCTGTGTAGCAGACTAGAGCAAACCCGGTTGATGTCAAAACATTTTTTGCTCTAGATTTCATGGAATTAACAAGCGTATCTTTTGTTTTGTAGCTGGCTTTGTCCGACCAGTAGTCTTACTTGGACCAATAGCTGACATCACAAGGGACAAGCTGCTCCGAGAAATGCCTGAAACATTTGCCATTCCAAGTAAGAGCATTTTTATCTAGTGCCATCATGGTATCTTCTTCCACCTGGTAGTAGAGTGTGGATATCAGTAGAGCTGTCTACCTGATAAGATGCTTGCTAGCTTTGACTACCAATATTCATCTTAGTTTAACATTTGATGAATGTCTGTCGGAGAACTGGTGATTATCTCTGGCATTATTAATTTGGAAGAGCAAGTTCAATGTTGCCCAAGCTGAAAATGCCAAGTTTCTTTTTGGCCAAAAAAAAATTACTAGTGTACATGTTTATCTGACAAGTGTTACTGCTTGAGGCCTTTCCTGTTGTATAACTGTATACGCATTTGTTTCTTTAGAATGAAAACGTAATTTTCTTCTCTTGTAATTTCAGCTGCTTTTGGAGGAATGCAGCCTGTTGGCCGAAGTCCCATGAGGTCTTCACGGCGATCACTGAGCTACACTGCAATCAGATCTGTCGTTGAGAGTGTAAGTATATGACAAGCCACTATGTGACCCCTGTTTTTACTGACTAGCGAACAGAAATGTTGTAAGTATATCACAAGCCACTATATGTGACCCTTGTTGTAACTGGCTCACAAACAGAAATTTGATATTATTGGTGCGTTAATCATGTGACAAACTGTCATTGTGACTTGGGGTCTTGTGGCTAAGTTCTCAGCAGTTAAACCCTGTGCTTCCACGCCAAGATAACAGACTGCTAAATGCAGCGAAAATCATTCACGGTTAAATAAGCAACTTATGCAGTTGCGAAAAGAAAGCTTGAAAAAAATTCATGCTCTGCCAGGATTCAAACCCTAACCGGTGCTTTACCGGTGCAGTGCTCTAACGAACTGAGCTAGCAAGCCAGCTGGGAGCTCCTTTGAGTAGTTTTAGCTTGGATCAAGCTACATCTTCTGAGAAATGGCAGAAGACTTGAGTTTAGGGCTGTAACTAACTGTTGCCTTTTATATTCCTAGGGTAAACACTGCTTGTTAGATATCACTCCTGAGGAGGTGGAGAGACTTAACTATGCACAGCTTTACCCTATAGTCATCTTCTTGAGGCCCCCCAATAAACAGATGGTCAAGTAAGTTACAATTTACAAACAAAAACTCTTTAAATTTCATTCATCTCTGAGCACATACATAACCTTTATTTTAACTCGAATTTTAGAGTAGCTATACTATTATTGCTAATATCTTCGAGAAACAAATTAAGAACTCTAAAAACTGAAGAAAAAAATACACACGAAATAAGACAAAAATTAGCGAAAACTAATCAAACGTATTGAGACTTTGCACATGTCACTTAAAATCATTAAAAGTATGATGAAGTTTTAAGTGTTGAGTCTCTTAACCCTTTATACCCCAATATTTACATACAAATTCTCCAAACTGGTCTTCATTCATTTCTATAAAGAATGTGTTGTCAAGCATTTTCTCTCATTCTTATTTCTTGATTGTGTATTGATAAAGGAATTGAGGTTGGAGAAAATTTTAATGAAACAGGGTGCAAAGAAAATCATTTTTCTCTGCCATTTGGGCAAGCTGAAGCTATTATTTTATTAATTCATTTCAACTACCCCAAAACGTTTTGTTCTTTGATTATTCAAATTCCTATAAAACATACTTTGTCGGGGAGTTAAAAACAGGATGGTCACCCCGATAGCAAAATCCATAGCCCTGGGCTAATCGGAATTCATTTGATGCTGTTTGATGTCACCATGCTAGCCTGCCTTCATAGCAAGCTTTACCGCGCGAGTTCGTCAAGAAAGTTGGGACGAGAGCAAAAAGAGGGGATGAAGGGGGAGGGGAGAGCTGATTTGCGGGTTCGATGTAGACTCTAAGGGCTTATTTAAGTGGAGGGGGGGACTCCACTTCATCCCAGGTAGGTGAGTTAACTCGGTCAGGTGGGGTATCACGCCTGTCCATATAATCCCTCATTTTAATTTGATCACGTTTACATGATAGGAGTTGTGACCCGCCACATGTTACCTCACCTATTTGGGGTCCCCCACCTCTATGTAAACAGACTCTAAGACTATTTTTTGTAGGTTGTATGCAAAGAAGTAAATGGATGAATATTTTATCTTTTCGGTTTCCATTTTTCAGGGTAATGAGAAGCCAGCACGGCATCGACGAGTCTTCTAAGATGATCAAGAAACTTCACGATAACTCAGTCAAATTAGAGGAATTCTACAGCAACATGTTTACAGGTTGAAAAGTTGAAATGTTTCCTTTCTCTAGTTTTTTGTTCCAGCCCACTTGTTAAGGCCAGAACGTGAATAATTTTTTACTTGGTCAAAACTTTTGATGGGACGCTGTAAGATTAGTAGTCTCAATAAGGTACTGGGTATTTCAGATTTAAGGTAGAATGTTGTCAGCCCCATTCGAGAAAGCTTGCTCGCAGTCTTACAAGCTAATTTTCTTCTCGTCCCTGGATTGCTTTTTGTTATGTCATTTTTGTGAGAAGCAAAACGACAAGCAAAGAAAGAAAAAATTGTTGAATTATAATTTGTCGTTTTGTCCTTAGCGCTTTGATGGATTTTAAAGCCAGAAAGGGATTTTGCAAAGTTTTAGGCTGTGTTCACACGTGCGCCGGCGCGAAAACCATACTTGAAAGGGCTTCTGTTCAGACATGGGAACGGTGATTTCGGCGCGATTTCTGTAACGGAGCGAAGCTGTGCTGCGCCGATCTCTAAAGTGGAGCCTTACATATCGGATAGGTGTTCATATGATATCGGATGGCTTTTCCTGGCGGTGCGAAAATCTATCCGGTGAAGTGTGAACATAACTTTACATTTGACGTTGTTATTTCAGCTGTAATCCCGGCGGGCTCCATGGACAATTGGTACCCAAGGGTAATAGACGAAATTAAGAAACAACAGGAAGATCCAGTTTGGATGTCCGAAGACAAGGTAAGTCAAGAATTTCATATTTGTGGAGCGCGAATAATGTTTGTACAATGTTTGTCCGACATTTTGCAGAGTTTGAACAAAACAGGGAAAGACAGTGTGGTTCATGACAGCTTGGTTTGTGATGAAATTTTCGTAAGACACACATCTCATGCACAAAGTGAAAGCTGATGTAAACCAAAATACATGGTAAAAATATCACCCTCCCTCCCACACAAATAAAAATTAAGAGATAGCAAAGGAAGAGGAAAGTCTGCTGAACAGGAACTGAACAGTAATTCGACACTAGACTTGTAAATCTTAGGATCGGGAACTCAGGATTGACTGGGACTAGATAAGAGAGGGGCATTCACGGCCCCATTTTTCGCGAAAGCAGTCAAAATTATTCCACGTTCTCTAGGGTAAAAAGGCACATAGCCTGCAAAATGTTTTTACAAGAGCTTTTAAGTACATTCATCGCTGTTGTTACTGTAGTTCAATTTTAATTGAAAATTGTTGTCTTAGGGCGTTAGGCGCCATATTTATTTCCAGCATTTTTTCCCTCCTTAGTTTGACCAAGAGGAACAAGCCGACATTGAATTCAGAATGCCCAGTCGCTACTCGACTTCTTATGATTATGACTCTACGTTAGACTCACCAACTGTCCGGTCCTCCATCTCCAATCAACCTATGGATGATGATCACATAATTGTTGCTGATTATGCAAGCGATGTAAGTAGAGTGTATGTTGAAGGAGCCATGTCACGATTTTTAAGTATTACTTTAGCACCCTAAAATCCCATTGGGATAAAAGAAAATTGTGAATTAATGGTTCAGTTTTACTTAAAATTACTCTACTTCTAGACCTTAATAAATATACATTTGAAAGACTTTGGCTTTCGAAGGCCAGAATGAAAATGGATTGCAATTTGAAAAAATTGAGCCTACTTTTTCAAGTTAAAGCCTGCATGGTCAAGAAATCGTCAAGAAGCGATGATGCTTTGTTTTCCCTCTGGTAAAATTATTTGGTTTCTTTCCTTCACAGTTCCGAATGTGGAAAAGGTAGCTGAGAATACTCAGTTTTAATTTCATCTCAGCTTTGACCAAAAACATAGTGTGGAACTTACCATTTGCTACTTTAAAAACCAGGTGACTGGAGCCAAAATGTGTCCCGCAGTTGTTTTTGGGATAGTTACTGGGGACACGTTGGACAGCTATTGGCCAATTTTTTGCTTGGCCCCGGCGACAGTCCCAGAATTCTTTGCGAAACATAACTCGCCCCAGTGTCTTGGTGATTTTCATTCTAAGTACAACAGCATCTACCATGTCTTACCTGACGGACCCTGTGTTTGTTTTCAACCTGCAGTTTTACTTTAACTGAACACATACTGTTTCTCGTAGGTTCATTCAGAGCCCCCTCGAGAGGGTCGTGTCCGTGCCGCGTATTCGGAGCCCCAGCTCAGATATGATGGACCTGACCGTTATGAGGAAGAATATCTTCCCAGGGCTCGTTATGACGATGATGATTACCGTGATGGCAGGCAGGGCTTCAATGAGGATACCTTGGACAGACAGAGGCCTGGGTACAAGCTGCCCGGTGTTAAGTAAGTAGAATAGGCCATACGCCACTTGCACATCCCCCATAATGCCCCCCCCCCCCCAAAAAAAAAAAAATTGCATAACCTTTGTTTGTCATTTCTCCTGGGTATTGCAGCCGTCCCAAGAGAAATTGAAAACAATGCTTATGCAGAATTTGAGGGGAGTGGTGCATTATGGGAGATGTGCAAGTGGCGTATTTCCAAATTGCAAAACTCTCACTTTCAAAACGGGGCTAAGTGTAAAAGACTTTCCTGTGAAAATGAGTTTTATTTGCTCGAGAATAAAAAAACAAATTCATATCAATAGCTTCGCCCTTAGCCTTGCTTGAATGGCCTGTTTATAGTCAAGCACCAAGTTAATTGAAAATGACAAACAGTTGCTTTTCGCGCTGTTTTTGGTTTACCTGTCGTTTAGCCATATTTTCTCATGTACTGAGGCAAATAAAAATTTTCGCAGATTACTTTCTGAAAACAGTAGTTTTAGGCTATCGTTGCTCGACTGCGACATGAAACTTCCCAATTTCACGCGCCCGCTTTATAGAGTAGGTGAACACAACGCAAAAAAATTTCCTTTTTTTTTTCCTAAACTTAGATACGGCCCTTTCGGATTGATGATGTTGAAATGTTTGTTTCCAGGTTGTTGCCATCCCGCGAAGACCCTGTCGTGTTGAGAAAAGAACTGAAGAAGACTCGAATGCCCGATGGCTTTGATCGCTCCGATGCCGATGCCGAAGAGCTGCGGATGAAGCGCGAAAGTCTTCGTAAAGTCGAAACTGATTCCGACCTTCTAAGAGAGTACGACGAACGCGTGGGAGTCCCTGTTTCTAAACTGTGGGCAATTGATAACGAATCGACCCAGCGTCGTGAACAGATCGATCGCGTTCGAGAACCACCGGTGGAGTTCGAATACAAGAAAAGAGAACCAGAGATGGACCTAGAAAAGCGCTTAGAGGATCTGGAATCTGCTTTAATTCCGCAACGCAGACGCTCTGTGGAGGAAAGAAAACCGCGTCCCGTGTCCGAATCTTACGACAGAAGGCCTCGCAACGTTGTTGTTGACTCTTCTAACCCAGACAGACAGGAGACCGTGGCGCATTCGAGCTACTACCCAACTCGTTCTTTCCCCACGCGTTTGGAACGTGAGAAACCTGCAGAACCCGAAATTCGGGCGAATTTTTCCGATTCTCGAGTGCAAAGCGCTCCTCAACGAGAGTTCCCTGTGAGTTCTGGAACTGGAAGTCTGCCTCGTGAACCGAGGTATAGAGCCGAAGTCACGATTCCCTCTAAAAGAGAGCCCAAGTTTGAGGCCGTGCGCCCCGATCGACCTCGTTCCTCGTATTCAGCTTACGCTCCAAAGCCTTTCAATTCAATCAATTCTGACAGGCCGTCTTCAGGAGACAGACAGTCACGTGATCCGCGTACAAACAGACCTAGGGACCCTCCTCGACCAGGAGAGCCAGTGACGTATAATTTTCGTTTGTCCGGATCTCCGAGACTTTCCCGACCAGAGCGCGAACCTGAGCCAAGACCCACGACTTACAGGACTGAGTATAAACAGAAGATAACAGATATGGATCAAAATGTTGTCACCAGGTGAGAAGAGAATGGATGTTGTTTATTTTTGCGCTTGAGGGGTTAAGTTACTGAAATTACTGCAGTCTGTGTACAAATTAAGTGTACTGTTAAAAGACTAAGCTCCTGAGTCTTGTTTCAAGTGCATGAAAAGTGCAACAAAGCAAAGTGTTGTTATCGCTCTTCAGTTGATTGTAGAAAATCATTTACATTTCCCCAGGTTTCTGTGATTTGGTTACGTCTGCGTCCTGCTTCCCTGACGCATAAAAATCTTAAATTGAGGTAAAATAATTCATTGCATGCGTCCTGTAGGATGCAAAGATCGATCGATCGATCAATTTGTTTTTGTAGAAATATCCTGTTCGTGTAATTCCTGTGGCAGTCATTAGACAGTTGTTTAACGGAGCACATTTCTTTTAGCCTTTTTTGTGCTTTAAAACAGAAGGACTATATTTTAATTTCAGTATACTGTAGTAAAGAGTTTTGGAATCTGTCTTCAGATTAACTGTCTTGTTACATAAAGCCCCGAGCATTCAATTTCGGATTCGTTGTTTTTTGAACTGGGACTCACTGGTTCTAGACTGAAACTCATGATTTTTCACGAAGTGGGTTCCAGGACTCACCATAACTATTTGTAACAAAATCACTGAGGTTTAAATCATTTGTGGTTCTCCCTTGTTTTTTTCGACCAAAACTGCAAAGGAGGTCGAAAGTGTTGGGACGTGATATTAGCAAAACTGGTCACCACCCCCCTCCCTCCTTCCTCTCACACCTAACAATGTTGAAATTTCGAGGAAGATTGGTGTAAAGAAGTTCCTTTTTTGGGTCGTTTGCCTTATTTCTCCAATGACTTTCTGTTCAGGTAACCCGAAACCAGCAATTTTCTCGGGAAACTAGCCGTTTGGGTACTTGGCGCCTAGTCAGATTTCTGCCCTTGTTCGTGATTAGCAAATCCACTCAATTGTTTTTTGTATTTCTTTCAGTGATTTTGAATCCCTTGATGAAGACACACAGGTAGTAGCCACCGCCCGGGGCAAATTTACCTCCCAGGGGGGAGTCCTATCTTCCCCGGAGTCCGGAGTCAGTATCGTTATACCAGAAGGAGCCATCCCCGATGGTGTGGAACAGGAGATCTATTTTAAAGTCTGTAAAGACAACAACTTTATGCCTCCGTTGGATTCGGATCGAGGTACAGTTGTAAGCCCTCGACTTAAATAGTTGTCTTTTGTTTTGTTTTGTTTTGTTTTTTTGTTTTTCTCATTTGAAGCTGGTAAAACGACTTAAGCGCTTAATTCTTGTACGCCAGTTATTATTAGGGGCATTGGAGCAATTTCATTCTGTTTCCTTTCTGTTTGACCCTGGCCAAGTAGGTTTGCGAGTGAAACAACAAAAAAAATGTAACCGGAACACATAGCATGACTAAATTTGGCTGAAATGTCAAAATACTGTCAGGAAATAGTTTAATTTCCTTTGGGTTAATAAACCTTGCGTCAACATTTTCGAAATTTGCTCCAATAGAGTGAATGGGCGGGAGGGACGGGATTTTCGCTGACAAATTTTAGTTCCTCCTTTTCACTTTTTCAATTCGACCCCTGGCCTCCCACCTAGTCGTTCAAAAGAACTGCAACAGACTGCAATCAAGAAAGCTTGTGTGTGTGAGTTGAAGTTTTGCGACATGGAATGTTATCGAATGTATCCATTCTTTCCAAATGTTTGTTATCAATGCCTTGCCTCTTGCGAGCGTATGTCATATTGGGATTCCGAGTCATGCTCATCGATTATTGGGCGGTGTATAAAGAACGCTTTCTTGTTACTGTGATAAAAAAAAATGCTAACAAGAATTGTGGCACCCTTCACTTAAGCCAGTGTTTATTTTGACTGCATTCTTCCTGCTCAGCCATTCATGCTGGAACTTTCTCCGGTCGGATTACCAACCAAACCTCATTTATGACAACTAGAATGTCATGGTCAACTGAATTGTCAGACTTTTCTTGTGCGTATTTACGCGACTTACCGTTTACTGAGTGGCTTTGCATGATAGACGAATTTTTCACCTTTTAAGTTATGTTTGTTTGCTCTAGGAGAAACCCTCTTGAGTCCGCTAGTTATGTGTGGTCCTCATGGTACACAGTTTCTTAAGCCTGTTGAGCTACGCTTGCCTCACTGTGCCTCCATGACTCCTGATGGCTGGTCTTTTGCTCTGAAGTCCAGTGACACACCCACAGGTAAGTGCAATACTCCTCTTGATCAGCGTCTAGTTTCTCTATACATTAAAGACCTTTAGATTTTAAAACGAGGACCACTACGACACGAGATTTTGTCCATACTAAGTAGTGCGCACGCGTGAGCTAGCGTCATTTTGGCGGGAAAACGTGATAACCGTCGTCATTCTACTGCGAGTTTTAGCGAAAATAGTGAGCTTACACGACAGGACGACAGAAAGATGAGGACAGCAAAACGTTTGTGTGTGACAAACGTGACAGGGCTAATACTTGCATATTTTGTCGTGGTCTTCATTTTGCATTACGGTGTTCTTTGCTTTTAACATATTGATCTGTTTAAAGGAAGGTTAAGTTTGGTGGATGATTTTTCGAAACAAAATTACTGTCACGCTTGTCACACCAGGTTTGCCGTCCTCTTGTGTAAGTTCACTGATGTCGTAGTGACGGAAACAAGTTATCAGTTTTTAGAAGTTTTATCATTTTGCCATCGGGAGAGGGCTTAACCTCGTTTAATGAAACCACATACTGTTAAAAAAAAGATTGAATGAAGACTTAAGGGTGTGTCCTTTTTCGAGAGTACACAAAAAAAACTTTCATTCCTCGCTTGTGCATCTTTATTTATTTATTTATTCATTTATATATTTATTCATTTATTTATTTATTTATTTATTTATTTATTTATTTATTTATACATTTTGCCACAGAGAATAAATATTACAGAAAGAAAAAGAAAAAATACAATTACAGGGCAGGAAGAGCTACAAAAATAGTTCAAAATTAAATGTAATTTAAGTTACTTGACCTTTTTAATAGACAGAGTGGCGCGGAAGCCCAATAGAAGCTAAACAGCTTGTAGTGTCCTAGTATTGTCCTTTCCAATCTCCCTCGCGTCGCTCCGGTATTTCTCGCGTTCTGCTTTATGCATGCGCCTGTTACACAGGCTAATGTCCCCACACTTCATCTGAAATCAATTGATTCCGTCCTACAGGTCAGCCCTCAGAGTGGAAAAATGTAGCACTGCAGGGGCGTGACTCGCGTGGAGATCAGTGCCAAGTGGACTCTAATTCGGTCTCAGTCCTCGTCGATCATTTCTCTGCTTTTAGCTTGGTTGGTAGAGCTCGTCCCCATACTCGTGGCCAGGCTACCAAGCGCATGCTGGCGGCTGTGTTTGCCTCTCCTCCCAGAGTCAACGATGACTGGGCTTTAAATGTTATTTTACTGGATGATACAGAGGCAGCATTTAAGGTTTGTATAGCAGGCGCCTTCAGCGTGTTCGACGCCCAGGTTCGATTCTTGCTCTGACAGCCAGCTTGGTTTTTGTTTCTCGATGCCCGGCCCGTGATTAATTCTCTGAGTTTACCAAGTTTATCAAAAGAAAAATGTCGTCACTAGTTTTGAGTACTTAAGTGTTTCGCTCAGTTTTTCGAAAGTTAAAATCACCTTGACACCTGATAAATGTACTGTCCTAAAAGTTAGAACTACTTCCTTTGGTTCTTATGAATACGAGGCATAGAAAAGACACTGCTCGCAACTTTTCAAGAATGTTCTTACTCCAAGATTTAACTTGCTTACGGTTTAGAAGTTGAAAAAAGATGCGCATATTTGATGCACTGTATTTTTGCGAAATGACACTTGCGTTAGACTGGTCCGTAAAGTCATCTTCTTGTCAGCTTTAACCGTGAGGGCGAGAAAGAGAAACAGAAAATTCAACGTGCCAAGGAGACCTTATTTTAATTACTTTCTCATTTTAATAACCATGACTTTCTCTGTAATTTTTTTTTGCAGGATGTTTGTTATTCCGAGTCAGAGTTAGGGCGCTTCCCTTTTTCGGCTTTCAAACCAGTTTTAGTTCACGGAGATTTGGGGGATATCAGAGTGCAGCTCAGAGATCTCAATAACAACTGGGTGGCTCGGTCCAGCTGCAAGAAGGTAAATTGATTTTTGGTTTGATTTCTGCCGCTCTCTCGGTCCTTCCTGAGAAGAGACGTCTGAATTCGGGGATTGGTGCGGCTCATTTTCTGAACAGCAGCTGCTGATCGAGCCTAGTAAATATTCAGCCTTTGTTGTAGTGAACGTAAGTTGCTTTTCGCTTTTCCTACACATCTCAGCCTCTTGGTTTAGGCGTTTGTACCACCCTTTTATTCAAGTATCCAAAGTTAGTGAATCATAATTTCTTGATTTAATTGACCAACGTAATTGACCAATCAGACCAATAACCAGAGTATAACACCATCAACTGACATGATACAACTCACTTTGACTCTAAAGATGACTACTGCACAGGTTGTTGAAACGTCAGTCACTGTCAACAACAACAGTCCTATTCAGGACTACGTTCACCCGGACGATCAAACTCAACCTACTTTGAAATGACTCCTGGGTTCAAACCTTTCACAGTATAACTAACGCGTTTTTGTTTTCCTTCAGTTTATCGAATTTCACGACTCTTGGGCCGCATACAGGCATCCCCCATGCGTAGAATTCTTGATCCGGGACAGGAACTTCAGCCCAAGCACCAGTGTTTGTGTTGTGGATGTGTTCCAAGAGGGACATGACGGAGAAACCGCGGCTGTTAGCGTGTCTACCAGGCCGAGAAAGGTAGGGCAGCATTCTGCACTGTCAGGGTACTAGCGGACTATTAAGACTGTTAGGAGGAGGCAGAGTGGCCGAGTGGTTTGAGCGCTGGACTTGCAATTCGGAGGCCCCGAGTTCAAGACCCGCTCTAACCGCTAGCTGGATTTGTTCACCGGTAGTCCCGAGTTCAAATCCTCGTCCACGCTTGTAAACAGTAGCCAGCTGGTTTGCCTTCGGCCAGTTGGGATTCATAACCCTCTTGAGTGTGATTTAGATTATTTGTTTCAGGCATTTGCTCGGCCCCACTAACATTAGTGCTACAAATACTGCCGAGGGTAAATAACGGAATTATTTATCTATATTTTATCTTAAAAAGTAACCTTTAAGGATCCAAAGTTTTGCGATATTGTCAATGTGATGTATCGGAGTTTAAACTCCGTCATATTTTTCCTCGGGATTAGCAGATATAAAAAAAACTGTCGTAACTCTTGTGTTGCTCATTCAAACGCGCGGGTCGGGAGCCGATTGTAAGACTAAGAACAAGCTCTTAAACGTTTCGGTTACCAGCAGCTTTCCGGTAAATGCGCATGCTTTCCCCACCGCCCTCCCCCCGAGAAAACGAGTGGAAATCGAACCTTCTTTGCTCCTTACGAGAAGAGAGTTAAAGCCACGGTAAAATGGGCAAAATTGCTGCAGAATGTGTTGTAAAGCGATTTTGAGCGGTTTACCAACAACATTTATCACTTAACATCGCCCTTTTTCTAGAAAAATAATCAAAGAGCGTTGAAACCTGTCTTGCGGCAACCTGCAGCAACCTGATTTGTTGCAAGACAGGTTTGATTCGTGGGCGGTAAAACGAGCAACGTCGCTGTTCAACCCGTTTTGCAGCAGGGTTGAAAAACAAGTTGGACGTTTTTGTTGCCCGTTTTAACTTTCTTTTTCAGTGAAAAGTTTAAGTGAAAATTGAGTATGTTTGCCTCTGCTTTCAGATTGGAGGTCAAAAGGTCCAGTACCTCATTTGAGATCCTGATCTGACAGATCACAAGATTTTTCTACCACCGTCAGCACAAACAGAGTTGGCATCGCCTTGAGTGTCACAAAAGGATATTTTTTATATAAAGTGCAAGAAATAATAACGCTTAATAAGATGCAGATGCAAAACGTGCTTGTTTAACCAACCGAGTTAATCTTGTAGCTCTTTGCATTTTGGTGGGCTTTAACAACGTAACTTCAAAGGAGTATACTATGATTTTAGGCTAAAAGAAGCGTTCTTAATTTGTTATTAAAGCAAGATGGCGTAAATTCACCTTGCTAGAAGCAAAGCCCTTACAGATAAACTAGGCTCTTCACAACCTCTCTATTTTCCAACACAAGCTGGAGGATCCGCGACAAATAGCCAGCGAAATTACTACTGGGGGTAGTGGTAGAGTGTGTTTGTCCCGCCCCTCCGCCATCCCTCGGGGTCCACACTGATACACTCGTTCGTTTCGCGCTTTATCGAATAATACCAGAAAGTAGAGGGCAGTGAATTGTCTAAAGTACCTTAGCAGACTATAATGAGCCAATTTGAAGATTAAAAATGTATGCTTGAAATTACCCTGTTAGTTTCCCTTTTTAAGTGTACATGATTTATTTGAAATTCTTAATCACATACCTTATATTCCTTTCAATGCCGTGATAGGGGGGATCATGTATTTTTAGACACAAGTCGTAGAATTTTAATAAAGTACGAAACGATTAATAATGTTATGATTTGCTTTTGTCATTAGTCCAATTCGTAATAAATTCAAAGTATATTCATATCTGGTTTGCACTAAGAAATAAAGTCACCTTCAAGGACAAAAACTTCGTTTGGGACAACGATCGTTTTTCTCATTCTTTTTTTAAAAATTTTAAAACCTGTAATGCGTAAAATTCCCTTGTGAAGTGTTTTTCACGTTTTCTACCTAGGACGAGAGTATAATGTACTGGGAATATTTTTTAAATAACCAATAAATGGTATGAATAATTTGAAGTAGTCAGTTAGGACAACTCTGCTTGGATGGTGTAAAAGCAGATCCGGTTTGTTTCAAACCAAACACCACGCTGTATCAATAAAGTTACGTACACTTTTAAATGTGTTGTTTGTTTGGTATCGGCCTTCACAAACCTAATCCTGGTCACCGGCTGTGAAGCGTGAAGCGTCGATGGACCTCGACAGACGCGAGTTGCATAAAAGTGCGGTCTCGTTCTGTCCCCCAACCCCCCCGCCTTTCCCTTATCCCGAAAAAAATACAAATTACAAATTGTAAGTGGTTTTCGATCGTTCAAACTCAAGCAACTAAGATACAAGCATATCTTCAGTTAAATTATCTTCTCACAAACACAAGCAATTTTCAGGCAGCTTTTGGCGTCGTGGAAATAACTTTAGCAACTTGAAGCTACAAGGCTTGGCAAGGAACATACTTTTATTGCGTACGTAATGGCAGAAAAGGAACCCTTTTGGTCCAAGCCGGGGGAAGGACGTGTTTGCGCTTTAAGTTTGGTCTGTAAGACTCGAAGTTCAATATTTTTGAAGGTGCAGCAAGCAATACGCGTTCTTTTGGCGCGAAGCCGACGTGGAGCACGAGACACGCGTGACGGATGCTCCCATCGCGCTTGTCTCGCGCTTCGCGCTAGCTTGGCCTTGACTTCGCCTGTCTGAAAAACGCGAAACTCTTGGCTTGAAGTGATGTTTATAGGGGAGCAGAAAGATCTAGAAAGGTTTGAAGAAGGAACCCGAACTACATTTGTTTTGTGAGGTGTTGACAGCTGTCGTGGATGAAGCACTGAACTTTTTTTATTATTATTATAAAGGCTCGTTATTCAGGATCAAGAGATTACCACCATGTATGTCTGGGAACTGTAAAGAGACAGAAAGAACAATCTTTAAAGAAACACAAATTCTAAACTAGCCGAACACTGGATCAAATTTAGTTTTTCTCTTTTTCCTTACCTTGGAATGATGATGTAGTTTGTCAAGTTAATTAAGACTACGATTGACGTAAGCAAAAACTTCGAATTGCTTTTCATTCCTTCTATAGCGACAAAGGAATATTTCAATTTGTCAGGAGATTTGTTGACTTTCGTCACTGTTGCTAAAGTAGTCAAAAAAACACATGTGTTATATGAATTCTGACAAAGACCTTTTATGCCATCAGAAAAAGTAAATTACTCATTTTTTGACGAAACTTAATTATTTCTAATTTAAGAAGCCTCGCGCGAAAGATTTTGTCTTTTGTGAATGCAACTATTCGTGTAAATATCGCTCTGTCATCAAGTTCATTAACGCGGAATATTTGGGCGGAGAGCTCGGAGGGGACTGGGTCGGGCTTGGCTCGTTTGGCAGACAGGGAGTACCCGAGTCTCGTAATATCTTCTTCAGTTTACAGCGTTTCATTCCTGCATTTCTTCCCCGGAAAAGCAAGTTATCGATCCTTTGCAAAGGAAACGTAGTTTTCTTCACTTATTGAAGTTATCTTGGGTTGCAGAAGCTATTTATCCGTAAACAGAGCGACAACAACATTAGTTTCTCGGGATCGCTTTAGCCGCCATGTCTTGGGTAAAGGAGAAGAAAGCCCCAGTAAATCTTGATGAGTTTGAAGACATTGATGAGGATGCTTTAGTTGAAGCTCTTTCTCCAGAAGAATTAGCAGATCTAAATGCGGCCATTGATCCCGAGGTAAGAGTCATGATCGAGGTTATCTTGTTTTGGGAATGATTTGACATCGATCTACTGTCAGAGCCTATCCGTGTTACACCAAACATCCAACGAATATTTAAGTTAATGACAATTGTTTTCTATCGTATTCGTTGTTGTACAGTGAATCGCACAGTTATACTTCTATGTAGGGTATTTTATTTGTGCCTACAGGTCTGTGAATCCAGGTCATTCTTTGTCCTCGATCGCTCCTGTGATTCGTGCTGAGCGATTCTTCCATAATTTTTCATAAGCTCACCAGCTCAAGCTGAATTACTGCTGCACTAGTATTTCAAATTACCTATCATACTACTTAATCGCAAAATCTCCTTACTTTTCAAGAGTTTTTCTCTTTAATGTGTGAAATTCAGCTCGAAAACTCACTCAGCACTGCTAAGGAATCTTTTTTGTATCAAGTTGTTGTGATATTTTGCTGGTTGGTTTTATTTGTTTTGCATATGCCTTTTCGAAGAGGAAACACAGCAATTTTTGGCTGTAAAACAACTGGAACTGGAAATGACATTTACAAAAGACTGTCATTCCATAAAGAAGAATTTGAGTGACCACTGGTTATGACCATAAATTCCAACATGTTTGTTTCTCACTGATTTTCTATCGTCTGAGCTCTGTCAAATACGTATACATCAAGAACAACCTCATTTTGTTTCATTGTATGCTTATCTGGTGTTTAAGCAGAGATAAAATCACCTAAGATAATGCATTCAACAAATGAGGATTTGTTATTGATTCAGAACATTACAGCAATACGCCAGTTTGCAAGGCCTAGATGTAGCTGAGAAAATGCTGTACAGGCTCATTGATTAGACCAGGTAGATGTAGATTAAGACTGCCATGCATCTTCAAAATGACTCTTAAGCCTCTATTCCAAAATATCTGATGTTGGGAGGCTGGGATTCCCCCTGAAATTTGAAAAAATTTATATATATAGTTAGGAGTCTGGTCATTAATTAATTCCCTTGAGTCTAAGCTTGATGGAACCTATAACCAGATGTAGAGAGCTATACTTCACATCTCTTGGAGACAACATCCAACCAAACTGCAGCTTCATGGACCCATCCTTGACATTTCTACAATCTTACGTGAACGAAGAATGCACTTTGCAGGTCACTGCTGGTGAGCAAAACAAGAACTCGCAGGCGATCTTTGCTGTGGTCACCTAACTATGGTAAAAGGAGGGTTGGTCACCCTACAATCAACTACATCGACCAACTCTGTAGAGACACAGAATGCCTTCCAAACGACCTCCCTGCTTTGTTGCAGGACCGAGATGGATGGCTTCATAGGCTCATGAATGCCTGAGCTAGCTTACATGTAGGCTCGAATCCTGTAACCTTTTACTGATTTAAGGGACAACTAAAAGATATTCACTGACATTTCAAATCAAAGTATCTCTACCAGCACTGTTTAAGCTCAAAATTGATTAATACCATACATGTAACTTTAAGTTGGAAAACAAATGGCAGACAAGACACAATATTCCAGACTGAATTTCTTCAGCTCATAATTAGTAAGGTAACCTGCAACTATTGAAGCATTTTCCAAACAGAGTCCAGCATGTTTTAACACATTTTGTTGAAGTTTATTGTATTAAATTATTTATGTGCCCCAAAACTCTAATCAACAATGGTTGATTTCTGACAATAATCCGATTAAGTTTGTCAAAGTTTAGCAAACATATCATGTTACGGTATGATATAAAAGCAAAAATTAATTTCTGAAGTACAGTCATAATAATTGCTGCACATATACACACAATAATTATTAGCTTATATTTTCCTCGTGTCAAACTAACCTTGAGATTTGTGCCATATTTTCAAGTCTCTTAATAGTCTAAGAATAAAAGTGTTAAATGAATAAAAAAAATACCAGTAATTTCTGTGCAATAGCTAGTTTGACAATATTTTTCTGTTGTTCAAATGGTAAAGGTTATTTGTAGAACTTCTGTGATTGTCCTTTGAAAGAGAAATATGTAAATATATTATAATTTTCAATTTCAGAATGCTCTGCTTCCAGTCAGTGAACGTCAAGCAAATCAAACAGACAAGCAAAATACGGGTCCTTTTAACAGACAACATTTGCTAGATCACTTGGAGGAACAGGCTAAGAATGAGAAGGAACGTGAAGATTATGTGCCTTACAAGAAAGAAAAACGAGGAAAGGTATGGCGGCCTAAGGACCAGCCCAGCCGAAAGGATCCTGAACCCATGTTACCTGATGACCTGAGTGAGGTGTTGGATAATGCCACGGAAGAGGAGATGATGGAACTTGCAGGTAGTATACCATTTTCTAATCTTGTTGGTGATTGTTCCAATGGCCATTTGATATAATTTAACAGTTGTTTTACACAAATGAACCTTTCAGCAATTCTTGGAGTACATGGAATGCTGACCCAAAACCAGAGTCACTGGGCAGAAAAGACGGATGCTGGAAAAGCACTCAGGGGTAGTGGCTTAAAGAAGTACAAACCTGGTGTGTAGATATTAAATTTAACTTACGAGAAACAAGATTTGTTTTATATGTAGAATTAGGTATATATAATACAATTAGAATGCCTTGCACTAATTTTATTCTAAGGTTCTTGCTTTTCTGGCTTTGTGTATTGGACTGTAAAAATGTAAAACACTCTCACTCAAATAGCTTTACTCTTTTCACATAAAGTGGAATGATCATGTGTCTCCTGTGCTTTTGAAAGTACTAAAATTCTTGATCTAAGCAGGAATACAGGCCTTGTTTAGATCAAGAGTACTTGCCTGGCAAGAAAATCTAGTTGTATTGGATCACTAGACGGGACTTTTTTCGAGCGTTGTGATTAATCTTTTTATTGACTTTCCAGGTGTTGTGAAAGCAGCAAAGGTTAAAAAGCCAGATCTGACAGCAGTAAATGAGTTGAATCTCAACAAAGCTATGGATCAACTGAAGAGCAATGATCCTAAACTCAAAAATTTAAACCTAAACAACCATCAAGAAGTTACAGTAGGAGTGCTTGAAGATGTAGCAAAAGCACTAAAAAGTAACACCAATCTTAAACATCTTCAACTGGCAAATACACGGATGACAGACAAGACAGCCAAGGTGCTTGAATATTACTTTTTACTTACAAATTCTATCTGGTAACTTTGATTCACACCAGTAGCGGCCATTTTTTACATAAAACTGGGTTAATTTTGGCAAATTTAGTTTAGCATCCGAATCCACAGGCTTAAAGATATAAGCTACGTCATCAAAAAATTTAATAGGCCAGTTGCACTAAGAGGTCACGTGACCAATGCTTCCTTTAAACGATGAGGTGGAATCTTGCTGATGCCAAAAATTGACAGAGCAGTAAAAATGCATTTAAGGGAGATATTTTATGGCACTTTGATTTTTCAACAAAGCAGTATGATTTGTATTGGCCGCCATGTGGGAGGGCATACTCTTGCCCTCCAACATGGCGGCCAAAACTACTTTTTGCTTCTATCTTGTTAAACGTTTGATAGTTACGCTCAGATGTGCTGTAAACGTTACCACATCATCTTTTCAACATCTTCCTTGAGCTTTAAGTGCAAAATTTGTGTTCTGAAAGATGTAATTCCTAATTTTAAAAATCACATTTTGGTCACGTGACCAGCTACGAACTTACTCATTTTAAGAAAATGGTTCGGGTTTGACAAACCAAATCACCATTATTTTGCTTAAGATATGACCCACTAATCGTTTTTCGAAGGCAAAATCATATAACTTTCATTTTCATAAAAACGATGTCACATGACCTCTTAGTGCAAATTTATGTATATAAACTGTGATACAACAACAAGTTTGATACAATATTTGTGGTTGTATCAAAGCATTAAAATCAGTTTGCACTGAACCATTTAACTCTCAAGACATCATTGCTGTCTCTTTTGTACTGGTTCAAACTTAGTAGTTTGAGCTGTATGATAAGAATAAGCTTTTAAGTATGAAAGCTTTGCAGTGTACTGTGTGACAAGACATCAAAACCATTGACAGCACTCATGTGATATTGTTTTCTCCTTTATATTTTCCCAAAAATCCAATCCGATTTGTTTTGCTTTGTTTGTTTGGTTTTTTTTACTGTAAAATATTGAAGATTTTTTTTCTGCCCTAAATTATCTAGTTGTTTGCTGATGCTGTAAATAAAAACAAAACCCTAGAGAGCATTAACTTGGAATCCAATTTTCTAACTGGTGAAGGAATAATGGTATGTATATCACTATGTCTGATTATGGTATAGTCATTCATAGGCATCAAGTGTTTGACATCTTGGTGATCAGTGCAAATCTGAAATTTTTTTCTCCTGGATCCTAACACGTTATGATATGATGCTAAATTCGCACTTGCCCGTGGGTAGCAAAGGTACTGGAGCTTTTACTGGGCTCAACTGATTGACATTAGCATAACTCTATCCACTACCCTAACATACTACACCTGATGATTCTAGTCTGAAAAGATCTGGGATATTTCAAAAAGTTGGGGTTAAAGGTTTTTTTCATAGTGGAAAGTCATTCACTCAAGTCTTTCAAATATTTAGAAACAAATAATCCAAACAGAGCATAACAGGATTAACCCCGGCAGGAGGTAAACAGTTGGCTATTAACAAACGTGGCCGAGGATTTGAACTTGGGACGATCGAGAACAAATCCAGTCAGTAGCCAGAGCAGGACTCGAACCCAGGAGTGCCAAATTGCCAGTGTAATGCACTGGTCACTTGGCCCTGCTGGTTCAATTTTTTCTTTGACTCAAATTACCCTACTGGCAAGCAGCAAGGATCTGAAGGCTGTATTTGCAGGCTAAAATTCTATAATCCTTTGTTTTTGGGTTTGAAATTGAATGTTGATGAGTTTGGAACAGAGGAAAATAAAACTTGAGTGAAGGATAAAATTGAACTGCAACATATGTATATTGAATTTTATCTCTCTTGCAACGCCCAACAACCACTCTCCTCCCATTCCCACTTTTAGACCACTCCTCAGTTAAGAAATAATAATTCTTTCTTAACTAAGGAGTGGTCTAATAATTATTATTTATTAAAGTTTTCGTGCTTTATTGCAACACCTTGACTGTAGTTTTTTTGTGTACCAGGCAATCATGAATGTCCTAGAAACCAATACCAACTTAAAGGCTGTACGGCTTACCAACCAGGTGGGTAATGATGATTGTTTGACACTATATTCTTATTTAACCTACAGCTTTTAGCTGCAATTTCCAAGTGCTTTTTTGGAAACTCTTGGACAAAACTGCTGAAATCCAACAGAAATCATGATCAATTTTGTCGCAGCACAAAAAAGCTGGACTCTCACTAATCTGGACTCTCTCCAGCGATTGACATCCTGATTTAATTACTAGCTGCTGGAATCTCATTTCTATGCTGAAAACAATGTGCCGGAATTTTTGTTTTCTCTTTGGAAGGGATGTAACTTTTAGTCTTATTTTTTTCCCTTTGTTACCTATCCAGTAGCATTTCTATGCTCTAACTTAGTTTGTTAGCTGGGTCATGACTTCCATACCTCAACTTTTTGATGAAATAAGGGAAAGGAATATTCTTTAATGCAAACAATATCAATATTATTTGGTTTACATGTTATGTACCACATGTATGAATGCAAAATCATTTTCACCCAGTTAAATAATATTGAACTATGCTAGCAACAGATCTTTAGTACTGCATTGCCATTCAGGTTTTTTGGCATGTTTTTAGAGCATAGCATAATCATGGCAATGGTATAGAGCGAGACACATTAAGTGCACAACTTCATGGAAAATAAATGTTTCTATCCAAAAGTAAGCAATCAAAGTGACTGGCAAGACTAGAGTTTGATTTACCAAGTCTGCAATCAGGCTGGATATTGTACATTGACCGGCAGTTATTTTCAGTCCTGGAATAAAACCGTTTTATTGTTATTTGCAGAGTGCCATCATAGGTAGCCAGGTAGAACAGAAAATTGTCAATTCTCTGGAAAAGAACAAAACTCTTTTGAGTTTTGGAATGAGCTTTGACACCCAGGGACCTAGAATCCGAGCTGCAGAACTGATGGTGCGAAACAATGATGCAAGTAAGTTATAATACCTTCATGAGTGTCTTTACCCAGGGATGTCCGTAAGAGCTAAGGGCCCATTTTTTTCGAAAGATGGTCAAGTTTAACCCAGGATTAAGCCAAATTTCAAGCAAGAACGTGTAACTCGAGCTTACAAAATACTGTTGTGCCTTTCGGGGAAAAGAAGTGATAGCACAAAATGTTCCTCTAAACAATGCACAGGAGGGTAAATACAAAAAGTGGAAGAAAATTTTAATCCTGGATTAGCGCTAATCGGCCTTTCAGGAACCGGGCCCAGGGTTTTCAGTAGCATTCAGAAGTACTAGATGCAGAGGTTCAGCTGGCAGACTTGCAGTATTTGTGTCACAGGCGTGAATGTTGATTGCTGGAGGCGCAAACTTCTAGGGGGGTTGGGGGCATGCTCCCCTGAGAAGTTTTTAAAATTATTGGACTCTCTAATATGCAATTTCCTGCATTCCCTGGACTGAAATTGGTTAACCGGGAAGGTCTTTTAAAGGCTTTTAAAAGCTCACAAAAAAGGAAATATTTGATTTGGCAATATTATAATATTATTATCAGTTTGGGGTTGTTGCAGTTTTGAGTTAATTCCAAAACAAATTCCAATCATAAGGAGTGTATGAATCCCGGATGACAGATGGTTTTCAGATAGTAATTTAAATGTCCAGTCGATTTGTTACATTGACTTATCAGAAAAATCAGCTTACTGAAGCTCTATCGGTGAAAATATTGGTGATGCTTTTGGGGCGATCTCTAGAGAGAAATGCTTTCCACACTTTAAAAAATAATTGTTTTGTGTGTGAACCACATAACATTACATTTCAAACAACCAGATGTTGGGTCCTGTGTCTGGCCTGAAACAAAACCCCTGAGAGCTGGATGCGGGCTTATTTCACCAGCTGAAAAAGAGCTGACCACCAGCTCAAATTGCTCTGAAAAAAAAAGACATGGAATAATTTTGAAGGTGCAGTTGAGTAAAATAGCCAGCTTGACTGACAAAAAAGCCTGCTCAGCTTTTCCTTAATTACATTCCTCTACACCTTTGAATGAGAGTGGGTAGTCAGGAATGTTGAGATCATTATTGTGCAAAAAATCCACTAGCCATAAATCTGGCGAAGATTTTCATGGTGGTTTTTGCTATCGAGTTAGTGAATTCTATTCTTAACTTACCCGACGGGCAATTGAGTTTTTTGGGGAATTCAAATTACAAAAGACTTGTAATCAACCCTGCTCCACAAATTTTTTTAGGCGTGTTGAAATGACTTTCAGGCTTACTGAAGTACATGCTAGCTACAACTTGCCTGAGTGGCAAGCTGTAAACTAGACTTTCTCTGCAACCTGCTTACATGCCCTATGAACGCCTGTTATGCTGATTCACAAGATGTACAGTTCAATGTCCACTATGTTTCCTCTATCATTTAATTTAATTTTGAGCAAAGGGTATTCTTTCTGATTCTTTCTCCCGTACAAATCCTTATGTTTTAAATGTTACGCAACTGTACTGACAGTCATATTTTGAGCTTGGACCACTTGTGAAATGTAAAGCTGTTTACTGTGACAAGGTGCACCCACTATTTGGATTACACTCAATATCAGTTCAAGTAGCACCACTGCATTTGAAATCCTGTGAATTCTTTTTAAACCTACTTTTTTATTTTTGGATGCTCCAAGGTGACTGCCCCTAATTCAAAATAGCAGTAAAAAGGTTATTTAATTTTATCCCAAGTTTAGTGATGAGTTACTTTTGACTAAGTGCACCCAGAAGTGAAAGTGTTGATTTTTTTTGTTGCAGAACGACTGGAACGAGTTGAGAATGGTGATGTTGATGATGAAGATGAGGAAGAAGAAGATGATGAGTAACTGAAATAAGCTATCGCGGTTCTTTTTTTGTTTGAAAATGGCAAAGAAAGGTTGGTTTCTCTTTAGGAATTAATAAAACCTTTCACAGTTAAGCACAAACTCTGCTTTGTCAAATGTGACGGTGCTTAGACTTTGCCGTTCTCGTCCTCATGTGATAATCTATAATGTACACTGTATCGGAAATCATATCAGGGGAGAGGCTTTGAGAGAACATACTTAGTAATAGTTAGTAATTTTGTCCTTGGTAGATATAACAACAGTTGAATTTGTTTTATTGCTAATGTAACAGATTTTTCACCTTCTTCGCTTTAAAATCCTAGCTTTTGCTTTGCAAACCAATTTTGTAACACAAGCTGAATTCACTTAAATTCACAAATCCGTACAACAGTCCTTGTTTGTGGAAGGAGAACAGCAAGCTGTCGTTTTAAACAACTTAAGGCAATCAATATATTTTTTACCTGTGTAAGTTAGAAGATAGCTTGCACTTTCTTCATAAATTTGTGCAAATACTCCAGGGTTCATCTTAGTTAAAGCACAATGGAACCTCTCTTTATAGACATCTCTAATATCAGCTATTTCGACCAAGGCACTTGTCAAAAGTCTACCTGGTCTTGTTTTCAAACCAAAAATATTTAAAGCTTAGTGGATAAAAAACCATTTAGTCAATCATCGTACACAGCTTATTTTTCCCTTGCTTGCTGTAAAATTCAATTTTCATAATCACTACGTTTTGTGTGTCTTGTTTTGTCAAAAATCGCCTTTTTCCCTATCTGTTATGATAGCATATAAATTTTCTGGGACAGAAGTTGCAATAAGAAACCTCCGAGTGATTTTATTGTGACAATTAAATGTGGTCTTAAGCGAAGCTGGTGACTGGAAACATTGAAATGAAGGTTTCATTATGACTTGAATGTTCTTGTTTTACGTCCAGAAATGACTTGAAAAAAGAATGTATTAATCTTATCGTGTTTGTATCCTGCAAGCCAGTTCGCTGTGGAAATAAATCCTGAAAACTAAGAAATAGCGGTTGGAAGATTTGGCTGTTTGTTGATTTTTCTTCCAGGTAAAATATTGCTGATAGCATAAATACTGCAGCTACACAGCTCAGGAAATAAATACATGTGGAGCACATTGTTTGTCACCCTTTAACCTTCTCCACCCTCCCCCTCCCCCTTAGGCTCGATTACCAGCCGCTGCTCGGAAAATGAGCCCGTGCTCCAGAGAGCGGCGGAAATAGAGCCTTCCTTCCCCCCCTCCCCCGCAAAAAAAATAAATACTAAGGACGCGAGGTGTAAAATTCTCGTCCCCAGGGCATGTCTTTATCCGGTATCGCGTTCACCAAAGCCGAGGTGCTCCTGGGGGTGAGAAAGGGGTTGCCCATAAATTTCCCTTGCAAATCAGTAAAATGATATCTTTCGCTTATAACAGTGAAAATGGCGTAAACGTTTTTTGAAAAAATATTTTATTGAGAAATCTCTTTTATTTTTGCAAAAAAAAACTGCGTTTTCACCAAAGACAGTTCTGCTATGACAAAGTTCATTAAAACCTGTCATTCGTTCTTCCTGTCACGAAGCTTTGTTATTTTCAAGCCTAGAGTCGTTGTTTGTATGTTTACTCTTTTCTTACCCTTTCAAGCGGTTTTCTGGATTTTTAAAGAAAGAAGGGGCGAGAAGACTCGTGGAATTGGACTTAAGACTAATGAATGTTCGCTCGGGAAGAGTTTCTTGAATAAGCACAGTTAAAAAAAATTTGAAGTGATTCGTCGGTTAATTTCTAGCTCCTTGGAAGTGGATGCAAAGCAAAACAAAAAAAAACCTGAAGGGTAGTTCCTGTCGGTATTTGAATGGCTTCCTCACGTGTTTAGCCTCACATGTGTCAGGTGCGCACGGTCAGTCGTCGCCCTCGTCCTGGAGCAAATCTGATTCGTACTTCTCCCTAAGCTTTGTAAGCTGAATAGCAATCTGAGTGTGCGTTCCCTCAGCCGACGCTTTCGAACCCAAGCAAGACTGATATTGCTCTGTTGTGAGGGCGGGATCGCACTTCTTTTCGTGAAAATGATGGAACAAATCTCTGTCGGGCGCGCGGATGATTCTGAAAAAGAGCAGAAAAACAGAATACAGGACTTAATGAACATTTGTCCCGTATCTTGCTTAAAAAACTTAAACGTTGAAGTTTTGAAACTAGAGCTTAGTGGTTTTATCGAGCGTGTTGATAAGTTATTTGACCACCGTATATAAAGAGATTCAAAAGCTATTTTTTTTGGAGTAATATCCCTTCGCTCTGACGAAACGCGATGCTATTTTTGTTTTGTTTTGTTTTTTTCGTTTGTAACATTACCTAATACTGGGTTGAAGAAGGTACTTGTGGTATAGTCCCGAATCTTCGGACCCCCATCCTTCAATGTTCAAATCAAAGCCACCAACTTGAAGATAATCTGATCGGTATTGGCACGTCATTCCAAATCCGTATATTCGCCAAAAACCGTGAAGGCGTCCTGAAGAGAGAAACATAAAGACATATAAACAAGCGATACTTGTGCATGCTCCCTTTGTCCACCGAGTTGTTACAGTAGGAATCAAATTAGGATGTTTCACTTCTGGGTTTATTTGACATTTTTATACTTCCTCAGTTGGGAGAGCGCATGCTGAGCGAGAGGCCGTAGGTTCAAACCCAGGCCGAACCAACACTCAGGGTCTTTAAATAACTGAGGAGAAAGTGCTGCCTTTGTAATAACATCTGCAAACACTAACGTATGGGGGCATCATTACTCATTCCTTCATTACTTGTAAACTGCACGTTAAGCAGTCTGATAAAGTTCCCCAACCAGTGTTGTAAATTATCCCTGAAAAGCCCTGAGGGGAGTGGATAATATGAATTTACATATTTACAGGCTCAATTTTCGTTTGGGTTTGTAAATAATTTTCCGGCGGGCAAGACGAAACGAAAAGAGAGCACAGATTACAGCGATAAAGGGAGAGGGCATGATAGCAGGCTACGACGAGGGAACCTTCTCTGTGAAAGCGCGTGAGAAAACCATGGAAACAGTTGATTGACGTCCACGAAAACTCAGGTCAGGTTTCGACAAACAGAAAGAACCCTTCTAGTGCGGTGTTAGTGGTAACCGCTGTAAAGCTAACTCTGGTTTGTTAAAGAAAACTGATACTCAAACTATCTCTTTTACCTTGATCAATAAATATGAACTCTCACGTTGAAAATTTTATCATCGACCAACAGCTCTCCTACAGTTTAACGACAATCGACAGAATTCAGCCGACAGAATTTTTGGGGAGTTGTTCTTCAATTCTGTCGACTAAACGATATCACATCATCATTCTAGATATCAATATCATCACATTATCAGCACCATCTATGGATGCTATGGTCGGAAAACCCGCGTATCTGCCCTAGGATCGTCTAGGAGAATTCACAAAGATCCTCGATTGAATATTGCGTTCGCTAAAAGCTCTCTTATAGTTGTAAACCTCTGATCAAAAATCCAGAATCCCACATTGTAGTTTGACCTGGATTGACTGTGAAATTGAAACATATACATATACTAGCTTAACATCTGAATGAACAGTACCCCACAGAGGAATCTAACCTGCCTTATTTTTGCCATAAAACCGAAAAACCAGATGCTAAAAAACAGAAAAACCGGAAACCGCAAAGGACAACAAAAGCGAAAAACTGCGAAAAACTTAAGGTTTTCAGAGCAAAAACCGAAAAACTGACCTAAAAAAAGGCCAAAACCAAAAATCCCAAAGCCCCCCTCAAGAACCTGAAATCCAGAATTCATGACTGTCTTGTATTCCCTTACAAAGAGTACAATCTTAGACAGAAAAAATGAAACAGCCAACCCCTATCCCCCCAAATCCAAGATGCAGCCGCGCGAAGGGCAAAAACGGGCAATTTTCCCATCTTTGATTTGGGGGGAGGGGAGGTCTAGGTTTTCTATTTATTTTGTCCATAATTGTAGTTGTTATAGTATGGGTGTGGCCAAGGCTACATTGGAGAACGGTTCAAACTTACCGATTTTCAACTGTTCTGCAGGAGGGGGAATATTACCATCTTCGTACACATTCTTTGGATTATATAAGCTAAACACCATCGGGTAATAGACCTTCTTTTTTGGCTCCGTATACATGCGACACCGCCGGAGAAATTCAGGCCGGATGGTTATGTCCACATCGCAAAAGAACAACAAAACATTGCTGGGCTTACTGCTCCAATACAGAACTCCGTCGTGTAAAGCCCTACCACGAGAAAAAGGCTTATCTCGCATTATGAGTTGATATTTTTTAAAACCGTACGTCGCCTCGAGGTCTTTTAGAGTAGATTTTACTTTCTTGAAGTCTGAAGCGCCGTACAACACTACCGTAAGGAAAACATGCTTGTCGCGTTTTATGCACACCTCCACGAATGTGTCTATAAACTGCTGAAATCTCTCGAGTCTGCCAGACAATGGCAGAATCAGGTTGATAAGTTCCTTGGGATTCCTGCTATCATTTGGGATTGCAACTGGCTGAAGACGTCCCAGCGGACGAATGAGACGTATTGATATGTATTTATTTGATTTCGAGTCTTTGAAGTAGAGTTCATAATCAATTCCCGCGTTAATGTCGATTCTGTAAACTCCATCCACGACATTGTCGCGACTTACACGATAGGACGTGTTTGTGTTTATAAAGTTAATCGCGATGTCCTGAGCTTCTATGAAATGTTTCTTGCTTGACTTTACTCTCCCCTTTTTTTGTCCGCCGTGAAAAATGTAATCCTTTGGTCTCACGAGCGACGCGTACTCAAAAACGTGCGCTTTGGCGAAACTTTGAAACGGAACGCGTTCCGACACTTGAATATCGCGCACACTCGCTAGGAATTTGCTGTTCGAGCTTGATTGATCTTTCACGAGTTCTGAGTTTTGATCACTTCTTCCGCTGTTTTCTGCCAGAGCTTTGCTTTCCACTTCAGTCAATAGTTCGGCGTTTTGAATCTTTAAGTGTCCAACCTCCTTTTTAAATTTCTCCGCCTGTGATTTCTCTTTTTGTAATTGAGCAGTTAACCGCTGGATCAGCTCGTCCTTTTGATTCATGTGCGATTTTAATCTCTTGACTTCTTTCTTTAAGAGAAAACTTGGCCGTTCCATGTCGACCTCCCGTTTCTTCATTCGCTCTTCAGATTCTCTTCTTGCCACTTCGTCTTTTTTCGCCAACGGTTCCACATGGTTTAATCTAATTGCTTCATCCGGCCGTGTTTCTTGCCGTTTTACCAGCTTTTCGCTATGGCTATAAATCTGGTAAATTAAAATTACTGTAAGAACCAGTAGCGAATACAACGCCAGTCTTTGAAGTCGAACAGAAAACATCATCATTGTTACAAAACGTAGTCATCTTCGTTTCAAAAATCCCATATTGCTGCTTCCTTCCTAGGGTTGTTAAAGCTTCCTTGAAATAAATTCTACCAGCTAGCAAGAAGATACAGCGAAACACGAACAGGTCCTTCTGGCCGGTACCTGTATTCTAGTCGATAAAGATCTCCTATGACGCTTTCTTAAATTATTACATGCATAATATCTGTATTTTCTTGTTAGAAGAAACTATTTTAATTCTGCTTCTCGGAGTAAAAATATCTCTAAGCAAAAATAATCCGACGCATACTCAACCCCCATTATTTTTAGTTTCAGTCACCCATACTATTTCCACCTCCGAAGTGTTTGTAAAAAAGTTTTAACTGAAACTGAAGTTCGGATAAGTCAAATAACGTCTCGGGGGAAACGCTATATAAAAAGGTTATCTTGGAAACGTATCAGGAGAGGTTTGTGATATTTTTCTGTAGTTAAGAATGGATTGCTTTCAATATTCTGCAATACTATGTCCGCGGAGCACGGTTTAGCCTAAATGTTGCATTTTTTATCAGTTTGCAAATGAAACTAATTTTTTTATCAGTTTGCAAATGAAACTAATAAAAAGTAATTACACTTAAATAACTGGAGGAAAAACAAACTAAGACTTGATTTGTTTCAAAACATGGTTATTAATGATACTGTTAGAAAGTAAAACGGAACAGATCGTAAGAAACATTCCGGTATAAAAAAACGATTTTTCCGGAATATTAAGAGTTGTTTTCTACCTTTAGACAAGAAATGATGATTGAGATTCTCAGCTCTACATCCTTGATTGTGAACTTATATATCCTATTTCTTTATGTAGTAGAAGCTAAATAAATTTTGCCAAGAGATCATTCTCTCTTGATTTTGCACATGTTGATATGCTTAAGTTCTTTTCCTCGTGCGATTTAATTTAAACTTTACCGTAGTTTCTAACAAATGAATCTTAGGCAGATGAAAGGGTAATTATCTTGTGTGTTTGGAATTCTCTTTTCATGACAGCAGTTACTACACTGCTTTCAGTTTGAGTCCTAATTCAAGTGTGTTTTGTTGCAAAAAAAGAGGGAAAAATTATAAATTTTAAAAACTACACTACCCCTTGGAACAAGATTATGGTTTAAAAAAGATTAGCTAAGTTCAGAAAATAAATCTTGAAGTTTGCACGTTTTGACAAGGACTACATCTGGCTAAATATGCTTCCAAGGGAATGTATAAAGTCAGGAAAATGGTGACATTTCTATTTTTGCCTTTCCTTTGGCCACGATGATCAGTTTTTTCCATACAGTTGCATGTCATTTTTTACACTTTTGAACATCAACCTGCCAGGTTAGTTTGTGTATGTATAAAAATGTAGTTAATGAAATCAAACCCTCTCAACTTAAAAATTACCTTGTACTAATGGCTATGCAAAACACCAAAGGATGTCTTGGGAAAAAATGTAAAATGATTATTAAGATAATATTATTAATTTTGTAGTCAACAATAACAGTTAGAAACTTGTGTTGAGGCAGGCAAAAACATTTTTCAGAGACCATAGACCTTCACTGACTTTGCTGTTAAAACAAGTGGTAAAAGGGTATTAAAATGTGAGATCACCTCCCTGGGCTTGCACTGAAAGAGAGTATGGGTAGTGGGACACATTGTTCATTTCCCCCACCCTTTTTATGCCAAGAGACCTGATTTTATAACCATGATTCACTTCAGTTAGCATACAGAATTAAGTTAGCTTTTAAAGTTAGAAAGATGGAAAGACTTGGGGAAAAAATTGGTGGTACCACAAACGTAACTACAGACTGCTCTTCATCAACCCTCACAGCCCAAACAGACACCCTGTTCAAAACTCTAAAGGGTGAAATGGTCACCACCCTGACTCAGCAGCACATACCCATCTAGGCCAAATAAGCCAAGGGTAGTATGTAGAAAGAACTGCTGAAGGGATTGGGCTCAAGGGACAATAACTTCTTTTGATGGTTGATAAAAAGTCAATTTTACCTTGTTTATTTTACTTGTAAATCAGATTCATAACTTACAGAAACTATTGAAGTTGTGCATTTTTCAAGGTCCTTCTGATTCTCTTTATAAACTTTGCAAAACATTCAATTTTCTTTTTTCTGTTTCTTGTACTTCAGTCCTTTGAGGGATTTTCTCAATGTATACTGAGCATACCCCTTTTTGTACAAAAAATTTCAAGGAAGTACTTAAAACCGAAGTCACTATCTAATATAAAATTACTACATACGGTATTGCTGTTGGAGCTATTTATTGATTATCACTCAAACGATATTCCAGTGAAGGTTTTGAAGATTCAGTAAGCCCTTCCCTGCAGCCTTTTGATATTAAAAATAGCTTATACTGACAGACCCAGTATATGTGAAGCAAAGTGATTGGAACATTTAACCTGGCTTTTACTAAATTAGCCCTGTATTCTGTATTTACGCCCACAAATATTTGTTGTCGCTCCCGGTGTACAAAAAAACTTCCGAACAGCGAAGTACAAAATAGGTTTAATGAACATTCCCCTATGACTGTTGAAAGACTCGTACTATAATGAGCTCGTAGCATATGTTTAGGATAAGGCAGAGAGTTCTTAATACCACCGTAGGTGAAAAAATATATAAGAGATGGAGCAGACTGCCCTGAGGCTGGTCGCTCGAAAATTCACGAAGCTTATAAATAACTGAACTTGCCAAGGTGCCGAATCACGATGAGCGAAGTCACTCATGAACTGTTCATACATCACGCCTCCTGATGTCCAAAAATTTCATGAAAAAAGTTCATGAAAACCTTTTCTTGATGTTTGAACGCCGTAAAACGTAAAACCGAGCAAAAACTCATCATCTTTCCATGTCCTCATTCTCCGCCATATTTGTTTTGAAGGAAAATTGGTACTCAGTCTCACTCGGCCAAATTTCTTAACTGGGGCGATCATGTAAACTCGGTTCCAGACCTCACTGCCAGCCCCCCCTGGCCATGTCCTCTTTTTCTAACCTAATTAAATTGCATACTAAAATTGACACCGAAAATTAAGAACTAAAATTTAAATACGGCCCAAAGCTAACCTAATTAAATTGCATACTTGCATGTCACTCACGAGTTACACCTGATTCAAAATTGACAGAAATGATCTAATAGATAGGGCTTTAAACTGCTTAATGAAGGTGCGTGCATACTGTTCGAGGGAATACTATTCCAGTCTGTTTTGTAGCGATTGAAAAATGAAAATTTAAAGTAATTTGCACGTGTCTTCTTAGGTCTTATCAAGGTCGTATCAAGGTACATTTGTCTTATCTTAAAATTATATGGTTCCTACGCGTTTTCGCTAATACATTAAAATCAAAAAATATATGAGGATCTATGTCACAGTGTCCGAAAATAATCTTGTATCATTATTTTTATTATTTTTTTTATTCAAGACATTTATTACTCTAATTACAAAGAACTAATTACAAAAAAAAAAACAGGCACAATTATTTTACAAAGAGTTAAAATTAGCTTTCTCAATGGTTCTATATTGTCGAGATTGAACAAGAGATCTTTAATGATAGATAATATCCCCGAGTCATAATAGGATTTGTAAAAGACTGGTTTTCCATCTATTCTTATATCTTTGTTATTCCAAATTATACAGTGCCGTTCTTTGTCAGCTAAAAAGAGATTTCGAAATTCTAACCAACATTCTAAGAGTTCTCTGTAGAAAGATCGTTCATTGCGTAATTGCATTTAAAAATTAAAAGACCATCAACATTACGTAGGAGATGTAACAAGTAGAATTTCCACGTACTTTCGTCATCGCTGAAAATACGTTTTAGCCAAGCTAGTCGTACAACTTTGACCAAGCTTTCAACATCTGTCATTTTTATGCCACCTTCTTCATAACTGTTTATTGAATAGAGCCTCGTTACTTTATCCTTTCCATTCCATAGAAAGGAGAAAATCATACTATTCACTTGTTTGATGATTCTACTTGTACATCTGCACTAAGCAGATAAACTTCCTTCGTAACTCAAGCGAAGGCCATTTCAGGACCCCAAGTCTTTCCTGATATTCTTTCTCAGATCCGCAAATGACTCGAGTGGCTCGCCTCTGTATACTCATACTTTTGACTTATTTGCTTCACTAAATACGGATTCCAGGATCTTACCACCATATTCCAAAGTTGGAAGCACTAAGGTCTTGTGTGCTGTTGAGACTCCTTCAGAATTGTTTGGACCAAAGGTTCGCCTTATCAAATCTAGAACCTTATTAGCTTTAGCACAGAAATAGTTTATATGGTAATCCCAAGACAGGGAAGATTCCAGCCAGACATCAACGTGCTTGTGGTGATTCACTGCTGATAAGGGTTTGTCAGACAACCAGTACTCATGATGATATGGATCCTTGGATCTCGATAGGTGTAGGACCTTGGACTTTTCCGACTTCAGAGTAACAAGCCAAGAGTTACACCAGTCATAGGCACTTTGGAGTTCAGTTGAAGATCTTCACAATCCGACTCTGAAGTAACTTTCCGATGAAGAATACTGTCGTCAGCAAAGAGTCCACAGTTACACTTAACTGCTAAAGGAAAGTCATTAATATAAACAAGAAAGAGCAAGGGTCCCAAAATAATTCCTTGAGGCACGCCAGATGTTACCTCAGACCAGCCGGAAGAATGGCCATCAATTACTTCTCTTTGTCTTCTTGTAGTCAAGAAATCTAAAATCCATTTCAATAATTGACCCTTGATCCCACAGACTTTATCGAACGCTTTTGCGAAGTCTAGAAAAATTGCAGCCACAGAGCCACGCTAATCAAGAATACAAAGCCACTCATGGACAAAATGGAGCAGCTGAGTTACTCATGAGCGAAGTGGTCTGAAGCCATGTTGATTATCACATAATAACTTATTATCAGACAGAAAGTATTCTGTAGTATGCGAGTTTTAACAAAAACGCCGGGTAGTTTGAAACAGAACGTGTAATCAACAAATAAAGATATTTGTTGATTAC